TGGAAATAAAACTGAGGGATATGAACATGCTGGACCACGCTATCGTCAGCAGATGCTATTGCTTCCAAGTTCTAATTAAAGAGCTGTCATTACACAAAAAGCATTTGTAGCGTGCAGTAAAAACTGATAAAGTTCAATAGTCTGGAAGACTGAAGGGAAGGCATATGTTTTTTAAAGCTCCAGAAGATGATAACATGCACTTATTTGTTTATCTATTTACTTCCCTGCTCTTCAGCCCATCTCAGCCCCAGTCGCTGATGACAGCCAGGAGGTCTTTTTCTGCCCTAACAAACCCAGGACACTACCATTCCAAATTAAGAAGCACTAAAAATATGTATATTCTACTGAACAATTTCCTATCTGTGACTGCTTGAGTGAAAGAAACTGCATTCTGACACTCTTACGAACTAGACAGAACAACCAGTGGGAGAAATAACATGTTAGGGAGAAACAGAAGTATTCAAGGTGGTGCAGTCATAATTAACACAGCTGGCAATGTTTAAATGCAAGAAAACAGGTCATAAGCCAAATATAAATTATACAATTTGATGTCTTGGTCATGCAAGTGCACACACAGACATGCATGAATGCACATTTTTCTCTGCAAAGGCAGCTGCTGCAGCTGGCACCATGCTGAGCACTGCTCCAGCAAATGCTTGGCCTGCCTATGTGTTGCTGCCTTGTGCCTAGAGCAGAACTAAGCACTGAGCCTTCACTTCCCCTGCTCTCTGCCCATGGAGGTCTGCATCTGCTTCTTGCACCCCAGCGGCCAGTTGTGCCATGGGAGTACCCAGCCCACCCATCACAGTGGAACACAGCATGCCTTCCACCCAGAGTGCCAGGGGATCAGAGCCTGCCAGCCCCTGCTGAACAAGCTGTACTATGGATGGACCATTTGCATATAATTCACTCTTTCCTGCACTCTGGTTCATAGCCAAAGTCTTGTCTGTATCAGGAGCCTGCCCCTGAACACCAAGACAGCACCTGGGCAGATACCCAGTTGGAGGCACAGAAAGCCCAGGTTTCGTGAGCTGAGCTCATTCAGACTTCTGCCAGTACAACTCCAGCTTCCCCAGCAGTAGCTAAGGAGGTGTGAACAGACAAAGCCTGTGACAATGAGCCTATGACAGCAAAGACAGGGGACGCAGAATCTTTGCCAGGCTGGAGCCCTCCTGCCACGTTCTCAAACCACACCTCATCTTTGCACAGCAGGGCTGATGCCATTCAAAAGAAGTGATGGTGAGACTGGAACTTTAAGCCAGAGCCATGCATCCCTGCTGCCATGTGCCATGGTGACCAGAACATGGCCTGGGCAGTGGGAACGAGCAGAGCATGGGCCTCCTGCAGCTCCCAGTTCAGGCCAAAGAACTTTGTGGGGCTGTTCAGGGGAACTTCTCATGGGCATTGCCCTCCGTCTGCACAGGACTTGGGTGCAGAAAGGAATGGGGGCAGGAGAGAGAGAGAGAGAGGGGAATTCCCGGCCTTGCATTACCGCTATCAAAACAGAAGACACATGGTCAAATATATGGAAGGGTGTGACTGAGCAGAGTCCTGCAAGCATCATATGACAGCAGAAAGGAAGAGAGGAAAAGCGTGCTGGGAAAGAAAATGAAAGGCTCAGGCTGTGCTGGTTGGTTTACCGAAACAGGGCAGCAGTGATAGAACCTTTGCTGGAGCCTGGGTTCAATCTGGAAGCCATCCTGCAAAGGGAAACTTAGGGGAAGTGCCTGTGCAGGATACACGCAGCACTGTTGGGCTGTGCAGAGCAGCCCCCATACAAAGAAACAGGTGGGAGTCATCCCTATGCCAGTGGAGGGGAGCACCGAGGGGCACAGCCTGCCCTGCTGGCACATGGGCACTGCCAGCATCCAGCATCCCCTCTGGAGCACAGCAGTCCCTGGCAGAGCAGCTGTCCAGAATGCCTCAGCACCAGCCTTCTGCCTGCTTCAGGCGCTGCTAGAAAGTGCCCAGCTCCAGTCTAGAGCCTGTAACGCCTTGGCTGCAGGGAAGCCATCCTCTGTCCTCTGCTCCTATTTTCTCCCTGTTTGATTGAGGCTGGCGCAGGCTGTGCCAGGAGCAGATCTGAGCAATGACTCAAGCTCACGTCAGCCCCGCAAGGCACAGCATGGGCATGCAGCACCAGGCGGCATTCAGGTCCCAACGAGCAGCCCCACAGCGCTGCCAGCGCGCACAGCTGAGCTCCGGCCACCTCCCCCTCACCTGGGGTTTTACTGCTGGCACTTCAGGATCACAAGGATCACATTTTAGAAGGATTTCTCCAACAGCAAAAGCACGTGCCAGGCTACAAGTTCAGCCAGCATTTCAGTGGGGCTCTACAAATGTTTACATGAAAAGAAAAAGAGGAAATCACTTGAAACAACACAACCAGACTTATCTCTAAGGTTTTCTGTGATCCAGGTGTTGTCTTTCTTAAAAACAAGTGGCCTGGGTACATCACAGACTCTAGGAAATAAAAGGATTCTTGAGAGCAAAAAAAAAACCACCAAACCCCAGGAACAACAACAAAAAAAAAACACCTAACCCTGCCCCCAAACAGGTACAGCTGAGGTCTTCAGCAGAAAAGAGAGATGAGATAAAGGGTTGTGTAATTGCTCTTTAGACAGTGAGAGCAACTCAGGGCAGGTCTCAGTGGAAGGAAAGCCAACCCACTGCAGCGACACTGGTGAGGCACGGGGTCCTTGCCCTCCAGAGCAGTTGGCTTTGATGACTCTGCTCTGTTCACAGAAGCAGGAGAGGCCAATGGGCAGTGCAGCGTATCCCTGGGGAGGCAGAGCTGTACTCCTCACTGTGCCTTGGAATGCTCATGCCATGACTGCATCACGATGAGCAGCGGTGTTTAAAGTGATAAAAATTTTTATTCTGAATTAGATAAGGCATAGCAGCAGTTCTGTCTACACTCGGTCAGAAATCTCCTTTGAGCTGCCAATTCCAGGGCTCCTCCTGATTAAGAATTGACATATGCATTGTGCGACGACTACTGTAGTTTTAGGAGACTGACATAGTTGATCTCAGCCGTGTCATAGCCTGCTGCAGCCACTGGGAAGGGAACACAAACCTTTGTATTTTGAGGACGTGCAATACCTTCATATTGCTATTATATACATGAGCAGTGCTCTGCCCACACACCTGCGAACAAATCGGGGCTGCCTGTAGGAAAGCTCATGTTTGGCAAAGAGAATGAGGAGTTCGGTTCTTGCAGCACTGTTTGCTTCATCAGATGAGGGCATCAAGTGAAAGCTACCGAGATTGCAGCAGCCAGCAGCACACTCACCCTTTGAGCAATCAAAAGCAGAACGTCTACATGGTCTGCGCTCCAACAAAGGCTCTCAGGGAAAAAAAGGACTTTTTCATCCGCCCACTTGGAAATGAAGAGCTCAACCACGAAATCCTGACTGAAGTGCAATGAGCAGGACTCTGTCCACTGATTCCAGCAGGCCCAGCTTTTCACCCTAAGAATCTGCTCCAGTGTTGAGTAAAGAGAGAAACTGCTAGCAGCAACATTCTGGCCTTGGAAATCTGGAGAGGTTTGTTGGCTGACTGTGGGAGCAGCGAATGCACAGCTCACCCACAGTGCAGATGTAACCTGCATGCCTCCTGCTTTCAGAAAAGCTGAGGGCTTCATGTAACCATGCACAATAGGAAGACATTAATAATCATGCCTGGTGATGGTTAAGGGTGGAGATAAAATTCCCTATTACCATGGATTACGAGTTTGTCAAAGGGGATGCTAGCAGAGCTGCACTGTGATGAGGTTTGCATTTCAATAAGCAAGCTGCACAGAGCTCTCAGCTCCTCCACAGAAGCAGAGTTGTGCTGAAGCATCCTTCCGAGGTGCCCTGCAGCCCTGTAGCCTTTGGGGGAGCCCAACTCCAGCCAGGTCATGGCAAGGCTCTCAGGGACAGAAATCATGGACAGCCTAAACCTGAGAAGGCAGTGTGGTACTGCTTTAGCAGCCATTTCCACACTATGCTGCTCCTTAGCCCTGCACAATGCCTGGGAGTGGAATACTCTGAAACAGGTGATTCTTTGAGAGGCAGCAGAACCAGGACAAAACTTTGCATTGATCAGAACTCAATACTAATGAAAAAGGGGATTATCACCCTTTGTGTGGTTTTCTGTGGGTCTTTCCACTCGTACCCACCCCATCCCAGAAGTGGTCACAGTTCTACAGAACAGTGAGTTTCTCTTTGGCTCCCAGCTTTCTGCTTATGTCCTTATACATCTTCAAGTTTCTTTCAGCAAGCACAAGGGCCAGAAACATTGCTCCTGCCCCTTCTTGGTTTAAAGAAATGTACTGAAGTTCCTCTGACATACTGTTTATTGAGCAGCTGTCTCTTTGCAAAGCCACCAAGCACCGTGGGTCCCACAGTACAGTCCCAAGAGCTGCTCAAACTGCTTGAGCACGTGGCTGCAGAGGCTCTGAGGGACTAAAGGCAAAGCCATCTCCTTGCTCTGCGCCTTATTTCTACCATCCATGACACTTGCAAAATACACAACCTTGGCTGTAAAAATTCTCATGGCCCCAAGGAGCTCAGCAGAGGAGCCTACAGACAATAACATCAAATTCTTCCCTGTGTACATCAGTACCCTCTACCATACTTTAAAACCTGCTGGAAATGCCAGCAGCCATGCCAATACAGTCCCAAGGCAAACCAGGGGCTGATGGCCAGGACTCGGGCACAAAGCTGCGCAGCTGCACATGCAGGGAGCATCTGCTGTGTGCGCACAACACCACCGGCTCCACACATGCACACGCACTTCATGTGCACACACTCCCCATCTACAGTCTTATACTGTAAACACAAGCTGCTGCTCAAATGCAATGCTTGGCTGAGCTTCCACCTCTATTTCACTCAAGTGTTTCAAAAACAGGCAGATTGCTGGGATAAAAGCAACCAGCCATTATTTCTTCTGCTGCAGGCCTCCTCCTGCAGCTTTAATACCTGACATTTGCAGCACTCCTTCCCACGGGGCCTCGGAGTGCTACAAAGACAGTCATGCACAGAGAGAAGCATCTGTGCCTGTTCCTCACGTGAAGGAAACCAACACTTTGCACAGCCCTCACAGAGTGCATGCCCTGCAGTAGTGGAGGCAGAAAGTCAGGAATGGCAGCTCCCTCCTGCCCATTGCTTCATGTGCCACCCACCATAAACTTGCACAGCAAACCTAGTCCGTTCTCTCCCTCTGTCATTCCTCATATTTGAAGCTGGATAACTCATTTCCTTCAGTTGAACAGGGCAGGACAATTACTTGTCTGATTCCAACCAGCCCTGTTGCTGTCAGCCTGTACCAGCTGTCCCTGTTGTGCCACAGGGCTCCATGCAGCAGGTGAACATCCAGATCCACTGCACGGCAGTGAAGGCAGCAGGAAACTCACAGGCAGGTGCACAGCTGCTCCACGATTGCACCACCATTTTTCAGCAGAGCCTGTGTGCATTTGATAGGCATAAGCCATAATAAACTAAGCACGTGGTGCGGGTTGACTGCTGCCACCCTCTCACCATCTCTCCATTCCCCTCAGTGGTTGGAGCAGTGCTGGCTGGCAGCAGTGATGCACAGTGGCAAAGCTGCCACCTCCCCTCACCTGCAGCCAGCACCTCAGGGCCTGGGTCAGGGCTTGGCCTGACCTGCTCCCCCAGCCTGGCAGCAGGGCCTGCTCCCAGTTAGCAGCGATCATCAGCACGGGTTCCACACTGCTGGTCCTCAGCCAGCCTTCACAGATGGCCACAGAATGGAGCTTTCTATACAAGAAACAGTTGAAACAACAAAAGCCCTGCTGAGGCTGATTCAGCTCGTGAGCCTGCATCCCATTATGGCAGTCATTTTTTCCAATTGTTCAGCGCAGGAACCACACGGCATGGACATGCACACAGCTGACCTTGCTGCAACACCTCCCCTTGCTGGGGACTGCAGGGGGTACTGCCTCCTCCCAAAGGCTGTGCCAAAGGGTGTCTTGAGGGAACTCGTGTGAGCCCTGGAGATGGGCATCAGGGCATGGATGTGTCTGTGACTCCTGACCTGATGAAGGTCTGAACAAGGAGATGGGGATTGAGGAGCTAGAAGCATTCAGGAGGCTTACATCAGCTGCAGGTCTTCTTGTGCATCCTCCAAAGCCAGAGGAGACGAATGAAAGCCATCTCTCTGGAAATTCACTGCTGGGAAACTGCAAGAAGGCCTTCCAAAGTAATGCATTTATTTAAAATGGGTAGATGTCCCCAGGGACTAACAAAAGTCTCATACAGTCAATTAGGATTTAAATTGCCATCCAAACAGATAGGTGATATGAGCTGAATTTAGCTGCATCTTTAAGTGATTGGCTGCTTTTGGAAATATGTCTGCTGGTCATTTAGATCAAGCCACAGCTGCTTTTAATTTAGCTCCAGGAAATAGCCAGCAATCACTACTGACATATATACTGCTGTCTGAAGTAAGACACACTGAATTGTGAGTTTTAGTAACAATGGGATAAATATGAACTGGCTGAACATTTTGCAATTGTCAAGCAGAGTCAAGCGATATGAGAGTTTGCTTAACAAAACAGTTCAGAGGAGTTGGCCATAGCCCGGATGCCCTTTCAAGTGAAAGTCACAACCTGAAACTAACCACGTTGCACTGGAATCACATGGAGATGATGGTGCTAGAATTACCAAACCATTTGAGGGTTTGACCTCTGGAGCAGACAGATGAATGTCTTTGGATTGACAATGAAGGCTTTTATCCACTATGCAAACAACTACTTGTTGGAAATGTTAGAGTCAGATAACTGCCAAATCTGATAGAGATTAAAGAGCTGATGCAGACATAGATACATGCAGAATCCTCTGTGTTCTGGCACAGTGTGAAATGATGGCCATGAAGCTCTGGATGTCCCTCAGGTGTTTCACCAACCTTTCAAGATGCACACACTTTCCTGCTTGCTCTCATGGTGCTCAGACTCAGCCCCCAGAGGTTTCTGTTGCCTTTTTTTCTGTTTTCTATTACATTTAACACATCAAAAGAAGATAGTTAACAGTATATAGCAAGGAGCACCCACGTAATGAATGTTACAATCATTTCTGTACTGCTTGCTGCACCCACGGCCAGGCAGAACTTCCCCAAAAGCAGTGCTGAGTGTGTTGTGTGGCCATCACTTGCACACGTTCATTTGTTCTTGCTGCGTAGCTTCCTTGCTGTGGCCTGAGCTCCTCATTCAATACTGTGTGTGGCTGCATTTTTTTATTTTTTTTTTTGCCAAATCACAATGCTTTGAATTTGAACGAATGAGTGTCACGTTACAGGAAACCATCTGATGTAGATAATCTAAATCAAAAGCAGTGCTAATCTTGCACTGAATCCATGTAAACACTCCTACTCACATCTCCCGAGTTAAGGAATGAGGCACTTTCCCTTCAGTCTGAGGTCAGACCAAAAAGACGTCGGCAGAAACTGTAATTACAGATGAAGCCATCACGAAACCAGCCCTGTGTAAGAACCAAACCATGCTCCAGCTTTAAGCAGTTGCTGCATTATAATGATTGAGGAAAATGAGTGCAACATTTATCAGCATCACTAGGAGATGTTATGTTTGTTTCACACTCCCACCACAAAGCACAGAGCTTGCAGGGGGCTCAGTGAGGCTATGGAGTATCACAGTAAAATGAATCTTGGCAAGCCCTCCACACTCAGGATATTTTTACTTAAACCTGAAACTCAGTTTTACCAATTTCCTGGTGCAGGATAGGACACTTTCAGCCCAAGTTTTTGTTAGCTACAAAGTACATAACATTTGGACACTGGTATAAAAACTGAAACACCTCAAGTATTTTTCTTCCTTTTGGTGAAGTGTATTTTGGAGATGATCCATCCGCTTTCCGGTAAACAGTATACTTCACAAAATGAGCTGTTTCCTCCCTGTGAGGCTGTGCCGTTTAAAGGAGATGTTAGTTTGCTTCCTGTAACTAATGCTCATGGAAGAATTTTCCATTGTGAGGCAGGTCAGGAGCCAGCAAGGCACTCTGTAGAGCAGTGCAGAACCCGAGCGGAGGAGCAGGGCAGGGGTACTGCACAGTTCTTCCTACAGCAGCAGGCTCTGAGACCTGAATAGCAGCACCAAGCCATCTCAGGTGCTGATACATCAGGCAAACTTATTCCTGCTGCTCCCCGAAGTCCTCACAAGCTCTGCTTAGACAGTGGGCCACGTGCACACCTAATTTTCTCCAGGGTTAGCTTGACATTAAGGAAAAAAGTCAAATCCTTTGCAGTTTCAGGAAGGACGCTGCTAGTGTGTGAGGATTGCCAGCACCAGAGGAAAGCATATGACCTTAACAGCACTCAGCCACAGTGGGTCCAGCTGAGTCGGAACAACGGTCAGTCTAGTGTAATCCTTTTCTGACACTTGCTGGTACAAGGATGCCAAGGAGAGAGCAGAAGAGGAAGATGAGCACACCAGTACTCCTTCTGAAATCACAAGAAATTCAGTGAAGGATTTCATTATTCTCTTGGTGACGATGCACAAAGACTGGACTACAGAAGAAGGTCCACAGAGAAGGTACACTATCCACAAAGCTAGTCACATCCTCCATCTTCACTCTGCCTGTCTCTAACAGGTGCTATAAGGTCTGACAGCAAATGCCCAGCAGACATCAAACAGTATGGTGTCATAGCTCTTAATGTGTTTGTGGGAGCATCTGGACAAAACTCGTGAAATGGGTTAAGACTTTGAGCCAAAAAAAGATACAAAGTAGAGTGACAAGCAGATACTATTATAAGAAAGTTTAGCAGCACCCAGAGATCCGACAGTACTCCTAAATTACAGACAGAATTTGACAATTAAGGCTTTGCAGTGTAAACCAAGAGACGCCACACCTTGTCTGCAGAACACTTTCTTCTGTCCAGGATAACACTCCTGGTCTGCCTTTGCAGCTTTTCTTCCTCCATGAGCTGATTTCATCCAAGTTCTAGTCTCACTGGGGTTGTGATGTGGTCAAACATAATGAAGAAAGAAGCAACCTCCCAGTGTAATCTTACTGGCATTTCAGTGAAGATCTCCATACCAGCTCAGCTAGTGGCTGGTGGCAATGCTAAAAACTTTAAAGTCACTAATGTGAAAAGGAGCTGGTAGGTAGTTCTGCAACTTTTTAGGAAGATGAATGATGACTATAAAAGGCAGAACTATCTTAAAAAACATAATGCAAATAAAAATAAACAGATAATAAAAGTCAAGAAAGTAGCAGTTCTAAGAACTACTTTCATTCTGTTGTAGTTATTGCTGAATATCAAAGCTCTTTTCCAGCTTTGTTGTCTCAAACAGAGAGGTAAATAGTATGTTGTGCTGTAGCCATTTGTTCTTTAGGACAAACATGGAATATTATATATATATATTTAAAGATCTAATCTTGAACTCTTATGAGGTGTTACTCACAGGGAGAAAGCATGCATAGTAAGGAAAGGAATATGCTGGTAATAACAAATAAAGGAAATATATCTGAAGTGTTAGAAAAGACTTGCACAGCTACAAGAAAAGGAACCTAAATCTTGAAGCATTTTCTGAAAGATTCTTAGAAGTGCACTCACAAGTGCAATCCAATAATTGAGAAACCTGATTGTAGACTTGCGTAAAAATAAACCTAAAGTAAACATCACGGGGCTCTGAAAGATGTATGCTGTTGGAAGTAATCCAGTAGTTATGATCACCACAAGAGCAGCATATACTCAAAAGAAAATACTGAGCCTATCGATTTCTGATTTAGGTGAAAATTAATCATCCTCACATTCACTACAGAATAAGTTTCATCACTTCTTTTGTTTAGACCATGGCTGCCTAGCTTATCACGCTGCATTGCCCTCAGAATATTTTGAGGAAACTGTAGTGTTTACACAGGGCTTCTTGATATCGTCTTTGAACCCACAGAATCCAGCTGGATCTCTGCTGCCTGCAACATTTGCCACACATAGTTTTAGAGACTATTATCCACAAAAGCAACCTGCAGTTCTCTGCATCTCGCACTGCCCTCTCTGAGTTAAGGGCCCTGTCAGCTGGCATAGCTTCAAAGAACTTCTAGAAAACCTTTATACCCACACGAGCTAATTACTACAGTCTGCATCCAAGATGGACTCTTATGTATTATTACGTTGTCAAGGAAAGAGCTGTGGCATTCCTAAAGATCTGAAGAAATTTTCAAACAAATCACTGTTCTACACACTGAGTTACACACCACAATATTAAAACACTACGACATTTCAAAGTAAAAATAAGAAGAGTTTCAACACAGAAAACCACTACTAATCTAACAATTCATTATAACACATCAAAAGCAGCTTTAAATTTGATGCTGCTCCACTATCCTCCCACACACCCACAAAGCACACGAAGCCCCTTTGCTGCCAGCCATTGTCCCAGACCCCACCTATCAGCATTTAATGCCCGTCTTGAAATAGCCTTCCCTTGCCTCAGATAGAACAGCTACACTACAAACCACACAAAAGTCACACTCTTTCCTATTTTAGCTTACATACCTCTAGAAGCAGCAGCAGGGAAAGCCAAGGGCCTCGTCCAACTACAGCACTCACCAGTGATTGCCACATCTCTTGTGCTGCAGCTCCATTACTCTTCACCAAGCATGCCTCACAAAGCACACTGCAAGAGACACATCTCCATAAAACACATAAGCAGAGGTAGTAATGCATTGATTTCGTATACCATGCATCCAGATGGGGGAAGAAATAGGAAATCAGCATTCAGACTATTTGTAGACTTTGCATGCATGATATCTCACATTGCAACTTGTGTCATCCTGTGGCCAATGCTTTGCTGAGGGGAACACAATGCCCACTGTAGCTACTGAGTGCAGTATTTGCCCCAAGATAATTCTGTTTATGGGAGTTACTCTCTGCAGCACATGAGAACCAGCAGAGAGGGAAGACAAAATCTCTCCAGTTTATTCCCAGCATCAACCTTGACCAGGCACAATCAAGGACCAAAGCTGAGCTGGCAGTTTGATACACAGCTCTAGCCAAGGTAGATCAGCTCTTCAAAAGGCTATTAAAAAAATCATACGCAAACAGAATTTAAAAAAACATGGTAACTATCAGGTCTATCTAGCAAACATAATAGGATAGCATTTATGTTTTCTCACCAAAGCATAGACATCCATCTTTAGAAAATAACTACTTAATCAACTATTTGGCCATCCTTCAGTGGAGAGAAAAGGCACTGGGTGTTCAAACATCAAGTGCATTTCTGTAAGAAGCAGGATTTCTGCCTGCTTTGTATTTGTGTTCTCCTTTGTTTGTTTCAGGTTACACAGATCAGCATCAGAGGATTATTTTCAACGCTGTCTAAAGATCATCCCTGAAGGGACACAGAAAAAGGATCCTCTGCAGCTGTCAACAGCCATAACATAACCAATCTGGAGATACAACTTCCAGAATAAGCAGAGCACAGCACACAGAGAGAAAGAATTGCAACCTTTTTCTTCCTAAAATTTATTTATCAGAAACATACAAAGTCCCATTTCCTTGCATGTAAAAGGAACTTGGCAGCAGCAGCCAAATTATTTGCTCTGATATGCTTGCTGAAAGTTACCAATTAAGCCAAGAAATTCTTTCTTTGGGAAAGGTGACTGAAATTAAGGAATACTACAGTTGTAAAGTGAAGTTGTTATTTCTGATTAATAGTAAAGAGATTGCTGTTCTAGAGGGAAAACACCTCTGGAAACACATGGGATCATTAAGATTGGAAAGACCGCTAAGATCACTCAGTCCAGTCATCAACCCATCCCTACCACATCACTCAGTGCCACATTTACCCTTTCCTTGTACACTTGTACACTTCTAGTGATAATGACTCCACCACTCCCCGGGCAGCCTGTGCCAATGCAGCACCACTCTATCTGAGAAGAAATTGATCGTAACATTCAACCTGAACCTACTCTGGCATAACTTAAAGCTGTTCCCTCTTGTCCTAGAAGACAAGTTCCAGGCTAATAAAAAACAAAAGCCACTCAACCTAGAGAATGTCAATAAGACAAGTTAATCAGCAATAGTTTCAGTGGGATGGTCCTTCCAGAATAACCCTTTGAACTTCTACGCCAGCTGTGGTTACTTTTCTGCTTCTTTTTCTCTGCCACTTATCTGAGTTTCTCTCCTTCAAGCATACAGAATGCACACATAGCACCCAACAAATCCTTTCCACAGACCTGTTCTGGTTTTTGCTTGGTGATACATGTTATGTAAGGGGATCAACTACTGTGTCATACAAGAGCTGAACTATTCCCTACAACCTTCTCAATGGACAATGGCAATATTTCCCTTGAGGCAGCACAGTAGCAGTGCTCCAGTTTTAACAGGAGGAAATAAGGATTTCATAAATTCAGTTTACATAAATTGACACAACAAACTGACGTCAAACAGGATTACCACCCTCCTATCTTTGTTCCTTGCTAAATACTTTAACAAGTTACTTGTGCTAACAATCTGAATTCATTTTTGAAACCAACGTTCACGGGAAATTTTGAAGCACTTGGGAATAATTCACAATGAAATTAATCTACTACAGGCCAAACCCTGAGTAGTAACACATGCTCAGAATATGGAGTGAGGAAGCTAACATTAACCTCCTAGTATTTGACAGCACCAGCAGCACCAGGCCCCATCTCAGCACATCAAATCAGGATCTGCCAGCTGGGCAGACAGCAAGCAGCCTGACCAAAAACTTGGGTGCAAGCAGACTCAGTGGAGCTGAGAGCTGAAGGCTTGGACTTGAGTCGTGTTGTAGAGGCTGGAAAGAAAAATGCTGCAGAGGACTGCTTATGGGGAGCTGGTAGCACAGCAGGCACACAGGTTTGCTTCTTCTTCTTCTTCCAAATTTGCTCACAAAGTTAAGGATATTTTGTTACTCACATTCAATATGAGAATATTGTGAACCTTGTCCAATCGCTTCCTACCCAACTGATGAATCATTCTTCTGTGCATCCAAATTTCACTCTAATTACAAAGAAATTGGAAAAAGTTTCTTGTGTAAGAAACTTCCACTGCCACTGCATACACCGTCACTTCACAGAAATGGAGAAAATTATTTTCTGCTTTTAAAAACGAAGTAGGGGAAAAAAAATCTACAGCCCCAGCCTAAAAGGAAACAATACCAAAATCAAAAATATGCTGTGAGTCACAATGAGTCACGTGCCAGGGACTCCCCAGCATTTCTTTTATTAGAGATTCGCATAGATTCGCATACAGACACACAAAAGGGACACTCCCTCTTTCACTCTGACAAATACCCACTGCTGATGGATGTCATATGAGCTGTGAGATGCAAATGGCCCTCAAAAGGCTGTGGGCCCATCTGCAAGTTATTTTCCCTGCAAGGGAAGTGACTTACAGCAGCAGTGCTGCTATGAAGAACAAATCACACCGCAGTCATGTCTTGATCCTGTGTTGTAATCCTTCAAAACAAAACACACAAAACCTGACAACCTGGGAATTCCAGTGAAAATGCTCTAATTTCACATGCACATGCTGGAGCAGGCTTGGACAGACAGGGCAGTGCTGTGGTGGGGGAATGAGTGTGACAGGAGGTTCTCTAAATGCTCCAGCTGCACTCATATTGCAAATACACTGCCAGAGCCTAAGGAAAGTGCTGGACAATGGGACATTAGTTTACATCCTGACATGCTGTAGTTGTCAAGCAAGAGCCTAGGAGGGCAGTGAAAGCAACCAGAAGGAAAAGTTGCTCAAGGATGACTTGATGGTTTTAAGACTTGCAAGTCCAAAGGGAACCTCACTGCTGAGCAGTTGCTGGCATGGGGAAGCAGAGGAGAAACCAACAGAGCCTGGGAATTACTAGCTACCAGGGCACGGTAGAAAGCCAAAAAAAAGCTGTCTGCAACAGATCTCAGCCAGCCCAGTTTGAACTAAGACAAAGGTTTCCCAAGATATCCGTTTAAACTGCTTTTTCTCCTGTGCTTCCAACACTACAGAAAGCCTACCCCACTGTACTGTACTAGTTCTTTATAAAGCAATTAATACTGCTCAGCTTGTCTGAAGGCAGAGAAGAAGACCAGGTGCACCGAGCTTGGCCTTGTTAATTCAAACAGCAGCGAAGGCTCAGGAAAGACCACATCAGGTTAGCATTTTTCTGTTTAATGGAAAGTTGTGCTGCCTTTAGCAGCCACGTGCATTTATCTTGCTCGTAGCCATATCAGGTTGCTACATGCCACAGAAGAACGAGGCAGAAGGCAACGTGATGCCGTTCAGTGAAAGTCGACTTTGTTACAGGCAGAAGCAATTAGCTGGGAACAATGGGTTTGTACAGTAACTGCGGCTGGGTGGGAGTGCTGGGCTGGATCCAGCGGCGGCTGTGAAGGATGACTGAGTAGAATAATGCTTGGCTAGTTAGGACAGGAACAGCAAATTGCCTTATCTGGTGCTTTTACCTCTCAAAATTACCTCCAAATAATACGTCAACTCATTTTAGTCTTCTTCTTAAAAAGAGTTAAAATTCCAAAGGGCCAGAACACCTTCCAGAAGAAAGCGGTGATCAGAGGGCTAAAGAATATTCACAGGCACTAATATAACTGGATGCAAAGGCAACTACAGGAGCAGTAAACTCAAAATAGCACTGTTTTACAGGGCATGGTGCACCAGGGCTCACTTACACTGCAGGCACCTCTCACACAAGCATAGCTGCTGGGGTTACAGTAGAAACTTACTGCAGCAACATACGATCTTACCAAGTGCGTAAGTAATTACTCAGCTATTGAGGCCAATTCCCATCACCTGTGCTGAACACCAGGCCGTCCATATGAACTAGAGTGCTATTCTACCTGCACAGGCAGCACAGAGCAGCTGTGCTATGCCTGCACTTACAGCTGCCAGGTTGACAACTGCTGACTTATAAGAACACTGGTCTTTTTCATCTTTTGCCTGCTCAGACACGTTGGAAGTGACTTGCTGTATTTCATGCAGCTTCAGATGAGGCTGTAACAGCAAAAATAAAAGAAAAGAGCTTTCGTAATGTCTGGTAAAGACTGCTCTCGGCTCAGTGCAACCTTCCTGATTTGACATATTATCCAAAAAGATTCCTCACAATGGTGAAATCAGAGATTAACTGATTTCCATTTCTTCTCTTTTCTAAGGAGCCGCACACGAGTTCATCCCACAGTGACAGTCTCTGTACTTACAAACCACCACCTCATCATCTACAGAGCAGATTCAGCATGATGGTGAGGGAGGCATGGCTAGTGCATCTTCACCGAAAGGGAAACCAAGACAGTCATGAGGCCTTTTCCCCAAGGCCATCTACTGAAACCAGTGCCTGCTTTGGTGGGGAGAATGTGTTAGCTACTGACTTTTCAGGGACTATGGGTGGGATGTGAGCTCATTTGCCAGCCAAGACCTACCAGTTCTGGACCACCCTCCCTTTCTACCACTTTGCCCCAAAGCCTCCCCCTGCCCTGCAGATGTTGTTTGTACCAGGCAGAACAACCCAGGTCAATGCCAGCATTTGCCCCCACTGGGTACCAGGCCTGAACGGGCCCTGCTGCAGAAACAGGACTTTTCTTTGTGGCAGCACAATGCTTGCTTTGAAGCACAGATCAAATACAAGCCATGATTGTTTCTGCTAAGTGCAAAACCTCAGTGCAGTGACAGGAAATGAGATATTCAAGCACAAATTTCAAAACTCGTTGCCACAGAACACTTCCACAGCTTTCCAGCTGCAACCAGGTCTTTTTGAGCTCCTGTAGCCCACCACAGCTCCTGTTCCCAATGAGCACAGGAACAGCCTGGACAGGAGTGCATCACCTGTTTGCAAGGAGCAGACTTACCAGCTCCAGATGGCCAGCTGTTCCTCACCTAGATCTCCCTGGGGCTTATATTGCTTGAGAGGGGCTGATCCTTGCCTGGAGTCTGCACAGTGGGCTGTCAGCTGACAGCCAGCTTTTTGAGGGCAGCTCTCACATCCAAGCACAGAGGTCATGTTGGGAATGGAAAGCCATGTGAGAGGAGTTGAGGCCAGTTCACACCAGCTGAGCTTTGGACCTTGGAAGCACTTTAAGAAAGCTGTGTTTTCTGTTAGCTTAAAAGTGGGGGGCACTTCAGTGGCTACTTAGCTGTATTTGCCTGGATCACAAACAGTAACCCTGTGCTCTCCCATGGCAATTCATCCAAAGCAAACTAATCCAAATTGACTTTAGGAAGGCTCTGCTATCACAATTCCTTTTAATCTCAAGCATCAAAATACCAAACTGTATAAAGAATTTCTGTGCAAAACCATCAGCAACACAAGAACTTACTTCTGATGTCAAGGCCTTCCGAAGCCACAGGAGTTACGTCTCAACTAAAAAGCTTGCTGGTCGTGTTTGCATGAAATAGAAATAAAAATTAAATTGTAACAAAAAGAATGAGGATGCATTCAGGGAAGGATTTCTGAACTGGTAGAAAGGAAAGCCCAATTTAGTACTAAAAGTAATGGTAATGCAGCAAGGAAATTCTTGGAGAGATTCTCAGAAAGATTCTCCAGTTATGCCAACAGGCATTGGAAAGGAATCACAGGACAGATTCCTACAGGAGCAAAGCAAACCAACTGTTGAGTATTTCATATAAATTGATCCTGTGGGCACAAACAGAGCTACTGAATGCAAAGCATTTGCAAAAATGCAAACTAGGGCTCTCGAAGGCCCAAAGGCTGTCTACAACCCATTGAAGACCTACTCAGTGTGCTGCACAGCAGTTACCATCCTGCATTCACAAACAGGATCTTGGCAGCTCCTCCTGCTAAGGGAGGAGGTCTTTCCTTTTAATCAGCCCCTCCACAGCCCTTCCCAGGGTTCAGGTTTTTTCCTAAGCACTGAACAGAAATTAAAACACAGACAAACTGACATTTCACCAATTAAGCAGAACAAAAAACTCCTTCAGTGGGATATGATTTGTGGATTAAAGTTTTTTTTCTCCTTGAACTCAACCCAAAAAATCTTTTCCGGTGGCTTATCACAACTTAGCGGACCCCGAATCTTAAAAGACTGCTGTATCTCAATACACCAAGGAAGGTCTTTGTCAGGGACTTTCCAAAAGCAAACAGGGTACGGTATGGGCCTATGAATTTCACAGAACACCTGAGATGTCAGTGAGAACTGGTGTGTTGGATGTCAGGAACAGAACAAGCCTGGGCATTGTTTCACTTTGAAATCTTCTGCCAGTCATCTGGAAACTCACCACATTGTTCCAGAAGCATGGAAAACAGAACTTCAAATGGAGGATGCTGCTCCTCATATCCCACCTTTATGCAGTCCTGGAGAACCGGCAGCAGATCTCTTGGGTAAGCTGGAACAGATCAGTGAAACAGAAGTGGCAGAAAACAACTCATAAAATCCCTCCTGACTTTCAGCTGCTTCTTCACAAATGACAGTTCTTTCACCCCCTGAGACATGCATGAAGATGAGACTAAAATGTGCACAGTCCAAGGAATTAACCACAGGATGCCATGAATTTGTTGGGAGAAAGCAGAGTATGCCTGCAATAACAAAAGGAATAAGGACTGGTATTAAACACTGTCACAGGTTTTCTTAGTCATTTTTGTCTACTCATGTTAGTTCTGAATCGTGGCCCTCTCAAACAAAAAAGAACACAGGGGAATAATCTTAGCAGTTTCACAAAGGAGACCACACTCATGAAAATACTGGAAAATGTGAACTGGCAAATTAATATTTGCATTATATTCAGCTAAAGAGCAGCACACAATGCCTGCATATTAACTTACTGCAATGGAGATACATCTTGCTAACCAAAAATTAGCTGCTGCCTGGAGCTTGAGCTCTCTGAAAACATATCTAGGTTTCCTCATGTAAGTAGAGCATAATACACAACTGCTTATTAGCACTCACAGAGTTAACCTCTGTGCACTGCCCTCTTGAACAGGACTGATTTCAAGATGTATTTGTTTAAACAAGTTAACAGAAAAGTCAGAGGCCATTTCACCAACTGCCTATGACGACAGCTTTCTTCCTTCTCTATCAGCAGAGAACAATTACACACATGGAGACAGGAGTTTACTAATGTTGAGTCAGAGTAGGAACATTTGTCCAGAAAATACATGCAAAGGAAAGAAAGATGAGGCAGACTGCTGCATACTGCCTCCCCATTCTTCCTCTCCCCCCTCGAATAATGTTGGCTAAGCAGAGAATGCCAAGCCAATTCTGGCTTGAAAAGACCCATGGAAGAATTTGCCACATCAACAGCCTCATCTGTTCCCAGAACTCACACGTGAGTATTGAGAGTAAACTAAAGTCTGGATGAAGGCTAGCAAGGGCTAACAACTGCTGGTGTAGGGGACAACTTCCCAGGAGCACCAGGAAACAGCAAGCCCTTCTGAGGATGGGCTTGTGCACAAAGCACGAGAGGTCTTGGATCTGCTCCAGGATTAGGAGCTCTGAACTTTCTATGACAGCATAGACAAATCACACTGGCATTTCCTTCAAACCGTAGCAGTGACCGCAGGGGACTTGGGTGGCTGCTGTAATTCCTCTTTGTAAAGGGCTTAAGTCAAATAGCCAGCTAAGTGTTGGGCATGGTAGGGGCCTTCACGTAAATCAATCTGATCTGACTGTAGAAGTCATCTCTTCAATGTTTAATGACACGTACTCAGTAATACTAGTGCAGAAACAGGAACTTAACAGCACCAAAACCAACCAAGAGCTGCACAACTTCAAGCTCTCTCCCTCATACATCTCTCCTCGTTCTCTAAACAGAGGGAACTTCTGCAAAACCTTCCTACTCTCAAGATAACTGGCACATTTCCTCCCCAAAGGGTCCTGCTGCAGATGGATCCAGGCCTTGGCCAAGCTTGGTGCGCTCCGGCCTCCCACCTTGCCTGGTGAGATAATGTGCAGAGGATGCATTCGTCCAACTCACACACTTCATTTGGGCTCTGACATTGTGCTAGAATGTCACTGAGAGAAAACATTGCCTCTCTTAGCACTTCACTCTCCCTGAGGACCCAGTCTGCTTCTAAAACTGATCTCATCTGTCCCACTGGGAGGTCACGCTGATGAGGCAGCTAATGCTTGTGAGGTGCTTTGAAGGTGAAAAGTGCAAAGTACTCCACAATCATACCATGGGCAGTCATACCAATGGGCTTCAGAGCAGGTGATGGTTACACCGCAGTCTTTTACCCTTTTGCCTCAACCACCAGCACCTGCAACACATGGCCTGTCTTGCCTTTCAGCTTAATTATTGACTAGTAATGGCTGGTCAGTCACGCGCTGAGAATTTCAGTGGGAAAGCCAGCCTCTGCAGGCAGAGAGACATGTACTGGACACTGCCATTGTGCACCAGGGCTATCAGTGCTGCCACCGGCAGTCAGGTGAGGCTGAAGAACAGCAGAGCCCTCTGCCTTCCAGATACATGGAATAGCAAGACATAGTTTTGCATTTCCTCGGTAACCTGGGAAACCCATTAAAACACTTTTCTTTTCCTTGCCAGTGCAAAATTGTTTGGTGTTTTATATAGCTAAGCCCTCTTTCCTCTATGTTTTATTTGAACTTCCTCTTCTAAAAATATCTCAGCAGCTATTCTTTATGTATAGCACATACTCCAAAGGAAGCAAGCTGCTCATCAAGCTAATAAACAGGTGCATCTGTTATCATGTATTTACTAGGGCTAGGAAGCTTTTTTAAGACCTGCAATACTACCCAATTCCCTGAGACACTGAGCTGCTTTTCCCCAGCTTGAGCACCGGCCTTACAGCACTGGTATCACACTGAATTAAGTGACAGGACAAGCAAGGAGAAATTTATTAACAAATGAATTCCTGCTATTACAGACCACTTCCACTGAGGCTTTTAAAGGTTCATAGCAGGGTAAGACATTTTCTTTCTTTCCCAAGAGTACAACTCAAGGCTTGATTTTCATGATTACTAAGCTCTCATTACAGATCCCATTAACTGTGCCAGAAGCTGCAAGCACACATCTCCCCCAAGACAAGGCAGTTTGATGTACAGAGGGGTTAAGCACCCCCAGCTCTACTGCAGTCTCAGGGTGCATCAAGTAAACATCTTCCCCTGATGCAAGGGCAAAGTGTGAATATGTGCTGAGAGGAGACGGTTGCACACTGTGCCAGTGGACCTTCTGCATACGGAGGTAGCAGTGGCTGAACCCTGCCACGAAAGCTTTGCCTTCATCTCTTGTCCCTGTACAGGTAAGAAGGGCAGCCAGGGAGATGTGCACACGAAGCCTCTGGCACTTTGGGATGTGCCTGGTCACAGCCTCAGCCTGAACAACCAAGCAGAAGACTGAGGCAGCAAATTGGAGTGATTTATGGAGGGCTGAACCTCTTGAAGCTCTACAGAAGCAGCAACTTCAGCCGTAAATTTAATTGGTGAGAGGCAGATTTGATAGTCATCTGCCCTCAGTAGAAAATGCTTTAGAGAGCATTCATTCTTCAAAGGAATTCTCCTGCATCACGTTACAGTTCCTCTTTCTTATCTAAATGCAGTATTAGGCAGACAGCTATTGATTCTCCCCAGGGATTTAATTATTTGCAAGAAATCACAGTCTGTTGCAGCTGGCAGACAGTGCTGGGTGAGGCCTGCTGGTATCAGACCCTGGGCTGTCTTATGGCTTGACACAAGAAGGAAAGTGCGTGAAAGTCAGCCTAATTGCTCATGATCAGATAAATGGAGTCTTTGGGCACAGAGTTGAAAGCTCTTCAATGAAGAGGAGCAGTGTTTTTTTCTGTTGTTGTGGTTAGGGTTTATGTAAACTATGAAGTTAAAACCAAAGCGTAAAGAACTTACTCAATCTCTGGTTTCTGGTAGATTCTTACAGAAGCTGTGGGAGGCCTATTTGAGGAAGGCTTTTTTCAACAATCCACCTGGAAAATGAAATGGAGAAATAACGAGGGTTTTGTTTGGTTATAATCCAGTCCCATCACACCATGCTGACTGATCCATGATAACACTTTCAGAGCTCAGCAGGTGTTTGGGGAGTGAGTGCAGCCACCCATTTGGAGCAGCAGGCAGCACAAGAGAGGGATCTGAAACAGAGGCCAAAGGGAAAAAAATGTAGGAGGTCAGATGCGAGCCACGAAGCTAGGCAATGCTTGTGCCAAATATGATTTACTATAGATAAATGACTGTGTGCACTGAGATTGTAAAGATCCTCTAAACACATTTCTCATAGAGGCTGGGTTCATGTTGGCACAGTGGTGAAGCGATTTCTGCTCTTCTTTGTCCCAGTTAGTTCCTTAAATGTAGAGCTTCAAAAGAAGCACTCAGCAGGCCAAGGATGGCAACAGCAAATTTGGCAAGTCCTGAATCCTGTGCATTACACATGCTGTGGACAAAGCCTGCAGGTGTCGGAAGTTACATACTGTGGCCAGTGAACCTATCACTAGCAACTGGGTAACAGCCTGAGAGTCAAAAGGTACTGACAGCTGGGAAAGAAAGGAGGGATACTCAGAAAAATGCGATGCAAGGTCTCTTTTGGGGGATCAGAGCAAATAGATTTGTCACTGCTAGAGTACTTGTCTTTGTGGCTGAGAGCTTATGCATATTCAGACGCTGTTCACAGCACACTTTGTCCACTTACACATCAGCATTACTACATTGCTTGCAGCAATGGAAAGCTATTTTCATTCCTTGAGTTCCTATTGTCCTAGAACAGTAACAGCTGAGAAGCAACAGCAGGACAATGACAAATTCATAGAGAATCAATTCCTGGCTGTTTATGGGGCCCAGACACTGACTACACAGGAAGTCTCAGCAGCGCAGCTTCAATTGCTGTAAATAATCAGAAGTCAAAGGCACTGCAGCCCAGACCTGTTGGCTGTCAGATGTTTCAGAACCTCATGCTAAGGATAGTACTGACCCTACATGCACATGTGCTGTCTGCACAGAGCAGAACACTACACATGGACCACCTCAGTAGGTTTGTATCAGCACTGGCGTATGTGAAGGATAAACAATACCTGCTTGTTCAACACTGCCACACTGGCTGCTGTGCCACAGAAACTGCATTTCAGAGCTAACTACAAAGAAACAGGAATTCAAGAGGCAAAGCTGCTCCTGTCTAACCAGCACAGACTAAGTGACATCAAGGAGATAACACAGGCTCAAATTACCAGACAGGAAAGAGGATGGATAAAGAGTTCCTGCGCATAAGCTGGCTTCCCCCTCGGAAAATACAACACACATCCTTCTGCACGACTCCCTACTGACTGCTTTGGACACAGAGCTTCCCAACATGCAAGCAGAAAGGCCCACGCAGCCCGGGGCAGAACGCATCTCCATTCCTAACCTCCTGGAGAGGTGGTCACATCAAACACAAAGCTCAAACACCTTTTTAAGGCTTTCACATACCAAGAACTCCTTGGTCAAAGGAGCAGCATGTTGAGCTTGAAGTTTTTCCCACAGAAACTGGGAATCAGGGACTTGTGATACTTTGATTTATACAGAAAGCCAAAGGACCTTTCTCAATTCTTGCAAACTCTGCCCACTTTATTACTGAAATTGGAGCAGCATCTCCCAGAGGAAAGAGTCAGCAGCTCACCGAGTTTTGCTCCTACAAAGGGCAAGAGAAATTCAAATCAAAGAGATTAATTTTCTACAAAGAGTGACATTTTTGTCTGAATACAGAGTACCAAATAATTATATGCTTTGGAAGATGTCTAAGTAAATTGGCGTGGAAATCTGTAGGTTGAAATATAACAAAATCATGGTTTTTTTTGTCTGAATCCTCAAAGCCTTGTGCACTGCTCTATTTTGTAACATAACAAAAAATAAATACGGGAAGCAAACAAAGAACTGATGGCAAAAGCCGGTCAAAAGAAATCAACAACAAAGCATTTGATCAGCCTGTATGAATGCTGCACTAATTACTGCCATGGCCTGCACATACAAGCTCTTTAAACCCGTTTGCTGCTGTAACAATTGGCCACTGCATAACCAAAGCGTCGTTTCCAAAGGGATCACCCTGTACTGCTTTTTCCTTTCCCTGCTAGATTTTTCATTGCTGTCACTCTGGTCCTTAGAGAACTATCAGTAATACCCCTAGGGTAATGACCTAGCTAAACAAGGCTGTATTTATAGTGCTATTATTTCCCCCGGTAGTACATTTCAGTGCACAGAGAAAGCAAGTGGATCCCTTGAGGATTATATCCAAACATATCTACTATTAAAAAAAAAAAAAAGAAATAGATCAGAGTTAATTTTAGCTTTACCTAGGTCTTTCAGGGACACGCAGTGGGCCTCAGCCTGGGAAACCAGAGAAGCAACTCAACATGACCTTCTCATTTTCAAGCCACTTTCCCCTTGCTATTGCTGGGTTAAGTTACCAGTGACTAACCTATTTGGTATGGCATTTTAGTGTCATTGCTTTCTGCAGAATGAATGTCAGGACTCGCAGTCCTTGCTAGATGCTGCATTTTCTGCAGAAGTTGATTGTGGAGAATGTATTACATTTCACCTTATTTTTATGCCATGCAAGACCATTTGCTGTGACAATGAAATGCCTGACACTGTCCAAATTCACATCATTCCAGAGAGGTAACTCCTTTATCTCTAATACAGATAGAGTACATTATCATGTCAGAGAGATGTTCATTTACTAAAAAAGATGAAAATCCTGATCAGGGTAACATCTTGTGGTTGGACTGGATGATCTTGGAGGTCTTTTCCAACCTTGGTGATTCTATGATCTTGGAAGTAAACTGCAACTGTGGATAACAACATACCTTCTGGATCATGAGTACTGATTTCAGCTGTCTACAATGATGTGCACCTCTGTGCTTCACACCTCATCCTTTAAGCTTGAGTCTCACAAACAGGTGTCTTCTCAGGCACATTTTCCCAATAGATATCCACCCACTGTGCTTGGAACATCTGCCTACAACAGCACTGAAGTTTGTGGGAACACAGCCCAGGTTTCCAGCACTGTTCCTCCTGGAAGTGTCCTTCCTCAAACAGCCCCAGGGACAGATGCTATTTTAACCCATCACTGCACATCAATTGTTGGCACAGTGCGCCTCTCCATTTCATGCATCAGATGCTTTGTTCCAAGCATTTGATTTTGGGCAGCCTTTGGGACTGACTGAGCTGCACATAAAGGCTGTGGAAGAAGCCAGCAGAGCTGGATGAGAACTGCTGCTGTGATTGCTCCCCTAGCTGCTGTGTTCAGAGAGGGAGAAGTAGCACTGCATGGCGAGACAGTACTGCAATGCAAATGCAAAAAGTTCAACAGCGGCTCCAAAACATTTACCTGAGGGGGCAAAACTTCAGCTCCAGCCCTGATGATTTTTTGTGATTTCCTTTTAAGGTTGTTACCTGCCATTCACCAGCCTCACAAATAGAGTGCTATCAGAGCTGGGCTTTTACAGCAGTTTTCCCAACAACAGAAGGTCCAGCACCGCTGACCTGAAGATGTGGTCTCCAAACAACAAACCGACCCTAACAATTAAATTGAACACTTGCTCTGGGACAGATATTTAAACACTGCTTCAGTGGCAGGAGAAAAGATCAGGAAGAATCTTGATCAGCTGCTAAACAAAGCAATATTTAAACAGTCTCATATCTGTCTCCCCATTCAGTACTACAGAGCTTCAACAAGGCTCTGGGGGATTTGGCCACTGCAGGAAATCTGTCTTAGCAGAATATGTAAATATGTGATGGAACCTTTGCCAAACATACACTGCCTCTCCCCCTGTCCTCTCCTCTCCCTGGCTTCAGGGTGGAGACAGATTCCTCAAACACACTTGCAAGGCCAGCGATAATCTCTAATGCTTTTCAAGACTGTGAGATGCCAGGAATGATAGATTTCATAGATGAAGGAGTTTAGTACAAGAACAAGTCTCTCTCCTTTTATGAGGTTTTTTTTTTTTTAAGTCTCTGATTATTTCAATAATCTGATTTATATGCTGTGGCCTCACAGGTAGATCTATTGATAAAGTGGCACGAGGGAAAGCCTGGGACATTGGAAAGGGAATAATTTTTATCAAATGACTCTGTTTTTTGTCAGAAAGTTTTGCTATTAAAGAAAACATGGCATTGAATTACCTTAAGTCACATTTTGTTAGAGAAAAATCATGAAAGTACACCCGCACTGGCTCTGTCCTTTACCCACAGCTTCCCACAGAACAGCCATGAAGGCAGTGGTGGCACTGACTGGGCTGAGGCTCAGGTTCTCTGCTGAGCAAGCCAGAAAGACAGACAGCAAAGCAAAGCCCTCTCTCCATATCCAGAGAGCCAATGCTGAGCACAGCAGCAAGGCCTCAGCAGCTGCTGTACCCCTCCGCAGCCCTAGGGAGGTATGAGGCAGCTGGGAGAGCTGTCCTGCTGGACCTGGGGCTAAGTGGTACACAGCAGCCAGGAATGGTCAAACACATTACGCGATAAGAAACCACAACAGCCAGTGAATAATGTATGGGATAAACTACTTCCGAAGCGTTTGATCAACTCTACTGGCTATCATTGCTTTTGCTGAATCAACAGCCCCCATCAAAGCATATGCTCTAGAGAAAACAAGCAGCACTGTGACAGGTTAGGAGAGACGTTTGCTAAATTAAATGCATGGCCCACTTGCTCCTCTGAGCCATAATGCAGTGCATACATGGAAATCCACGCTGCTAAACGCATCTCTCTGAAGTAGCTGTCTGTGCATACACAATCTGCTCCCTTCAAGGTTTTTCCATTAACATACCCATGTGTAGAGCTATAAATCAAAATGAAAGAGAACACTGCAGGCCAGCAGAAAGTAAAAGGGAAAGAAATTACATCGTAGGATGTTTTGCAAACGGTGGTGATTAGCTATTATCAGTTAAAATAGCAGACGTGGAGATTCAGAACCTTAGTGGCCCACAGCAGAGGGCTAAGTGGAAGGTTAGGGGAAAACAATGCTTTCAGCCAGTCCTGAAAACAGAAACATGACAGAAAAAAAGATTAAAACCATTGCTGAATTCACAATTATACGCAGAATTTACAGCAAGCAGAAATAAGGAGACAATAGCATTGACTTCCTTTGCAGTGTCAGAGGACACGAAGCCTGGCAGTGCAGTGCAGCACTGCCCAAAGCCTCCTGGCAGGAGGAAGGCCCTCACAGGTGCACGATAACCTCCTGGGGCCATCCCAAGAGCTGATGTGACACAGCAGGCTGCCCAAACCAACACAGGAAAGGGATTAACGTGAACGATTCCTACGCTTCACTAAGTAGTTCTTGAGATGTGTTGTGAGGAAATTATCAGGTTTTCACTACAAATATTCCCCACAGACATCACTCACCACTGCAAAAACTTAAATCCTTCCTCACCGCCACATTGTTCCAAATAGCAACTGTTGTTTTACAGGCTTGGTGGGTTTTCAGAAACAGAAAGAAAGCCTGCCGAGAGGAGTTGTTGCTGAAGAGATGACAATTTGATCAACACTGTAATGACCAGACTCCTCCTGCTAGCAGATGAGCACCCGTGGCCCACAAGGTCCCACAGTTATGCCATCCCCCTGGGAAAACCACCCTGCTGGATCCCCTTGGTAGGCCTGGCAGAGAGATCGCTGCTCCAATAGTCTGCATTCCAGCGCACACTGGGCTCTGCAGCTCAAAACTTGAATTCCCTTCACATTTGGGGCTAATGATGCACAAGCTCCAGGCTACCAGCTGCACTCAGAAGGCAATCTCACTTCATGTCCCCAATCATGCTGCGATGCCAGTGGGGCTGACAGCAGCACAGCCCGTTTTTGGCACGGTGAATCAGCCCATCAGGCTGTCGGAGCTGGTGCCAGCACACATGACAAGGCAGGAAAGCTGCCAGCTGCCGTTTGGTGCAGGCGCAGTTCCTATCTGGCAACATCAGATTGTACACTGCTCAGCACTGCTATTAAATACAGGAGCCATTTGAAAGCACTACAACAAGGTTACACGTAACAGGTTTAACCAAAGCTGCATATTTTCCTGCTATGGAAACCAGTCATAAGAACCAAAAAGCTGTCCAAAGCAGGAATTTCATGTGCGACTCTCTTCTAATCTGCCCTGTTCCCTTCTGAAGCCCTAAAACTGATGAATGACGACACAGACCAGTTGCAACCGGCCCAAAGCAGCAATCTCAGCTTTCCACGTTAACACTCTGCTAATATGTATTATCAGGGGTCACACCAAAGCACAGAGGTGTTTCCCCTGCCACCTCCAAATGACCTCGTTAAATGCACAGCCAATTGCTCCATCCTCACAAAACAAGTTCCCCATGAGCAGGAAGACAACAGAGCAGTTAAGCTGTAAGGCCTTAGGACAGGTTTGGTTTTTTTTCCCCCAGGAGCAGTAATAATCCACCTTGCTCAAAGCAAACAGCCAACAGAATGAGATAGGCACCACAATATCTAAAAAAACTCTCAAAAAATAGCCATAAACTTGCAGCTTGTCCTTAACTCCTAAGAGCAAAAAATACACAGACAAAACACAACAAAAGGTAAATTAAGACTCAGAAAACTTTCAGAAAAAATTGGACAGCTAAGCAGCACAATCATCACTAGGAGATCACAGATTAAAATCTGCCAGGAAAGCCGACATCAAGTTAACTCTATTTCAGAGCACGGAGGTGGCTGAGAGAACCTCTCAAGACTTCACAGCTGTAGCTGACAAATCAATACGATGGGAAAGGCATTACAACAGAGATGTGATGACAAAAGGACCAGCATGATGGAAAAGTACTAAAGCAAAGGAAGAAGATTACTCACCTATATCAGAAGATTCCAGGTTTGCAGGGGGAAGCTTCACCAAGGAGGGATGTCCAGCAAAAGATCCTTCCACGTGGCAGTCAACCCTTAAATGAGGTCTAAGAGAAGTGCAGCCAGGCTCCACCCTTTCTGGTCACACAGCTGAATTGCCTTCACCTGTGCTCCCAGGGCTGAGGGGGTCCTTTCCACAGGTGCTCAATCAGTGGGTCAGGCTGTGACTCAACGGTTCCCGTTTCTCTGTGAACCTGAAGTCACTGGCATTTCGTGAGGAGCACCAAGAACCAAAATACTCAGAACTGTGTACTGCACAATTTTGCTACCTTAACAAATATTTTCTTGCTTTTTAAACACTCCAGTAAATTCTTTATAGGATTTGTAAGCTATGCTCCCATTGAGGCCCTCCAGCTGGTCTTCCTTTGTCACATCACACAACAGGAACCTCTGAGTTTTCCCTGCCACGCAAGGCAAACTCCATTGCTATCAACAGACTCCACTTAGCCACAGAATAAAACTGCATCCTCTATTCCTGGAGGTGTTCAAGGCCAGGATGGATGGGGCCCTGTCCAGCCCGAACTGGTGGATGGCAATCTTGCCCATGGCAGGGGGCTGGAACTGGATGTTTTTAATATCCCTTCCAACACATGCCATTCTGTGATTCTTTGACTCTGTATAAAACACCTGAGAGACTGTAACTTTGGTAACATCCAAACATTTTTTGCGTGTAGAGCAAAATGTAGCACTGCAGGATCAGAAGTGCACCACCAACACTGAGCCATTCAGATGGAGCAACCGATGAATGACGGTGCAAGCATGGCAGCCCTGCACCAGGCAGCCCCATGCAGGAGCAGGGTGCTGCACCAGATCACCCCGCATCCCAGTGAGTGCAGAGATCACAGAATTGAGTTGGAAGGGGCCTTTAAAAGTCATCTAGGCCAACTTCCCTGCAGTGAACAGGGACACATACAGCTCCATCAGGTGCTCAGAGCCCCATCCTACCTGACCTTGGGTGCCCCAGGAACGGGGCATCCACACCTCTCAGCAACCTGTGCCAGTGCCTCACTGCCCTTATCATAAAAAAACCCTTTTTCTGTATATCCAATCTAAATTCTCCCCTGATGCAGAGCTTGGCTGAATTGCTGGGGTACAAGGGCACGGAACCTCTGTGTGCCCTTAGGAAGGATTACGTATTTTATTTGTTGAATTCAAATAACTTTTCAGTCTAAATTGCTGTTGTGTGTTCTAAATATTATGCAAGTTTCAGGTTTTCTGTTTATTTTAAAGTCTTCTTTGTTACTGGTCACAACATACATGTGTTTATATGGTCTTGAAAGTACCATCTGGAATCGCGTCCCAAGAAACATTCTCCTGGTAGACAACCTGTGTACTGCTGAATAATGAGGATGCGTTTCAGAAAGACAGAGCACATCTGTTGGTGATTTTTTTTCCTGTTTGTTTCATGGGTTTTTTGTTTGTTTGCTTGCTTGCTTTTTATTTAAAATGTGAGCCCACTCTCCATTAATTACATTTCCAAAGAACAAAATGCGTCTCTTAAACTCAGCTGCATCAAACCCCCGTGTGCAAGGCCAACACAGAACATATGCTACAGATGCCTCCTGTGCCTTTGCCTTTGTGCAGTTATGCTCCAGCTCTGCCCCAGGGGAGGAAGTTTCCTGCAGATGGGCAGTGGCTGGAAGCACTGCAGCTCTCAGGGAAGCCCCTCTGGCTGGATTAAACATCTGCAAAGAGCTCTGCCATTTCTCAGCTTTCAAAACAACACATTTTCATCCATCTATTCCCATACAGCCAAGAACTAGTTTTCAGAGCGCCCAAGTCCATGCCACAGGGTGGACATGTGAACTTAGAGCCACATATTGCCAAGACATTATGGCATCTGGTACTGAGAAGATATCAGGAGAAATATCCAAAGTTAATGTACATGTACACAGAATTCAATTAATTACTACAGAGCTTCAGTGTTTCTCAGATCTCCTTGAAATTTAAAACTCTCCCACTTTTTGAAACACATATGTAACCTGCTGAAAGATCCATCTGAAAGCCAGACCCCTTCTGAATCAAAAGTTGTCCAAGTGCCAATTTACCTAGAGTATCTGAAATCCATATTTCCTTTTGAAATCTTACAATCACAGGCTTAAAAAATAATGTCTGTTTGCTTCTCAAATTCAGGAATCCCAGAGAGGTATTGTGACTCCCTGCTTATTTGCACCCAGTAGCAAGAATATTTCAGATTTTGATATCCCCATAGTTGAGCTCCATAGCATGGAATGCATTTAAACTACTCCCCAAGATCTCCAATCCAAACATGACATCTTGGTTTCCTGACTGTTCTGAAAAGTCTGAACGCTCATCTCTAGGTTCCTTGCAACGCAAGCCAACCCACCTGCACACCCTGAATGATGTTCCGTAACAACAAAACACATTTGGGTAGGAAAGTCTGAAGAGATTTAATAGGATGCTGTGCAAGAAATGCCCCCACTGTCAAAAAAGAAGAGGAGAGGAGGGATACAGGAAGGCTCAAAAGTTTACAAAACATGCCTCATTTGTTGACTTAAAGTTCTCTTCCAATCTACCTGGGAATTCCGTCTTTCACAGCAGATGGATGTGTTTCGGCTACTTTCACACAGTACTACACACAGCAATATGAACTATCCCTTGTACCTGGCTCAGCAGCTCTTAACCTTTTCCAATGTCAGTTCTAAGAGGTCTCCCGCACATCTCAGTCTTTCACAACAGGCCAGCTTTTCTTAGTTATGCTGTGTGGGTCACTTGCAAAGAAGTTCAAAGAGAAAATCAGGTTTAAAACCACTGTTACATAAATCTGAGGTTTAATAATACAGGAGCAAAGGTAGTAAATAACTAAGAAAAATTGTGGTCCTGAGGTCCACGAGCATCAAATGACAAAATGGCTCAAGCCTTCAAACTAGCAGTGCTGCATTCATAGATTTAGCTTTCCCCAGCATCTAGTAATGTCATGCTATGGAAAGATTAGATCCTAAGGCAGACACACATATGGTGCTGCCTGCTAAATGCTAGCAGCTACTCCAGAGTCAGCGTTTGGGAAAAGTATGAGAGCCAGTATAATCCTATTTAGTTCTGAAAGATCAAACAGGGTTGGTAAGAGGGTAACATATCCACAGATTAGTGAAATGTTCTCAATTTTAGCATGGTCACTTTGAGATCATGTGCAGAAAGCACTTTCATCTAGAGATATACAGTTTTTGACCGTATCCCAGACAGATTAGAATTATATGAACTTCTGAATGTCACATTTAAAACCTGGAAATGGTACTCATAAAACACCATTCCCTTCTATCTATCCCTCATACAAATTGCTACTCGCTTATTGAGATGGGAAGGCTGGCTCTCCTACAGCCATATGCTACATAAACAGAGGGAACACACCATTTTTCTTAGCAGTCAAACCCTCATTAATATCCTCCATTTTTTGTAAACAAGATCAGAAGGAGCTAAATGGTTAAAGATATTATAAAATGCCAGTTGTTTAAACAAACAAGCCCATCCTGGTATTATCCACAATTAATTCTTAGAGAATGTGAAATGATGCACTGATCCAAGTGTCTCACAGCTCAGCAGATAGCTGCCTGCCTAGCTGAACACACAATTAAAGCTGTTAACAGTTCTAAGGAACTTCCCAGAATTTGCTGTTAACAAAAAGCTGGGACATAAAACTACCAAGTCTTTCCTCTTAGTCCCTTGTGCTCTGCCACTGCCTTGAAAACAGCAGTATAATTCAGGTCACAACAGAGAAGCCTTCACTCAAGGCAACCACGAATGAGTGGCTTCCAAAAGAAAAAGCTGTCCACAAGACTGAGCTGTCTGCTTGCAGCACCTACCCACATCACCAAAGGGCAAGAAGGAACCCTACTGAAGGCCAGGAATGAGTCTTCCACCACTGCCTACTCCAGAAGCATAAAATCACTGCCAGTGGAGATCCTGGGGAAACGTTATCTAAATGGTTACAGCACACACATTCCTTGTGATCAACCAGAGAAGCATTGTAAGTAACCAAAACAGATGTACAGATGTTACTTGCATGATAAGAACACAGGCAGGCAGAGCTGCAGAAAACTCACTCAGCCAACATCAGGCAGCTCCTGCTATCCCTGAACATTCCCCTACCCGGTATAATTGAGTACATTTAAACACAGACACAAATAGTTTAATATCCAAACAAACATCTGTATTTATAGCAGTGTCCCATCTAACACGTACACAGAGTGAGAGCAGCCAGATCGAGACAGCTGGTTGTCAACATAAAAATCTATTCAGTGTTTATCCCACTACCCGTGACTAAGCATGACTGTACGAGAAAAAAAGTACTCTTGTGTTTTGATGAAGATATAACCCCATATTAGGATACTTCGACTCAGTGAACAGCAATGTCTTAAGAGCACTGCGGTCAACTGAATTTCTCTTCCCTAAACTAAAGGTTAAATAAGCTGGGAGAAACAGACAGAGAGACATAAATCACTTTTTATAAAACTGCATTCCTCACTCAGGACAATGTAATGGGCAGCATTCAGAAGCTGTTGATGCAGTACCTATATTGCAGGTTGCTGGCTCATTCTGTACGTTCTCAGAAAAGTTTCAATATGGAGCTGAAATTAATACTGACTGGGACCAGGCATGTCATGGAACTGCACGCTTTGCTGGGTGCTGAAATGAGGACCAGTTTGTCTTGATAACTTCAGAGGATGGTAATAAATTCCCCTATTTTCTATCGAATACACTTGTCTATCTTTTTCTTCCAAGCATGCTTTATTTGCACATCCTACTTAAAACCTCATTCTCTCAGGGAATCTGATCCCCCCTCTTATCTGAAACAAATAAATCTCCTGTTTCTATAGCAATGCCTAATCACATAGTGACAGGTCAAGGCTTCAGTTAGCATTCTACTAGACAACACATCTCTTCTAGCCTTTTACAAACATCCATAAATACTCACCAGGGTCTATAACACGCTCGATGCCACCCTCATTAGATGAATAGACAGATTTTGTTCCTTACGACATCCTTCATATCCTTGACTGAGTTCTTAAAGTTCACTGGGCTAGGGATCCTGTGTGTTTATTCTGGAAGCTATTTCATCTCTGCAATTCTTTAGCTTAGACTGGTTATCCTCACCATAAGCCCAAACATTTTTGAAAGTGTCTATCCTGCCTGTAAATCATAAATAAGGTTCAGTAAAATGGTTTAAGAGTTCCAAGAAGAAAAAAAGGAACATTAGCTACATCACAAGATAATTCACAGAACTGTCAAATAGAAAAACAGACACACACTTTTAGTCAGTAAGCTAACACTCTGCTATTTTTGTCTTTGCTATTTAAGCCTCTTGTTTCATCATCAGTTGTGAAGCTGTATCACCAATACTTTTCAAAATGATTGTAGGAATCCTGCGTGTTTTCTCCAAGGGAAAAATGTTCTCATTTCCTTTCCCAAGCAACAGAAAAAAAAAAAAATGGAGTGCCAAGACAGGAAATTCAATCCAATCTGACACATAACAAGTAGAAATGAGGGTATGGAGAAAGGATAACAACTCAAGTTGTGTTGATGTTAATGTGAAAGATTTATCTATCTACAGACAGATACATGTCAGACTCTGGATTACATGTTTCCCTTAAACCAACCCTGATTAACTTGCTTGCCAGAAAGAAGAAAACCTCTAGCATTGTAAACTGCTGGTGGCTGAGTTTTTTCCAGTTACTTCTGTGAGGGAAAAAAAAAGAAAGAAAAAACAACCCACCATGTTTTAGCCACGATGCTTTGGCTTGATCCTTTCTTATCTGCTGTGGGATGCACTCCTCCCTTCACAAACAGTATAGTCTGAGTAGCAGTTTATTTTAAGCTGAAAAATAAGACTGGGAGATGACAAGCTCACATAGTTTAAATACAGTTACCTTATTCCATATTTGTAAACAAAATTTGATGCTGCTGGCATTACATACAACCAGCACCAGCACTGGACTTACAGCAATAGTAGGTTACACATCTCACAATACAACCCTCAGCCAACCAAGCAGGACAGCTTCCCAAACATGAGCACCATGTACAAGTGCACTGAACACCCAAATGAGAGATGCTGATTACTGCCGTGGCCAAAACCTTTTTATTTCCTTTACATATGAAAATGAGAGTGGCCCTTGAGTATCCATGCAAAATTAAAAAAAAAAAAACAAAAAATGTTCATTGTAGAACTCAACAACGAATCCTATTCTAAGAGCCCATTCTGTATAGAATTTGTATCATACCCCTTTACACTGACAGACAAGGAAGGAAAAAACCCACCAGATAACTGACAAATCATCACACTAGGATTAGTGTGTCTTTTCCAGTTACGTTATGAAGGGTTGTGAGGAGAATAGGAATAGCATGAAAACACAAAAAGTTAATTCAGTCATAGGATAGAAAAAAGAGGGTGTGATAGTTGATACTTTCACTGTTTTTTAGGATTTTATTTATGTTTCATTTACAATATATGAAGAATACAGTGTATATATGACTCCATGGCTATCAATAACTGCAGGAATGCCATTCTTTCCCAGAAAATTTCATAATAACTCAAAAGACATGAGGTCACTTTAGTTCGTAAACTGGTTCTACAGTCTCTCATTTCTTCACAAAATAATGGAGAAAACAAAGCAACAAATAAAAACTTTCTAGTTAAGTTTCCACTTGAATAACTTCCCCCCCCCCCCCAAGTATCAGTCCATTACAGTTTTGAAACCATAAAAACTCCTTTAGAAAAAAAAAAGTTAAAAAAGTCTTGTGAAAGGATTTTTTTTTTTTTTGTCCAATTCTGTCTGAGAATGATTTCAGCAGGGATTTACTTAATTTTATGTCATTTTCTCAACTACTTAAGCTTATATAATTCATCAGAATGCCCAAGAGTTTTAAAGCAATTAAAGAGACAAGCTAGCAGTCAACAATTGTTTCAGCTTTTCTGTAAGTCTTTCATGTCCAGACAAGCACTAAAAAACCCCCAGCTCAAGTGAAAGGGCATCACTAGGCAACACGAGGTGTTAGTCACATTGCTCTCCACAAGCACTTCCAAGTCAAGCCACAGGCAAGTGTCTCAGTGTTACAACAGCATAGCTAAATTTCACAAATCTAATATGTAGAACTTCTCATAACTAATATTAAAAGAACATTTATCAGAAACAAAACCTTCTCCTTCTTTCCATGTATCAATCTCTATGCATTCAGCACAATAACACTCAGCTTGACCAGCAGCATAAAGCTGTTAGAGAAAAGCACTCCACTAGAATGGGCTGACACCACGGGCTCCTATGCCCACTGGCTGAGAAATAAATACCTATGACTTCATTGGAAAGTCACCATCTCATATTTAACACATTCCTGTGGCTGCAGCTCCACATCTGAGCCAAGTTAAAACTTGCTGCCACACACAGAACTGTCCTGTTCTACTTCTTGCACCACCTCCAGTCACAACCGACACACCAATGTGCCAGCTGAGGCAGCTACACCAGTAGAAAACTATCAACTATCTTCTACCAGGTCAAGCTGTTTTTCAAAAAACAGTCAAGTAAATGATCATACCTCTGCTGAAGAGAGCATCCTCCCACCGTGCCCCCTGATGTCCTCATGACCACACCAACTTACTGGGCTGGCTGCCATGTTCACATGGTAGCTGTTGGCCTATCCGGCACAAAACTCCAGCACAGCAGAAAATCAGTTTCCTGGGTGTTTAGCAAATTCATTCAGGTATTGCCAAACCTGCTGCTAGGAAGAGAGGAGGACTGCATGGGCAGCTGCACCCTTCTGAGGGCAGCCCACGATCCATCAGGCTTGCTGTAGCATGAAAACTGTGTCAACTTGCTAGGATGGAAGAAAATGCTACTCAGTGCTAAAAAGAAAACTCCAGTTCAGCAATTGGCAAGTACACAGTTGAACAATAGACCTGAAACAACAAAACCATATAGCTAGGAACACCTTTCAGCGATGGTTTCAAGACAACTTATCCTACACTCTACCACTAGCCAGAAAATCTAACACTCAGCTCATTATCAGCTCTTCAAACAGATTTTTATTTTTGGAAATTGTTCAAATCATAACCTTTCTGGAAGAATTACTCTGGACAGTTTGTACAAAAGTAAATACAGTTCATCTACTTGTTCGTCTTACACATTTTAGTTTCAGCTCCAGATTTCTGATTTGGGTAAGAAAAAACAAATACAACGTGTAATTTCACACACTTGGAGGCTGGGAAAAGGGAGAACAAAAAAACTATGTCTATGAGTGAAACAAAGCTGTACATCACACTCCCAAGCAACAAATACTGTGGATAAGACAAAGTTTGCTCAAGTGACTTCAATTAAAAGGTGATTGTTAAACCAATTTAGGCTGAGAAAACACATTCTAAAATTCCATGTTCTAATAAGACTTTAAAAGAGCAACTGACAAAAGAAGACAGTAGAAAAAAAACACTTCTTTTAATCTTTTAAATCCACAAAAGCCTCATTTTTGGAAGCTAAAATAGCCCACTTACTAAGTAAAGGCTTAGTCAGCATCAAACCTGTAAGAGTGATTAAAACATTTTCACTCTTCGGAATATAGTAAAAATAACCAATGCTTTAATTAAACTGACATTAAGCAAATACATCAGCAGTGAAATGGTGGTGCATTTCCATACACTTTGCATTGCTGCTCAGGAGGTATCTGGGAGACTTTGACATGAAAGTCGAGCATCCACATAGCATAAGAAACAACTCCCTTTTTCTACAACTGGCTTCTTCCTGAGCAGGTTACAACAGAAATGCAGGTAACCACACGTGAGAAGCCAGACTCCCAGCAGAGGTCTAACCTAAGAGGATTACAGGGTCAAAATTCGAGCAGATGGAGAAAGGCTTTATCTGCACAGAGCAGAGAGGCAGAAACTCTTAGAAACAATTACAAAACAAAAACAAGAACAGTTTCTCAGGCACTCAGACTTCAGGGTAGACATTTTTCACTTTGTTTTCATATTTGCAAGTGTCTACACCACCGCAGTCAGCTGCTGAGCAGAATATATTAACGCGTGCAGAGCTCTGTGCTCTGCAGCTAGAATGCTTCCCACACCTTCCAGGCAGGAAAAATGGAGGTAGAGTACTTCAGTAAACTGTTTGCCTAATTATACATCTCAAAGGAAAGACAGCCAGGTTAAAAGCTGTAACTCAAGTTTTTATAGAAAAGCATAATTCATCTGGGCAGGAGAGAGATGAGTAACATTTATTCTTACATAACTGTTAGCTACTTTATCTTACGAAACATAAATCCACACAGCAAACTTTCCATAGCACCACTCAATGCATTTAAAAAGGCATTAAGCTATGCTTTCTGCTTTCTTCCTGCTGTCTCTATGAAGTTGCAAGCCTTCTAGACTGTCAAAAGCCAGTTAGAAAACAACATAGATAACATGGAAATGCTATCTCACCAACAAGGGAAACTACACGTGGGAAACATAATCTTAAAGAGTGGAAAAGATGAGACATTTCTTGTAGCCTCTCATTTTGCAATCTTATTTGCATAATCAAATAAGGTGTTTAAAAATAGCATAAAAGCAGCAATGATTCTGTCCACAATATTCTCCTTCACCATCTTTTCAGCCAACAAGGAACAATAGGAAAATGCATCAGAAGGCTTGTATGAGATTACAAAACGGTATTACTAGGATATGTATTCACAGTGTGGCTCACTGCAGTTGTTAAAGAAGTCTTTCATGAACTTGGAGAAAGTCATTAGCTTTGTATAAACAAGTGCTTCTATTCTGACATTTACATCGTGATGTGATTGTTATTAATGCTAACATTCAGGTAAGACATGGATTTTTGTTCAATTTATGAAAAAATAAACATCTTATGTGGTCGGTTTACTATTCTAACTACAGAAACTTCACAGTTTACTCAGAGTAGACATGATAAGAAATACATTCAGTCAAAAAAATCAAAATATAACAGCATAGTAATGTATGTAGTATGTCCACAGCCAGCAGTGAATAAGGAAAGCGAGGAAAAAACAGTATGGTACTGTACCACTCGTATGTCATTCCAAATCTTCTGTACAAATGGTAACCTTCACCTCCATAACTTGTCTGGGAAAACTTACAATTTAAGCATTCTATATGAAGATTATGGCTTCTTCTAATAAACTCAGTAAGACCACTAATTTATTCCCTTTTATTCAGTCGTACAACCAGTTTGTACTATAGTTTTCAAAACTGAAATGTACTGTACAAGATTTAAAAACTGGTACTGTGATGATCCCCATTGCAGCAGCTGCTGCAGTAAGATAAGATGTAAAAATATCAGAAAGTAAAAAAGAAAGAAACCAACTTTTATTCACACCAGAAACACAAATTTCAATGGAATTTTCCTTTATCAAAATAACCCCATTATGGCTACTTACATCTTTGCTGTAAGAGAACTGTACAATTTATATATAAATATGTATATATAAAAAGCAACTTTAGTGCTCCCTCAATGTTAATCATCATCATCTTCCTCTTCATCACTGATGACATACTTCTTATGCTTCTTACTTGCTTTGTCATCATCCTCTGCTTTTCTCTTTCCAGAAGGCTCCCCTTCCTTAAGGCAAGAAAGGACAAAAATTAAAAAAATATTCAAGCTAAAATAAAAAACAGTAAAATTATTTGTTCTAGTCTTTCCAGCTCATGCCTTTGTAGTGCTGCACTTCATTGATCAGCACTGGTTCCAGTCTCAGACCCCAAACCAAGAGGGTCCCCAATACAGTTGCACCTCCGTTTACCTCAGTGGGAATGCATCAACACCTGCTTCAAAATTAACTACTGTGTAAGGGTCATTTATCTCCCAATCTGGATTTATGGCATGTGTAATATCACTATCAGCAGTTATGAATTAAGGAGATAAGCTTAACATTTCCCTCAGATTCCTAACACTGGGGTTCTACATATGCTCTTTGCAAGGAAGTGCTATTTATACAGTGACAAAAGCCTACAAGTCTTATGACTATGGATAATTCCTAGAATTCGTAGGGAAATTTTCAACACAGAGAAGCTTTCTCTTCCGACAGTCTGGAGAGCTCAGCTGTCAGACTACTGATACTTGCAAACCTTAAGCTAGAGCTACTGAGAGAAAAACAAAACAAAAAGCCCATGAATTGGCAGGTGTTTTTGTCTACCACATTCTGGCGTAAAGGAAAAAGACTGATAAGGAACCACTAGTACTAAGAAACAATCCCACAGCTTACAGTCCTAGAAGTACAGCGTAGGAGGCTTCAAAGGGCTGGTCATGGGAACTCCAATCAGTGCGACTTCAGTTACTCAGAGGAATTCACAAAGAACTTGACATGAGCCGATCACTTGAGATAACTTACAGCCTGTTTTGTTGTTTTTTTTTGCTGTTAAAGCCCCTCACACCATTTAATTCAAATGCTAAAATACAGACTCTAATGCATGAAGCAAACTAAAATCTAGTGTTTTCCTACAGATCATAGAATGGCCTGGGTTGAAAAGGACCTTAAGGATCATCTAGTTTCACCCCCCTGCTGTGGGCAGGGCTGTCAACTACTAGACCAGATAAAATAGAATTCTTGTCAATCTTAAAACTTGAAGAAAAATGTCTAACTTGGTGACACAGGTCTCGTCTTTGCTGTAAAATCAACCCTAATAGCAAGAACAGGTGAGTGGTTCACAATGCAGAGTTCTAAAAGAAATACTGAAATTATGTAAAAACTATTTGTGAATTTAAGAACAGGCAAAAACCCAAGTAACAGATTCTGATTAACCAAGTAGCCTACAACACAGGCCCAAATTGCTTCAGGTTACCTTATCAATATGTAGAACTCATCATTTCTTCCTGTCACACTATTTCTAGATAATCTCCTGTTCATAACAACACTGCAATGACTTTTTGCAGGCCGGGTGACCAGTTCCTAGCACTTAAATACAGAGCCAACAGTTTGATTGTTAATCTAAACACATTTATGCCAGTTCAATTTAAATCAGCCTGCTAGGCACCACTTCGATCCAAAGTGTTCTGAAGATACTTGTTCACACTACAGATCATTAATTGCGAATGCAAAACTCACCAATTTTGACATAAAGGATGAGTGGCAACTCAATTAGAATTTAAAAAGAAGAGTAACTTTGAAAATACCCTCAGGCATAAGGAACCTAATCTCCCCTTCCATTAGTTAATTTTCTTTATTAAGAGCAACACACATTAATTGGATTTTAAGAAGCAGCAAGAGACAACATAGCCTTTCTAATTACTTATTATTCAAAACATTTTATTTTATATTAATGTTGAATTAGAATGCTGAGAATCTGAATTAGGAAGGAAATTTAAGCATGGAAAACAAATTAGTATGGGTGGGAATCTCAATCACAGCTACTTCCTCAGAACGTTTGTTCTCTTATACTTTAGCTGGGCTATTGTTACAGACTCACCTTCCTATGTGCAGAATATCCACATTAATTACAGTAATGGTAACTTGCCACATGGTGATAAAAGGTATTAATAACAGAGTGATGTTTTCAGCATTGCTAACCAACTGTCAGCAGGAAAAAGATCTGGGCTGTGCTGTTGACTGACAGCACACAAAAGCAAGTCCAATGTTTCATATATATAGATACTGTACTTTCAGTGAGCATGAAGGAAGTAAGTTGTGAGCTACTGGTTGGGTTTCATTAAGTAGAGCTGCAGCACCCCTTTGTGGTTCTGACAGGAATACTGCCTTTACAGCCTGCAACTGTAAAATGGAGGCTACCATTCTCAAGCAGCAGACAAACACAACTAACAAAGCCTTTCTTCTGGGAGACTAGAATTGCAAAATCCTAATGTTGCTATATTGCAGACTAACAGCTAGCAGTGTCTTGTCTGTAAAATAAATCTACTAGCACCAACAGAGCTCTCAAAATTACAGTTTAGTCTAGCGTGCTACATGTAACTAAAGGAAAGTGCCTGAAACATCTAGGACAAGAGCTGAGATAATTTCAATAGTTAAAATAATCTCTTAAGGGAAACGGTGATATAGAACCAAAGTTGAACAAAACATTGAAAAGCATTCCATAAATTAACAATGACCTACCCAAACTTCTGTTTTTAAACTTCTGTACATTATTCTATACATAAGCATTTAATTAAATAAAATATAATTTACAGTCAAACAGGACTGGAAGATTAATCAAACCAGCATGTCAGTACAAAAACACCTCCTGTAACCTACAAGTAGGAGGTAGTAAGAATCTAATTAAGCTTAGGAGACAACACTGCAAAAGGGATCTGGTATTAAGCCTTTTTCCTCTCTGCATGATTTTGTTGAAGTCACTTTACACTGCACAGCACCTGCTTTTCTGTGCAATCAGCAGTAACAATAAGGATCTCCTTCAGGTATCACTCAAATCTGTGAACTAATGCAGTAAATAAGAAATAGGCATGAATAATTAATCATCCTGCCAACACAAATTTTATGCTAATCACAGCAAAACCGAAACTACAAAAACGTCAGCTTTACAAACTGTATTAAGTGCATGTTCCTGACTGAAAACAAGTAGCTATTAAAGAACAAAGTCATATTTTACCTCATCACTAGTAAGTTTCTTTGCCTTGAGTAGTCTTTGTGTTTTATCTTCATCTGAGCCTTCATCACTGTCTGAAGAGTAGATTCTAGCTCGTTCCTCTACAGAGAAAAATGAGAAGATAAATATTTATCTGAAACTGCTGAGAAAAAGACAGTATGAAAAATACTCCTTGTACATTTAGTGCCACAAAAATCAGACAGGATCTAATCTGTATATTATTAAATGAAATAAACGTGCATGAACTGAACTCTCATCTCCTCATGTATCAAATTAAGTGGCAAAATATAATCTTATCAGGATTCTCCCATGATATAAATCCACCTGAATTACAAAGGCCCTACTTAACTACTGGTAAGGTTTATAATTACCTCTGATGCCACCTTTGTATCTGTTTTTGATAGCTGCTAGACTGATTGCATCATCTCCCTCATCCTCTTCTTCATAGCGATCTGGTTCTAAATAATTTGCACTCAGACCACGCTGATGCTGCTTCTCCCTCATTCTTCGCTGCTGAGATTCTCTGCGAATGGAAGCTCTTAATCTCTCCTCTTCTTTCTGTCCAAAGAAAGCAGCAAAATATGAAGGATGAGTCAAACATAATAAAAATCGCGGTAGTCTACTGTAGCTTTTAAAATCCTCTCACAGCAGTGGGAAGAGTGCATATAATTCTGATTTTTTTTTTTGTGATCTGTAAGATTAAGCTGTTTCAAAGAAAAAAGCTGCAAGTACAAGCAGCACACACAGCTAACAATTACTACTTGTTACTCTAAAATACACTGTTTTCCAGAAACACATCAAATGTTTAGAAATGTTCAACTACATTTCAGTTGTTTTTTTGTTTTTTAATGATTTTAGATTAAATCAGCAGATAAGAAAGTTCCATGTCAGAATACCTTAATCATTTCTGTGCGCTGAGACTCCGGATCACGACCTGCCATTGGCAAAATACGAATTTTCTGGGTCTTTGAACACCTATCTGCCAGAGACAGAGTCATCTTCCTGTGGGTGGCACTGTCTGTAGAGTGTGGCCTGATGGAAAATTGCTTTGGGTTAAATACTTATAAAAAGAATCTATCCATTTCCAAGTGACAATCACACAGCAGGTGTACTTAAGATTTGAAAGATTAATCTGCACAAAAATAAAAGCATTACTACTATTGTGCACTGTAATAGCTACTGGAGACATCACTTCCTCTCTCAGCACCCTGTCTGCAGTCCATTAGCAGCCTAAAAAATCATCCTCACATTTCACTTCAATATCCCAAGTCATAAGCATCACCCTGATAGCCGCCATTCTGATTCAGATGGAGACTTGCCCTTCACAATACAAACTGAAATACATTAAAAAAGTAAATGAACACACGTAGCCTTGGTACTGCAGTGAATAACAAACACATCAGCCTTTCAAACTGGGACATCCAGCTTAGGAAAAATCTTTCCCAAACCCTCCAAAAATAGCACATTCTTAGTGAACAGTTGAGCTCTGAATGCTTACTAATTGCTCTCTCTCTATGTACTAGTTACAGTACTTAATTGCAAAAGTAGTAGCACCATTTGATGTAGAACATCATGTTTACCTGAAGGTTAACTTTGTCTTGAAAACAGCCTGTCCTTGCAGACCGGTCCCTTGTCTGATAAACAGATGGTTGTGATCTCCCTGCAGCGGTGCCTTGTACACATCAAAGACCTCATTTCCCAAGTGGAGAGACATGCTTAAAAGAGATTAATGTATCAGTTACTTGATAAAGTCACTACAGTCTACTTTTTGCCTCATTTATAAACAGTGAAAGCCTTCACGTTTCCCTTTAACAAATAGCCAATAACTATATTTCACTTGCAAACAAAGCAGAGCAGAACATTTTCAATGCACTGAGACTACACTATTTTTGTTGCACAGAACAGTCAATCAGTTTTGCATGCTACAGGATTCCACTGTGAAAACAGGAGCTGTACTCCTCCAAAAGCAAAAAGTTTAAACCAACCTTCCATCCGACCACTTGACTATCCGGGCATTGCTTTCTCTGATCTCATTCCCTTCCTCATCTCGCCGCATCCGCCACCGTATTGTGTTTTCTACCTGTCAGAACAGCAACTTGTTGTTAAACTCATAGTGGAATACTGTGGTAAAATACACCCTATGCTGGTCAAGAATGACAGCTAGAAGAGCTATATAATTTGCCATGTGATACAAAGAGATGAAGGTGAAAGGGGTGGCTCTTACAGGAGAAAGGCAGTTGTTAACAGGTTTTTTTTAATTTGTTCTTTTTTTTAGCATTACTAAAACACAGCAATATTCCTCAGCAGTGAACTCATCCATACCTTCGTAACTTAACTCATAACACCATTACAAAACACCTGAAATAGACTTCAATGAAACGTGGTTAGGTGAGCATAGAGCATATATGCTTATACCTTGAGTTTTAATCTCGTTCTCCCTTCTTCATCAAGCATCTCCTCATCTTCAAACTCATCCTCATAATACTGGGGATCAAATGGTCTGTAATAAATTATACAATATAGTATTCATTCTTCTAGAAGTTAATCCAGATTATCCTTGTGCACAATAACAGGTACTTGAAAGGTTTAAATTATACACTGCACACAACAGGAGGCACTGCAGCTGCAAGGCAGCCATTTCTGCAGTAATGTAATTTACTGCATTGACTCTGCTCTGCAGGAGGCCAACCCAAGCATCTTCACCACCATCAATTACAGCCACTTTAACATTCACACCCTCTCAATGGCTCCAGCTAAAGAAAGCAAGTCTGCTTCAGAACAAAATGTTTCCTCAGTATCAGGATAAAGAGGTCAGGGTTAAGTCTGGAAATAAATGCAGGTAATTTTATAAAAAGGCCCACTCACTAGCCTACATCCTACTGACCTATCCTCACTAAAGTGTGCACCTTAATGTTAACCATTTTAAATACAACCAATATAATTAATTGTACTACTAAAACAAAAGCAAAATATTGAAACACTAAAAAACCCAACAACTTATCATCTACATATTTAATATAGAATTACCTGGGTTCCACACTGAGAAAGTTGGGCAGCTTCACAAAATACAAATCGTTACCCAAGTCTGTGTTTACTTTTGGTATTTCTACCTCTATTCTTGTCTCTGGAATAGGCTCTTCCTCCTGCTGTTCTTGGCTCAGCCCATTCTCATCCTAATGGCAAAGAAGCACAATAGGAGCAAAAGTGAAAAAATATCAGTCTGACTGTTGCTGGAATAAGTGCTTCCATTTTGACTGAGAAAAATTCCACTGGTATGTAGAGAGAGATCAGGAAGCTTCTCATAAATGCACTTGAACCTTTTCAGTAAAACCAATCCATTTTTATATGACACTGAAAGCCATTTCAAATACCAGCGGGAACTTGAGAAAACAAAGACAGAATGGAAATAGCAAGAGAGCTGACACAGCTTTCAGCAAGGAATGAAAAAATAAGCGTGGGATAAGATTTAAAAAAAAATTCTTAAGTATCTTCAAGGCTCAAAAAGAAAATATTTGTCAAACAGCTGTAAGTAGGGTACCAAGAAGACCTGTGAATTTGTATTTCTCTTGATGACAATCAAAATGTAGTCAGTGTATTCTTTTTTCCAAATGGAAGAAGTGGAGCAGGGCTGGGGGAAGGCATGTCAACATATCTAATATTGCTATGCATAAAACTCCAATCATTATTTTAGCTAGGGCAAGATTATCTGTAGATTCTTACTTAACACTGTTAACAACTGTTAACACTTTTTCCATTAAAATATTATCAAACCCCATTGTTCCAGATCTCAAAGTGAAACAGTGGTTTCATTACTTCAAAAGTCAGCCTACTCACAATGGGCTGTCCTGGAGTTGGTGGCTTGTCTTCCCCATCGCTCCCTGAAGAAATGTCATCTGCTCCTCCAAACAGGTCCATGACGTCTGCGTGTTCTGGAGGAGAAAAATGACTGTTTTAAAATACACAAATATGCAAACATACACGCCCCTTCATGCAAATACAAACACAGAAAAAATAATCCTTCACTTTTATCACCACTTAAAATCACCTACAAAGTTTAAGAATCTCTAATTGTTATGAAGCACAGACTATTTTTATCGTACAAAAAAAAAAAAAAAAAAAAAGATCTTCCTTGTTTTGAAGCTGGAGAGTCAGTGCTTTCCTGGAAAGGCTCTATTATGGAGAATCCAGATGAAAATTGGCAACAGACAAATCAAGAGTTAAAGTTCATCCTTTACTCAAGTGTAAAGTGTTTAAGTATACATAACAAGCAACCTCACTGCAAACTTTGGAAGTTTTACTTCTCATTAAAAGCAGCATCTTCTCTCAACCAGCAAAGTATCAGGGTTTCTCAGGCTCCTGTGACAAGATGCACCATGAGCTCTGACAATGGGGTGTGAACCAACACTCACAACAGAAAAGCTCTGCCCCTCGTGGAGAAAACTGAGAGACGACAAAGCTAAAGAGAAATCACCAGGAGAAATACAGCGTGTGCCTCCTCACACTGCATCTTTTCTGTGCCGCTCTGCTGTGTCCATGGCACTGCAGTTACATCACAATGTGAATGCTATTGACTGTATCAAGTATCACAGCAGAAAAACGATGGATTTAAAGACAAATGAACCAAAAGCCAACAAACGAATCCCATCTTTACCTTTCTGGCCTTCTGTATCACTGTCCACCTCTGAATCTGATGCAATTGGTTTCTTTCGCTTCATTCGCAAGACTTCATCTTCACTATCGCTGCCTCTTGCAGACTCTCCTAAAAAGCATAATTATTCTCAGCAGACTAAGAATTCTGTTTTACATATTTTAAAATTCCTTTTATTAATCAAGTTGTTTTAGATTAGAAGTAATTTAAACACTGTGTAAAAACAAAACAAAACAAACTAACATTAAAAAGATGCCCATGTTTGAAAGTTATGTGATTAATGTTTAAGACAGAATTTTTCAAGCCAATGTAAATGAAACAACAGAGAACACACCAGGCTGTAAGAAGCAAACCATTACAACTGCACTGGATCCTACCAGATTTATGCTCCTGCTCCTCCTCATCAGAGTGCTGGGCCCTTTCGTCATCGTCAGAGTTCTGCATCTTCTCCTCATCGGAGTGCTGGGCTCTTTCATCATCGTCTGAGTTTTGCATCTTCTCCTCGTCTGACACCTGCGGCCTCTCCTCGTCATCAGAGTTCTGCATCTTCTCCTCGTCCGAGTTCTGGAGCCTCTCCTCATCATCAGACATTTGAGGCCTCTCATCTTCATCAGAGTTCTGAGCTTTCTCCTCATCGTCCGAGTTCTGCTGTCTCTCCTCATCATCGGAGTTCTGCTGTCGCTCCTCATCGTCTGACTGATCGCTTTTGTCCTCCTTGCCCCACTTCTCATCCTCCGAATGGGCTTTTTCTGAACCGTCTCCCTCAGAATGGTGACTGCCCTCATCAGACCCGTGTCCCCTCTCATCCTCCTCGTCATCATGAGCGGCTTCTGAAGCGCTGTGCTGGTCCACGTCCGACTGATCGTTGTCTTCGTGCTCAGAGTGCCCCGAAGCTTCGGAGCGATTGTACGACCTCTCGGAGTGGTTGTCACTGCCTGTGTGATGGGAGGCTCCTTCGTCCTCACTGTCGTCTCCAAACAGCTCCTTGTTGCTGGGCTTTGCTGCCTCCCGCTCGTCATCCTGCTCGCTGTCGCTGCCCGAGGCGTTGCTGCCGGAGCCCACGTTCTCCTGGTCGGAGTCGGAGTCTGAGCCGGAATCGGTGTCTGCAAAACAAACACCGCCTCTCAAAGTTAAGCCGTCCCTACGAGGGGTCAAACAGGACCCAGGCACGCGTTACCCAACAGCAGAACTCCACGAGGCACAGAAGTTACCCACAACAATAAAACATTTACCAACGACGACACAAAGAACGGCCACAGGTACCGCTGTGTTCGGCATGCCCAGCCATTACCTAAGATTCTAAAGCTCTGGAAGGAATAAGCCGTTAAACAAAGCAAAGAACTCTGAGGCAGTGCCCGCTGCCAGGCGCTGCTGCACCGCTGTCCCTTAGGACGCCCGTAACCACCTTTCACCTGTGAAGAGCACGGAGCCGGCGGGCTGCACACCCCCACCCCCGGGCGGTAACCCGAAGCCCCGCGTTCCGCCCTGCTCTGCCTGAGGGTCTCGGGCGGGACAGCCGGTACACGGCAGCGAACGGCCGCACCTTTCTGCTCGGCCTCCGAGTCGGCGTCGCTGCCGAACAGCTCCTCCATGTCGGCCATGGCGGCTGCACGCGCCGGCGCCGCGCGGTGACGCGATACGGAGCGCCGGGGGCTGCATCCGGGAGGGGGAGGAGGAGGAGAAGGAGGAGGAGGAGGGAGGGCTCCCTCTGAGCTCCCGCCGCCCTCTTCCGCCTCCACAGCGCCCTCAGCTGCAGCGCGGTGCGAGGTGTGCGCGCCCAGTGCGCGGCGCGCTGCCATCTTGTGAGGCGGGAGCTCCCAGCTAAGGGAGAGCTGAACCTCCACACCGCGCCGCCTCTCCCCCCAAAGAAGTGCATTTTAATAGTTTTCGTACCACACTTGTATGAAATGTTTGATCTAAGGCCTGAGCAGCAGAGTTAGCTGGGAATACAGAAGTAAATCAGCACAGCAGCGTTCGCACGTTCAGCAGCACCACCACGTCTGTATGGGATGCGCCCAGCTCCCTCTGTCAGCTGCCTGGCCGCCTCCGGTCACATCAACTGCACCGCTCGGTGTGGCGCCATCTGCAGATTTGCTGAGGGTGCAGTCAATCCCATCATCTGTGTCACTGATGGAGATGTTGAAGAGTACTGGTCCCAGGACAGACGCCTGAGAGGCACCATTCCTCACCAGCTTCCACCTGCACACAGAGCTCTGACCAACCCTCTGCCAGCAACTATCCAACCAATTCTTTATCCAACTAGTCCAGCTTTCAAATCCATGTTTCTCCAATCTAGAAATAAAGGCACGGTGCAGGACCGTGTCAAAGGCCTTGCACAAGTCCACGTAGATGACAGCAGTCACCTTTCCTATGTTGACCAACGCTGTCACTCCTTCATAGAAGTCTGGCAGATTGGTCAGGCACAGTCTGCCCTTGCTATAGCCACGCTCTCAGATAGCCCTGTGCATGCCTTAGTATCTCTTTCAGGCAGATCTGCTCCATGATCTTCCCAGGAACAGACACGAGGCTCAACAGCCTGTAGTTCCCCAGGTCCTTCTTTTGTAAAAGGATGTTTCCCTTTTTCCAGTCAGAGGGGGTGTGATTTCACTCCCCCATCTCCCACCTGGAGGTTCAGGGATACAAGCAGCACGGAAGCCTGACTGGCAGTGAAGATGAAGAAGCTGCAGAGATGCTGAGCTTCTCTGGCATCTTCTGTCAAGCAAGGCCAGCTATAAGTATGTGAGCCATATAGCAGAGCTCATGTAGAGAACAGGCAGAGATCCACAGACAGCTTAGTAGTGTACTACTATGTACTATTTAAAAAACAAACAAAATGATACAATAGTTTAATCATTCAAAAATTTTACTGCTTTACAGTCTGACAGCATATAGTGCTGATAAGCTAAAACACTCAATTCACATTTCCTCAATGGAAATTTAAATTGAATACACGCTCATTTATAGCCTACAAGCTGTAGAGAGAATGAGGCTATTTCTTTAAAATACAACAGTATATAGATAATTGTTTTGGAATATAGTCTACATTTCCATGCTTAGATTGGAGCCAATGGAATCAACAGTGTGTGGTTATTTGGCTTCTGCATTAAATATGGAAAAGAATGTGAAAGAAGAGTACCACCTCTTTTGGAAAAAGACCTTGCATTTATGGTAGCTAGTTATCAAAATAATACCACTTTTATACTCAAAGTCATATGCTACACTTGAAACCATTAAATCCCAACATTCAACTTCGCTAAAGACTGTTTATGATTCCTGGCTACAGACTGAATTCTTTAATTTATTCCAGAATGATTATATACTGTAGATAAAAGTGTTGTAACTGTCATAACTGTTCCATGGTCCACACCAAATGCCTTTCAGCAGACGAAGGGAAGTTTTCTATGCCCACTGTCAGATACTTACCCTGAAAGGGCCAACAAACAAATTCTTAGCAGTTAACCAGTTAGGAGAGGTCCTCTATTATTGCCTATGACAGGACACCCAAGAGTTATAACTTGGAAGCCTCTACCTTTGATTGGAATATCAACCATGAAGCAGCTACGCTTGATTCTATAATGTAATAAAGAAGAGATTTTGGCTATAATTTCCATAATCCAGCCATTCATTTTTCTCCTTCATCTTCAAGTAGGACATAACTGCATAATCATGTTTGATAGTATAAAATAGTTACAGAATCACAACACATGAACAGATTTAATGAACATGCAGCCCTTCAAGAAAAGAAGGAAAACATTACAGACTATTTTTTGACACAAAATTATTATGGTGCCTGGCAAACGAGAAGTTCAGCTTTAGGCAACTGAGCACATTAAGGCTTTGACCATGTTTATACATCACTCCTGTCTGTGAAAAAAAACAAAAACAAAACCACTTAACATGTGAGTTTATCCATACTATGTAAGCACTTAGATTTTCACATCTAGGAAGCTCTTGAAAATTCATAAAAGCCAAAACCAAAAGAAGCCTTTTTTATTGCTACTAGTGAGATCACTTCTGGTTGCTTCAAACTTACACTCTGTAAAGTCTTTGGTTTTAATAGAATTTATTCCAATAGCTTTTCAGAGCACACATTTATTTGTAATTAGTCAATAAAAGGCCAATTTTGAAACAGGAAAAATATGTTCTTCCACAGTTATAAACCAGTTAAATACATCTTCATTGAAGGCACTATAGTTTTGAATTTGCTGTACAGTTGCGGTAAGATTAGAAGTCACCTGCAGAACAAAGTCTGTCTAAAATCCAAGACATCATTTGTAGGAAATTATAACACAGGCACAGTGTCAGAGGATTGCTCTGTTAATTTTTATAGTACATACAACGTGATGCAAAAAAAGTTTCAGTCCTATACGTTTCCTCTATATAAAAAGCTCACCATATGATGATGATCTGATGAAAACGGTTGTCAGTTGAGTTCTCATAAATATCTGAGCAGTCCTTCAGAGTATTTTGTTAATTTCTGGTCTCATGACAACATTAAGTAAGCTCAGTACGCTACAGTCCAAACAGGCCCACAGCAAAAAGCCCCTAGATTTTCATTATTTCCAAGATGTATACTTTGATTATGTGCAGAAATTTAAGTGATTCTTGTGGCCTTATTAGTTGGCATAGACACAGAGCTTGGAATGCCTGAATAAGTACTGTACTATGCAAATTTGGCACTACACATTGGTTAATTTCTGCAAGTCGTAGTGTTTCAAACATCAAGCCTTTCAAGAAACCGTTACTTCATTGTTTCATGAAAAGTTATACATTTATATGAAGTAATAACAATTTAATGCAATAGCTTGTAAAAAAGGATTTTCCATTTGCCAGAAACTTAGGACACTGATTTTTGTAATTAAGATTGTACCTGTACAAAATTAGGCAAATTTGACAAAAGCTTGTCCACTACTTCTAGAGAAATTCACACTAGTTATGCCTGTAGATAAGAATTTTTAAACATATAAACTAAATGCTGATGAGCACATGATAGTCTTAAAGTGTCCAGTTTAGATACAGAGCAAATTACAATTCTGGGACATTTTAAAAGCTTTTAGGAGTTAAGCATAGTAAGAAAAAACCCACTTTACATGACTTTTTTTTTTTTTTGGCAAGGCTCCTACTTTTTTTTTTTTTTTAAATTAGTCCCTCAAATCTCTTGGAAGAAAAGTCAATTTATTTTTGCCTGTTTTTAAGGGATGTTTACACTTAATCACAGTATCAAGAACAAATCAAAACAAAAAAATATACAAATAAGACAATTGTGAAAGATTTCCCTTCAGTGCATATGAACAAGGATGAACAGCTCTAAACAATGAGTCCAACTATTGTGTGAAGAATCCATTATCACTAAAGCATTGTTCTCAAGAACATACATACCCCTTCATGTAAATGAGCACCCCTAGATTTTCTAACTGGGTCATTATATACCCAATGATCTTGAATGTCCCATTCTTTGACTACAGACAATTATACAATTGATTTGCGATTACACTTTTAGTAGAAAGCACAGCCAAGGTCTTAAAATACAAAAAAGTTCTTTAAAAAAACAAACAAAAACAATCAAAAACTGGATCTGTACATGGATTGGTGTGGTTATGAAAAATGTGATGCATACCAGCAGATTATTAATATAGCTTTGCTTTAAAAGGAATGGGGTTTCCAGTCTTTTCCCTTCTAACCCAGGTAAATGCAGTCCAAGATTGCCAAAGCCCACTGTGAAGAGCGTGCTTTGAAGACCCTTGAAATCTTCACACAGTTCTATAGCAAGATCTACTGGCTGTCTCCTTCAACCCTTCTCTTGCGAACTACAACAAAACAGAAAAAGATGTATTTTAAAATGTTATTGTTACTGTATTACGTATTTCTGCATCATTGGTATGTTGTATGGTTCCCCACTTTGCTGTACAAAGGCTCATGCAATAATCTAAAGCAATCAACATTTAATATTATCCACCATTTACACAAGAACAGATTCAAATATTTGTTAGGAGAATCATATAGGAAACATTAATCTTTCTACTTCAAGTAAGCAGATTTAACAAGTTAGTCTTTGTTTTTATTGCCATAGTTTGCGTGGCTTTGACAGAAACAATTAAAACTTTCAAGAATACCCAATAAGATTTACACTCATTCAAATTTATACACGCTCAAAACAAAACTATATTAAAAAACTCTTTGAGATGTTATGCTCAATAGCCTAAAGCATTCAATTTATTAATAAAAATATTCAGTTGCCATAAAATGCAAAAGCAACAAAGATCCATGAATAAATCACCAATGCTCACATGCTGCTCTGGCTTTACGCAAGATTCATTGAATGCCTTCAAATTCTCCAGTCATGCAGTTAAAAGCAATATGCACATGGTTTCAGACAAAGAAGGAAGGGGAAGTAGTACAGCACAGTGTAGACAAAGGAGAAAGGTGCAGACCTTTTTTTTTTTTTTTTTAAATATAAAGAAGTCACGTACAAAGACAACTGAAAGACTGAGCATCTCGGTTTTCAGTGCTTGACACCCAAGTGGGCATTTAGAGTAACCTGTCTCTGCAGCTTCAGGACTGGAGAGGTGAAAAGGTATTTGCAGAAATTTTTACTCGGATACTCCAGACTAAGAAAGCAAGGAAAAACAGGCAAGATATCAGTAGAAGCATAGACTTCCATCACTCAAACACTAAAATGAGAACTAGCCAAAAGAGAAGCCTTAAAGGACAGAGACATACAGAGTGACAAGAAGAAAAACAGGTTTGGAATTAATTTTGAGAAACACTTATGCGTGTTTAAATGCCTTTCTTCTGTCTCTATTCTACCTGTTGCTCTCTCTCTCTTTCTTTCAGAGATGTTAGCCTGCACTTTACTATAAGGGAAGCAGATCAAGAAACCAAACGCTGGCTTCCTAGAAGCATTCCCTGTTATTAGATCTCTTCCTGAATTCCTACTACTGCTATTGAACAGCCTGGCTCATTTTCACACCAAAGGGATGTGTAATACTTACTGCATCACAAAGCATCTAACCAAACAAAGTTTAATGAAACGGAATTTTAAAACGCAATTCTATTTGAACATATTGACCTCCTTTTAACTTGTCATAGTTGAAACCTCCAAGTATTTGACACTATTAATAAGATTTTCATTCACATGTTATACTATTAACCAATTTTCTGTTGTTTTGTTTAGTTAGAGTTCTAATGTGAGCTCCAAACAGCAAAACTAAATGCAGCAAATAAAGACACCACTGCTACCATCTACATTTAAGAGAGGCAGGCAAGGCACCAGGGCATTAATGGAGCTGTAAGGGAAGAGGTGACTGCCAACTTCTGCACAAGACAGTGCATTCATCCCTCCCTGCTCAAGCATTCCAAATGAGACTGGGTGTATTAGCACGGAGGAGGGCATCTCACACTAATAAATTCAAATACAGTCTTTAAAAAGGCCATTAATCTTATCTGAATAAAACCAAATAATCAAAACTATTATTTTTCTTCCCTTGTCGCAACACATCTGGAATACGAATGTTCTTCCTGTTTCTGGACTATGCTAAAAATCCTGAACTCATGCATCTGGACATCTTGCAACAACAGAAACAGGGAACATCAAGTAGCAACAGAAGAGTAAAAGCACAGGAGAAACCTGAAACTGATTGACAAATTTTTTCCATCCTGGTTATATCAAAAGAAAACCTGGGAAAACAAACAGCTTTAAATGAATGCATGCAGCACAAGTTTTAAGAGCTACTCTCGACTGACAGGTCTTACCCAAGTCATTGTTTTTTGTGATAGCTGCAGCTGCCCTGGCTCGAGGTCCCTGTTGTGTGAAATGGTATCCAAATTTAAGGATCTTGGTGTTTTCTTCAAGCATCTTGGCAATTTCTACTTCTGCAAGAGTACCCAACTGCTGCCTCTATTTAAATGAAAAATACACAAAGACAGCAGAGCTTAGGTGTATTCATCCCTCATAAAAAAGAGATCAGGATACCTTCATCATAATAGTTAATAAATACCTGTTTTTAAAAAATTAATCTAAAAGGCACAAACTCATTATCATATCTTTGTGCATTTTAAAGCACAAAGAAGCAGAGAAGTGCTTCTTGAAATGGATGCTTATGAAAATCTTATAGACAAACACACATGGCATAAGATATTTAAAATATTTTTGAATGTTTATCACAAGAAGCCTAAAAGTACTCAGTCAACAAGGACAGACAGCATGTAAGCACTGATTTTAATTATCTACCATAGTCTCACTTACCTGATTATCAATTTTGATCTCTGTCAATGTTTCATTGTCTTTCAGTGCATCGACCAGTGCCAAAATTCCAACTCCGGTGATGAAGTTTGATTCAATGTTTAAACTTTTTAATTTTGTGTTTACTCTCAGCATATCTGCAAGAGCCTTTGAATGCAAGAAAGTACCATTAAACTTTTGAACTGTGCTACAGTACATCACAGGACAGAGCAATGACCACTTCCACCAACTAGCTCAATAGGAGCAACACCTTCACAGATGCATAGTGTAACTTTGCAAATATTCACCTCTTGAGACCGAAGAGAGTTTTCAACTAGGAATTATCTACATTCTCTTTTTAATAGTACTTACTCAAGAAAAGGCCTGTCTTGCTCTTGTTACAAACTAAAAAGCTACAGAGAATATAAATTGTCTGAAATTAGCATATTGGACCAATTCCATTTTGTAAGTTTTCACAGCACATAATGAGTAATGCAAGCTGTAAGTAAGAGTCAAAGAAAGGGGGTTAAGCCAACTAAAAAGAGAATTAGATATGGTTAATTTGTAAACAGGAGATCTGACTTTCAAAATGCTTGTGTCTACAGATTTGGTAGGAAACAGTAACAAAAAACACATAAAACCAGACCCCAAAATCAACCCTCTACCTTATTACAAGTGTTTCTGTTCCACTGAAAAGGAACTTTTTAATTCACCCAGGACAAAGCCTTCAAAAGTTTATTTATTCACTTAACTGAATGCTTTAAACAAGTGAAGCTGAAACAAGGGCAAAGGATTGTCCCAGCACATTTGTTAGCGCTGTTTTCTTACTTCTTTATGTGCAAATAAATAAGGAACTACTTTGATTCAGTACAGAAAAACAGGACCAAATGATAAAGACTTCGGTTTCAATTGTGTTGAATTAAATACTTTCATTGCCAATGCATTGAGCCCATCTTTGGTAGCAGGAAGATCAGAGAAATGGGTATTTTACAATTCTGTTCAACCAAAACTCAACTTAGTTGAAAAATGCGATGAGCACTTTCAGCCTCAAATGTATTTCCTTGGCAGTTAATTTTGAGTGTATTCCTAACTCATGGCATGAACATTATTAATGAAACAACTAGGAAAGAAAGAAAAAGGAGGTTAGCAAAATGAAATCCCCATTCATCTCATCATCTGACGCATTGCTGTATAGTCATCAAGTAATTGTTTACCAACTTCAATACAGCAAAGGTTTGCTAAAGTAAACACACAACACAAGGTAAAAGAAATTAATCATTTTCATATTAAAAATGATATATGTATACACACACACATACAGACAGGATTCTGTTCTATCCCTTACTGCTATCCTTCCATCCTAACTTCCCTTGTATCCCACCGAAGCACAAGTACTTACAACAGCAACAGGATCATTACTTCGGGTGGCTGCAAGGCTAAAATTCTTCACATGTGTGTTGGTTTCTAGAGCTTTTGCAAATTCTTTCAGCGTTGGAATTGGTATGTTCTTGAAATAAAAATAGCATTTCAGTCTCTTGAGATGCATAAGTTTAACCCCCACTCTCCACCCCCAAATTCTTCCATTGCCTTATTCTCTTCACAGCACAACACACTACACTATTAACCATCGCTGATCTCCAGCAGTCTCACGGTAAAGTCTTAGATGTGCAGCAGGGCTACGTGCAGGATGCAGTGGTTCTGAGTTGGTAATTCTATACATTAAACTCACCTTTATTTAACTGATGCCAATGCCACAATAGAAGAGTTAAAAGATATTTAGCTGTCTTGGAAATGTTACTGAGCTTACATGAACTGAATGTTCTTCTTACTATCACTACCATACTAATCTCTCACACACAGGAAACCACTTAAGAGCTCTAAAGCAACAGAATTCCATCCTCTCTGTTATATTAAAAATAATCTCAGAAATCACCAATTTACAGTTTGACGATTTTCACAAAGTAGTACCAAGCAACTGTAAAAGGAATAATTTCAGATAATTAATTACAGTTGCAAGTTTCTTGGCTTATTGTAATAGCAGTTTTGTTCTGTTACCTTTTTAAATATTCTGGCCAGTACTTCACTGTTGTGCAGTGTTCTTAAATAATGCATTTCTTTTACTGCCTGCAGTAAGAGCAACAAATAGTCTAGGCTGCCAGTGAGACAGTGCAGAAAGCAGTGACAGGCAGCTGGTTGCAGCAAGTCAGTTCTGTTATAGCTCTGTTTTCTTACAGATATATATATATGCAAAAATGTTCGGTCACGTTGAAGAACAATTCTTAAGAGCTGATAATTACTGACAGCTCTTCTGTACAAGAATCAGAACAATATTAGGTACAAGTACCATTTTGTTTGCAGTAGCAGTAATTGAGAGCACACTGCTTCACAAAGCACAAAGGATTCGAAGCAGTTAACTCCATGATGGTGAACTGCTGGAACTGTCACCAGCTTGGCAGCAACAGAAACCTGGTTTGGCAGTAAGAAAATCTGAGACTTTTAGAGTAGGCGTTTCGTAAAAGATACCAAGATGGCTTACTGCTTTATTTCAGGCCAGAAACTTGGAGCTAAAGTACACTGCATTTTGCAGGAAGGCTTCTATACTTAAAATAAGGCCACTGTGCCCACTCATAGTGCTGTACAGCTTTAAGGGTCTTCTCCCGAAAAAAGGCAGCATATTTACTGCATAATTCAGCTAATTACCTTGATGTTATTTAGATTAACTTCAACAAGACGGGAATCGTTATCTTTAATCCTTTGCAGAGTCTCCTCCACATTTGTGGGATTTGGTGGTTCATCAAAAACAGGTAACATTTTCTCACCTTTTACTATATCTGAAAAGTAAGGGATACAACTGTAATCAAACAATTGCATACATTCACTGTACACGTGATATATATACAAAATATTTGCTGTATTTAAAGATCATTTCCTCAATCTTCACATCTCTTCCTCACCCAAGAAGTATACCATCATTTCTGACTATATTTTTACAAAGTTCAGCCCTCCTCCAATGTTATTGCAGCCTCTCTCCTTTTCTTGAGCATGAGCTTTTTTCCAGAAAGTACATAGGATTTGAATAACAAACACACACGTTAAACCGAAAAACAAAGGCACACAAATGTATTTTGTGCCCACTTCTATCTCTCCAAGAAGTGAATTAACTACAGAATAGTTTTAAGCGTGAATTGGTAATTCCACTCTTGCCAGAACTCAACTGGAAACATTACAAACACGTATCTTATCAATTTACAATGTAAAGTCCTATTAAAAATGCCAGTGTAACAGAAAATAGTTAACACTACAGTAAGAGTCTGCAGTACAAATAACACATTTATTCAGCACTTGTGTAAATACTTACTTGAAAAGCTGTCTTTGCCAACACCATTACTGCTTCCTACAATATCACAGAACTGATTGTTTGTTATCAAGTTGGACATTCCCAGTATAGCTGTTAAAAGGGAAGAAAAAAAAAGAAAAAAGCGAAGAACAATTTTAGTGTCCCTGGCTAATTCAGCTTAGGGGCAGAGTTCCTTTAAATAATAACTGAAGTCCATCAAGCACCAGATCGCCAGTGCAATAACCCACTGAATCTCCTAATTTAAAGAAAAGGAGAAAAACTTTTAATGTAATAGAAAAGACTTTTTAGTTAGCATTCATGTCTTAGAAAGTTTCAACCTCACCAGGTTCAGGCATCATAGTTAAAAGCGCAGCTCAGCCAAACATTCTTGACTGAAGCTTTAGGAATATAAGCACATACCAACACATATGTATGAAAAAGCAGTGGTGAACACTAAACAAAAAGCAGCCAGTTTGAGGAATGAACTGAAAGATTCTGAGTTTTAAAATAGGGAATCTTAAGCCAAAACATCCCTATATATTAGCACAGACCAACAAAGATGATATGCTGCAAACAGACCAGCATTTAATTTGACCTACATAGTAGTTTCTACTACATTTCAGACAACAAACACCCTCTAACATTAATTGTACATCTCTATTTTCTAAACATGCAGCAGCCCAGTTGTACTTCCAAACAAAGAGACCCACAGCACTAACCTGCAAGGTCACATAGCTCTGTGTCTGTGGCACTTGTCAAGGCTTCCTCCAGTTCTGGATCAAGAGCAATTTTTTCTTCCGCATAAGACTGGGCAGGCTTCTGCTTCGGGATAAATATTTTCCCTAGAGTAAAGAAAGTGAAAAGTTCTTTATTACTTTGCGTTTCATAGCTACTTATCTTTAAACTTCTCTGTTCATAAGGGAGACATATAACATTTTAGAAATCCTAGGACAGTATGGGCAACAAAGGAATGAGGTCTCTTCTATTTGCTCTTGAAAGTCGGAGATGAGAAAAGGGCATAAACAGGAACATAACATTATTCAAGATCCCAGCTTTTCAGGAGTCTGTATCAGGACTCCAATCTTGTTTCTTCTGAGTATTGGGGTAAAATGTAAATCTGCATCACACATTTTAAACAACATATTTTTAAATAAAGTGCCTGCAAATAAAATTTAGTATTACTGGAAAACAAGGACAGATACACTGAAGTGCATCAAATGAAAAAGGGACCCAGGCAGAGCTGTAATTTGAGTATTTCTGAGAAATACGTTCTCTAAGCATCATCTTAAATTCCAGAACTGAATACTCACTGCAGTTTTACAGCATATACCATATTTCTGGTTTCGTACGTCAACTTAATCTTGAATTTAAAAAAAAATGAAACGCCTGAGATGCTTAAGAAAAGAATGGTTTGAGAACAACAGAAAGTATGATAATTTATCTCTGGCACACACTACCAAAGACAATTTTCTAAAATGATGCTTAGAAACAAGGAAGATTCACAAGGAAGTCACAGAAGATCCGATGAGAAAAAGGAACAGTAGCGACAACTACGTCACACCCACCTTTCAGCCACTACAGACAGCTAAAGGGAAAATTGGTTTTAGGGTAAATACATTACAAATAGAGGTATAAGTAGTTAGCATAATTCCTGCACATATCTTTGGTCAAAAAGCTAGGGCAAAAAATAAATAATAATAAAAAAATATCAGAAAATCAAGTTATTAGAATAACTATTCTATAAATGGTTCAGATTGGAATGATATGGATTAGCCCTTCAGAACAACAAAAAAAGTTACAACTACAAAAGAACCAAAGAAATTAGTGTGGTAGGTAAAAGCTTTGGTCCTGGATAACAGAACAGAACTGATACATTCAATAGGTGCTTTGCACAACTAGAAAATTTTAATCTTAATAGCTATTCAAAATTTTTGCATACTGTTAAAGATCAAGAAAAGTGAGTGAAGGGGAAAAAACAGTATATTTATCAGATGCATACTGGTCTAATAGCTTTGGTCTACAACTGCATCTTACTAAAGACAAGCATGATCCACCTTGGCTGTCACCATCTGGATGTGTTCACTAGCATTCAGCCTCCCTGCCTGGGCTACCAGAAGCCAGAGCCGAGGGACACAGCTTCCAGCAGCACTGAACTGCTTTCGAGGGTGGAAGGTGGTGTCCACACCCCAAGATTTCTCAGTTAATTTAGGAACCCACACTTCCATACCCACAGTAAGGCATTTCCACGTCTCCCATGGAGCACACCAGCTCATCCCCCACCCAGCAGCAGGCCAGCTGGGCAGGAGCCAAGAGCAGAGTATTTTGCTCCTTGTACATATACAAGTGTATCTTGTTACATGTTTGGACTAAAACTAACTTTAGCATTTCTAAATGCCTCCCAGTGACAAGATGCTTTAAAGGAATCTTCCAATTTACATTCTGGGGAAATTCTGACAAATTACCGTTTGGGTTTCACCATTTCTGGAGACAAATGCTGACACCCTATCACCCATCCACCTTTCCTCTCTCCACGTCCCCACCCTAGATTACAATAGTTTGTGGTTCATTTTCTTTTTAAAGGAACTTTGACATCACCACTAGCATAGAACACAATTTGAACTCTTCACAACAGTCTGATGACAAAGACTTGTTGCTAGCAACACAGTATTTTTGTTCCTGGGTTGCTATCACTTTGGAAAGCTGTAAGTTTAGAAGCAAAAAATAAATCGCCTTATATAACTGTTCTGACTACAAACAGGAGCTGAAAGCAGCTGACATACATTGCCACAGATACCTTAGTTTTGATGGAGAGTGCACAAGGAAGCTTGTGGCAATTCAAGATAAATAGAAAGCCTTCATAAATGGAAGGCACGAGTGATAAATGCGTCGGACTACTTTGATATACCTGACACAGTACATCTTCTACTCCCATTTCAGTATATCAGTATCGCCTTCTGGGGCAGGAATAATTTTCAACTTAAACTGAAATTTTTAAAAGAGATAAGAGAACATGTGACAAGGTTTCCATCAACCTCTGAAACACTCTGAACAACACACGCACAGCCTAAAGCCTTTCATCATCTGCGTTTGTGTTGTTTTTCCTCAGTAACACGGAATAGCAAAAAAGTGAGGCTGGCAGAGCACGAGGAGGAAAAAAGGGAAATGGTGAGACTGAGCGCCTGAGCCTCCACTCACACCACCTGCCTTCCAGCATCAGTGCATCTCATGCTTTTCTCCATATTAAGCTGGCTTCTTCTCTGAATTCCATGTGAATTCTGTTTAGAAGCACGTGAAGAATTCTTGGCCCTCTCAGTCGTGTAATTTAATAACCAGTTTTGTACAAAAATAAAAACCTATGCTTGTAAAAAAAAAAATCTTACAAGAATTAAAATGACATTCTGCCTATTCTAAGATGACCAATCCTATGAATTTTGCTGTTAAAATTTCTCATTTGCTTTCCAGATGAGAAAAGATATCTACACTATGCAAGAATCATAGAATCACCAAGGTTAGAAAAGACCCACAGGATCACCCAGTCCAACCATCCATCCATCACCAATAGCTCTCACTAAACCATGTCCCTCAACACACATCCAAATGTTCCTTGAACACCTTCAGGGTCAGAGATTCCACCACCTCTCCGGGCAGCCCATTCCAGTGCCTAAGACGACCTGTCAAAAATACCAGGTACAGACTTGTAGCAACAAGTGTCTATTCAGCATTCTAAGAAAGCACTTTGTACAACGTTTTTCCAACCCGAGACATTCTACGACTTTGCAAAAAGCATTCAATGACATTTTCTGATCCTGGAGATACCTCTTGTCATTATTTTGAGTAAATTAAAATTGGAGATTCTCAAGTTTTCAAAATTTCTGCTTTCAACACATGTCTTACACCTGAAGAGGTGCTTTGGCAGTGTTGTGGAATCTTCCCCAGTCTTAACATTAGTGTTTGACTAAGCCTTCTGTTTCTTTCAGGAAGAAACTCAGGAAGGAACACAGCCTTCTATCTGCAGATCCATAGTTGTGCTTTAGTTCCACTGACACTCCGCCCTGTCACTGAACAGCCCAAACCAGAGAAGTTTCACAATCCTTTTTGTCTTCTCAAATCCATTCAGCTACTGATTCTTATTCCCCACCACAAGCAGCAGTGCAGCAGGCAGGGGGTGGGAGAAGCTCAGTTAAAAGAACTTCCTAAGTGCTATGGTTTTTAAAACCAACTTCACTTTAACCCAGCTCAGTCCCCTGTCTGGTTCATCACACAGCACCCACAACAAAAGAGAACTACTTCTGATGTTAACTTAACTAATTCTTAAGTTCACAGTTAGGACCTTCAGATTCTAAGCATTTGTGTCCTGAAAAAATAGGACTAAATTTACCCATATGTGCCTGGCTCTTGGGACAACCTTAAAAAAAAAAGTTTCTCTTAAAGCCAAAATGTTAAAAGCCGCTCCCTTCCAGAAGTACAAATTACAGCCAACCCCAGGCACACGAACTGGGTCAGGAACAGTTTTTGTTATAAACCAGGTCACACCCTTGTGTATACAATCTCTTATTCACTCACCCTAGCCCAGAGTTCAGAGATTCACAGCATGTACATGAGAGCAAGTCCTTCCCTGCTTCTAGCAATCAGCAAATACTTCAAAAAAAAAAGACCTGTGCACCTCTGGGGACGATGATCTAACTCAAAGCCTGCTGCCAAGGCAGCCTGGAGATTTCCTTCCCCCACTCCCTCCCCTGCTTTTTTTTTGTTTTGCTTTGTTTTATAATACACATCTGCACAGTGTATACGATGAGCAGCTTCCTTGGCTTTCAGGTGGAACATTTCCACATAGCACAAAGTAACACAGCGTCCTTTTTACTCTTCAGCCAACAAGGACACCACAAAAATTAAACAATACAGCACAAAAAGGCAAATTTCTGACATGTCCATATGACCTCTGTAATAATTATATATTCAGGTGTTTTATGGCTTTGGCTAACACATTAAACAATCCACATCTTGGGATTAAGTCAAGCCTTTCCTTGCAACAGAATGAACTTGCAGTTCCAATTACACAGCAACGTATCCCACTAAAGGCAGGAGAGCAGAATGATGTGTGTTGAAGCATGAGACACTGCACACATACCCAAGGTGGGATGGAAGGCCTTGCAGAGTGTTCAGGAATGCTCAGCACAGCCATGCACTCACCATTGCCAGCACAATTTCCCCACATCCCACAGCCCAGGAGGCACCCAGCGACCACAAACAGCAGGCCAGAACAAAGCCCCACATCAGTTCTGCAGCTCTCTGATGAGGAAAGGGAGCCAAGTGTCACCCGAGGACAACCTCCTGTCATCAGTGACTTCATGAAGAAGGGTGCACAACATCTAATGTATCCTATATACCTTGCATTCACTAAACATTCAGCGGTACAGAGGTTGTTACGATCCACAACTCAATCACCAGGTCTTAGCACACAACAGCCTTGTGTTCATCAACTTGCTTAGAAGTTTAAGTAAACATTAATCTTTCTGAACTTCAGCTTAGAAGAGTAGTGTTCCTTGGTGTCTTACTGAGGAAATAAAACTGTTATCCATTATTTGTCTACAGAACACGTGGCTGTGAATTAGAACACTGTTGTGCATTAAGGCTGGTATATCACATGCTATTTTGTTCCAGGGCCCTCGTATGGTGAACATCAATTCGACAAGTTGTTTCTTCAAAGCTCCTACAAGATATTAACTTCATTTCACAACATGTAACACATTTCCTTTAAAGACTAGTGATTGAAAGGCAAATGGGGGAAGCAGCATCCTAAATTCAAATAGTGACCGAGCACAGCACAAACCAGCCAGGCAGGTCACACCGAAATAGCTCTCACCATGTGAGAGTGTCAACCTAACAATGACTTCTGGGCAACAGAGCTGAGGAAAAAAAAAAAAAAAGCAGAAGTCGCACAAAAAGCAAACCTATGCAGAACAAACACAGCCTGGCAGGAACGCTGAGGGAAAGCTGGAAAAGAGTGATGAGAAGAGGGCAAAGCCTAGAAGTACAAACCTTGATTTAATACTTTGCTAATGCCTTACACTGCACAGCTGAAAGTGCATTACAAATGTCAGGTACACTTCTGCTTCATATCAATTGCAATAATTCTCACATTTTGCTGTTTACAGAAGCATGGAACCTGGGTGAGCTGAGAGGGGAGCACGGGCAGGGCACCAGTGCCCAGAGCTGAAGCCCTCCTCCTCTGTTGGGATGGGTCACCCTGCTCACTGCAGCATGCCTTGGGAAATCCTTCTGGCATGTTCATGGACACATACTGAGACAAAGCCAGTTCTGTTTAAATTATTACCCTACTGGTTTCATGAATGTCTTGCCTGAATTATTTGTCAGGCAACAATGGTTCACTGTATGGTTCAACACTTAATTGGAATGGAATGTGACTGAAGTCATTACATCTTGTTTAAAAACAAAGTGTTTTTTAAAGGATGCATCTAGAAACCAAGCCAGGAACTGAAAAAATAAAATATAACAATTTAGGGATTGTTAAGTATCACATTCATTTAGCACTGTTCATCTCACTGTATCAGCGCACTTTATGTTATTTTGCATCTTCCACATCTCACAGCACAGCAAAAAAAAAAGTTAAAATCTGGAGAACTCACAGCACCTAGCAGTGAAAAAGATGAACATTGTTTTACAATGTTTTAACAATATGTTAACTCAAAATGAATTAGGACAATTGGAAGAGAAGATTTTCATTTGCACAGCAGTAGGGAAACAAGGTCACCAAGGGTGGTAACAACCCAGGTTGAGCTGCTCTGATAAACCATGCAGGTGTAGTCACCATGATGGACACTGGTTTTACTGACAAAGAAGGATAGATTCCTCCTTTCTTATTCCATAGAAGGGGTAATTAGACCAAATGAGACCAGTGAGAGCAGCCAGGTATACATAATTATGATAGTAAACCCTGACTCACAAAAATGGCACCAAGAAAGTAGCTACAACTCTGATCCATCTCTCTTCCCGAGATCCTTTAGATCTGAAGATTAGAGTTGTCAATTTTCTTCTGAATTAGCAGCATAACCAAGCAAAATGTTCCATCTGCCCCATTCCATAACTTGCTAGTTGCATTTATCTAGTCAAACAGAATAGTTATGAGCCAGCCCTTTTTTCCCCCTCCTCTTAACATTAAAGAAAAATCACATAAGGATGGTTGTTGGTTTTTGCTGTTTTTTATCCATAGAAAGTCCTTATCCTAATCAAGTTTTACTCTACTCCTTTTCCAGTTTTCACATCTCGATGAGAGGTCACAATCTCTAGATTTAACAGATTAAGTGATACAGGATTGCCATTTTTGCACAAATCTGACATGAACACAGCAGCAAGTCAAAACTGAACTATAGAATTTTCAAGAGTGGAAAAGATTATCCCTCACCTACTCTGCAATGCAGTCAGCCTTCTTCTCTCTTCCCTCTCATTTAACAGAGGCATGAATTTCTACACTGAACACATTTTTTCAGTTTGGATAAAAGCAAGCTACATTTCATTTTCAGTGTCATTTTCTTCCTTAATGGTATTTAAAAAAAAAAGTAGGAAGTTACTATAATAAATCCTCTTCAAAAGATATGGGAAGTTTTATTAACTAAATTTGCATGTCATATTGCAACATTCAGACTGCTGTTTAGTAATACTTTATTACATAAAGGAAGTGACATTTGAGTTTTCTTAACCAAGATGTGTTACAGGCAGACCCTTCTATTTTCCTACGCAGTTCTCACAGATTTTATCAACCAAAACAAGTAGTTCTGCTGGGTGCATGTATACATAAGTAGGCTTTAAAGAACCACCAAGTGGAATGAAATACTAGTACATCTTGATGGGAAAAGAAGCATATGTGCAAAACAACAAAGTGCTCATTAGAGGAAATCCTCTCTGGCCAACCTTAGTCCTGAACGGGCTGAAAGGGATTGCCAAACACCAGAGGCAATGCCACATTCTTGGACTCTCCCATCAGACCATTACGCTGTCTCCAGCACACACCAGCAGATCTGTCAGGCAAGAAGCAGGCTGAGGAGGAAAACGCAGGAGCAGAGGCACTGCCCACAGAGGCAGCAGCACAGAAAGGACCAAAATGACAGGTGCTTTCCACTGCCCTCTGCACCCAGTGCTACCCAGCATCATCCTTTACTTGGTACTTGCATAGATGCAAAGTCAGGAAACTCCTCCATCAGCAACAAAGTGCCACGGTTCTATTTCAACAAAAAAAAAGTGTTAAGCTATACAACAGAATCATAGAATGGCCTGGGTTGAAAAGGACCACAGCGATCATCTAGTTTCAACCCCTGCTATGTGCAGGTTGTCAACCACCAGAACAGGCTGCTAAGAGTCACATCCAGCCTGGCCTTGAATGCCTCCAGGGATGGGGCATCCACAGCCTCCTTGGGCAACCTGTTCCAGTGCGTCACCACCCTGTGCATGTTATAAAGTAACAATCTCTGTAATCCTTCAGGAAAGAGATGATGTTAAACAATAGCTATAGCTATGTACGCACAGAGAAAATGCAAATACTTCCACAAAAAATACCACTGAATCTCCTGCATAAGTACAATCACATATACAAATTCAGTAATGAATGAAGACTCAATTCTCACATAAGCAATGATTTGCAACGGATTTCCACAGAACTGCAGGGTTTGGTATCAAACCCTTAAGAAAAGAGGAACAGCTCTTAAGAGAGGAGCCTGTTCATCTTGAACAGTCAGAACACATTTTATAAGGCAGCTCTGTCAATTCTCACTGCAACAGACCTGCCATGGTGCTGGGGAGGGTTCAGACAAGCTAGGACTCAGGAGCAGCATACAAACACTGGTGACAGCTAAAAGCCTCCTTCTTTGCATATGTGGCCAGTGCAGGACTGGGAGCTCCTGTCCCTATCAGTGATACCCAGTAAGGCACATTAAATTTGGGAACTCATCTTGTGAAAACATAAATAATCTATTCTTGCAACATTTAAATGTGAATTCTTTTTTCTTTTCTCCTGAAAATAAAAGCAATTTATATTGAGCCAGTGAGAACCTAGAAACCAAAAGATTTAGAATCCCAGGCTTTAATGATGCATCTATTATATCAGGTCTGTGTTTCCACAGTTTTTACATCATAAGCCACAGCTAGATTTCAAGGCTTCTTGCAATGTTAAGTGTATAATTAACTAATAATAACCATGCAATCTTATTAAAATCTTTCACTAACAATACCAGAAATACAACATAATTGCTTACACCACTAGCTCAAAAATGCTGTAGGCTAATAATGCCAGACATTACTGGGTATCTTCCACGACACATCATTCTACTGCTCTGTTTCAAATTCAGTCTTACAAATATCACTGTCTGTACTCAGAAGCACGGGGCATAAGCTAGAGGCACAACAGTATTTGTTACTATTGACACAAAGCCAGGGGTAGCTCTTATTTGGAGAATGCCACCCCCATCAGAACTTGACAACCTTTGGTAAAATCTTTTGAATTTGATTTTTTTCCTGTAAATGTGCAAAGGGTACACCAGCTCCAGTGCCACCTGAGGCTGGAACAGGAAGCACCCTGCCTCTGCACAAAGGCACTCTGCAGGTTAAAAAGCAGTCGAGCTGCCACTAAACTTCGGTTCAGAGTAGCTCAGGCTAGCCCTCTTCACAAACTTCCTAACCACCTACACAGGCAATGGTGTTGTTACCTTTCTTTTCTTTTGTAAAAGGCACATAGTCTTCCCTGTCTTTGTGTTCAAGAGCTTCCTTCTCCAAAAATGCAAGGAGTCGTTCCCTGTCAAAAGGACCCGAGGCCTTTTTAGCAGTCTGGTCCTTCTGTCGGAAGCCTGCAGGCAGAAGCGCATTCTGCAAAACAAAATGGAGCAAATAAATACAGCTTACAAAGTCTGAGTGAGCCGGGTCAGATTCCTCTCCTTTCTCCTCCTCTTCCTCAAAGTTCAAGCCCAACATCTTTATGTACAATAACACCTAGCACAAGGCTTGCTAGTTATTTACTATTTCTTCTCTAGAATGGGCACTGTTTAATTGAAGAACAAATAAACTTCTGCTATTCAGTTTTAGTAGACAGTCAGTAAGCAGTCCTCTTCCTCCACCACTGATTTCCCTGTGCTTAAGACAACTGTCCATGCTGCTGTTAACAACACCAAGTATTTCTACTTTTGGCCTGATTCAAGTTGCTGGTTTTTTTTTTTTCATTGTTTTGCTTTTTTTTTTCTTGCTATATCAACATACTTTGGCTAAAGAAAAAAAGGATATGCAAACAGAAATTCAGACTCATAAAAAGGCAGTCAATCCCTTCTGCCAGTTCTCCTCTATTAAAATGTTTATAAGCCAAAGTAAATTAGAATATCAGGAATACTTTTCTGTACAACAAAACAAATAATCATAACATTCTTAAGCAATTCTTGAATATCAAGTTGAAAGTAAATGCTAATAAAAACAAGAACAGAGAGAATCAGGAGGTGGAAACACTGGTCTTGGATTCAGACTATCTGCAGGATATCTGTATAGGACATCATTCAGCTCTTCATAACAGAAGGCTAAAATATTCTTTAACATCCCATGCTGACAACTGTCCAGGTGCTGAGAAAATTTTTGCTCCCTCTTTGCAAACCCAGCAAGGTACAAGAATGGGAACAGTCATGCTGCTAGATACAAGATGAGGAATCTTTGGGAGAGTTTAGTGCTTACCCTCTCTCATCCAACGGTACAGGTAACAAAACAGAAATGGATGCAAAGAGTTGTTTACCATCCAGCATCGGAAACAGAAAAGTTTAACAGGTCTTTCTAAGTAAATTCTTTCAAAAAGATCACTTAAGAGCAACTTTTCCTGTATAAATAGATCCCACACAGCCTCTTCTAACAAACCCTTATTTTATTTTCCTCTACTGTGGCTGTACTCACATTGCAAACAGGAAACAACCCCGTTGGGACATTACATACACACATGTATCCGTAAATAAGACCGCTAGCAGATTAGGAAAGACTTCTGTCCAAGACAATACTAACTACAAGCTCAGTTCAAGTAAAAGAAAGTCTCAAATTATTGCACACTAATTCATGAACTAATGAAAAGAAATAACTTGTCTCTGCTAACACCTACCTCAGGGTCAAGATCATCCAAAACTGTTTCCAGCTGTTTCAGTTCTTCTTCTGATAGTTTGCCGAGAATGTCATCCTCATCAAGATCCTTGTACTTGTCCAAGTCTTTTCGAAACGGGAGCGTCATGACTCGGGCAGCACCAAGTTGCTCAAATGCTTCAGAACCTGAGTCTTATTCTTAACCAGATCTATAAAAGGAGAGAAAAAAAAATTGGAATAAATAGCCATAATTAAGGTAAATATCCGAATTAAAAAGCATATTCAGCTTCTAAATGCATTTCTGAAAGGGAAGTTGTTAATCCCTTATTCATATTGATCTGCTGTTCTGAGTCTTGCTTCCTCCCTGAGCAGAATCCCTCTCTGCAATGCCCTCTTCTCCCATCACATCAACAACTAAAACAAGAACACAGAAGCAAGCTAAACATATTTTAAGATCCACATCTGTACCTAATTCTCTTGAGAACTCCAAAGCTGTATTTCCCAAAGAGCAGGGCAGGACATGGGGTGGGAAGGAGACAACAGTTATACTCTGATTAATAAGCCCAGCTTAATGCCACCAGTTTTTACAGATACTCAGTCAGAAGAGCAGCTAAGATGTTTTATACTTGCTGCTGCCGCTGTTCGAGGCCAGTAAAGGAGTACATCAATACAAACAAGATATTTGGTTATTAGTGACTCATATCCTTGCCTATTACTTACAGGGGAAGCAGAGGATGTTTATTAATTATGTCACTGCAATTGAAGTACCATTCTGTTCTGTCAGATGAAAATTAAAGCACCCTGGTGCAAAGCTTAGGGAACACAATGTCTGTGTATAGTCCACTCAGTCCCACTAGCAAAAAGATGTAATAGGCTGTGTAATTGCCCCCTAATATTACATCTGGAAGAAATCTGGGTCCTTCTACAGTACTTCTTACATCCTAAGAAAACACAGGCAACCTTTGATCTAAATGCTCGACCATTTGACTAGGAACAAAATGTACAGTTAATCACAATGTTGTTTAAGCAGACAAGCTATTTTTATTTTCTCCAAAAAGTTCCAGGATTCTGCTGTTGCTCTGCAAAATTCTTGCTTCGAGTTGAATGTGCAGGCACACACACACAAAAAGGGAAACTTGAATGACTCCCTGTGAACAACAGCATTCTTAATGCATTTGGGAGCTACAGCAAAATCCATACATCTTAGCCATACAATGAACATCTGATTCCTTTCTCAGCTCTATAGAAATACCAAGCAAATAAACCAGGCATTCAGCAAACACTGTTTGTTCTATGAAGCCCAAGTTCCAGTTCAGATGATCACATCACATCACATATAATAACTACGTTAATTCAAACCTGGACTTACTCTGTACTTCAAAAGCAGATGAATAAAGTTGTTACCTCTTAAGTAAAAGGGCCATGTTATACCAAGGGACTGGGCTTACTGGATTCCTTCTCCTCACTTGTTTACACCCAGAAAGGTCTCTCTCTGAATGCTGGCAGTGTCACAGACATTGGGATATTTTAATTCAGAGACACTGAACAGAGCTGAGCACGTGAAGGTTCACGCAGGCTGTTGGACTGTTTTACCTGTAAAGTCTATCTGGCTTTAACAGGACTGGTAAATTTCCAGTTCCCACCAACATCTGCAACCCAAGGAGGAACACATTTACAGCTATTTTCAGCACACCTGCTTTTGAAAAACACTGCTAATACACACTATCATTTGCTCATAAACCATGGTTGACACTGATAGGACAACTCCAAGGCTGAGCTACCAACACAGAACAAGACCTCTTGAAAATAACAGCAATCAGGAGGAATTCTCAACCTTGTTACATCGAGAGGATGGCGGCTGGCTTCCCTGGAACTAAAGCCAATGGCACTGGGAGAACTTGGGCCTTTCACAAGAGGCCACAGAGCTGAGAGCACCAGATACAGAATTTAACAGCTACAGACGTACAGAGCAGCATACCTAAGCTTTTCACAGTAGTGTTTCAAAAGTAACCAGAGAAGCATCTCTCCTGGCTGTTGCACCACATCCGACAGCCCTACAGTGTTTGCTTCTGGAGCTGCACGACAGCTGAAGAACAACTAGATTGCTGCTGCAGCTCATGCCACGCAATCTGCATGCAGACTTCTCATTCCTAGAGCCTTACTGTTTTCCTCTGCTGCACAATTTAAAGCATTAAACACTATCAGAAGTGAAAAACATTTCCTGCAGCCACTCAGACAGCATTGTTTGTGACCAGGCTGCACAGCCTGAGTGCTAAATCAACGTGCTGCCATTTACCACGTTTCTGCATGGCCATTTGCATCCAAATATTAAAAGGTGTCATTTTAACTGGTAATTACAAGGAGCACACTAATTAGCATGCTGCACAGTAATGCTCCCCTCACTCTGATCAAGAGTAGCACTGCACAACCATACGTTGCATCCAGGCAGGCTGTGTTTTCTCTCTATAAATAGCTGCAAAATGCTGTCAGTCAAAATTAATTACCTTCTATTTACTGGATTTACATCTTTCATATTGGAAAATGACTAATTCTTCATAATTCATTAATGCCCAGGTCATAACCCATAGCTTCACCTGTCTTTACAATATAATGAAAGCGCCCACTTCAAATGCTGGAATGTTCACACACACACAGAAAAAAAAAAGGGAAAAAAACCCACATTAAATTATGACAGACTTCTCTTTAGCAAGAAGAGAACCACCTGTGACCTAGCAAATTCAAGGTGTTTTGGACACATTTTCTAATATCTGTCAAAGTATTTGCAATACGTATATATAACGTGCTAAAAATCAGGTTTTAAAGCACGTGCCAGAATTCTCATTGCCTAAAAAGGACAGGAAGGCCAGCCAAAGTCATCATCTGATCAAACCATTCCCTCCACCTCCCACCGAACACATCTGGTATTTTCACTTGCCTTTCATTATTCATGGTAACAGTGCAGTTGAGAAAGACACATTAAAAAAAATTACAAATTGTTAGAAGGGGCAGTTATTTGGACTGGGAATATTAATGGCACATCTTGCTGCAAAATAACCAGCAATTTTGGCTTTGCAAATACTTTTTGATGAGCAGTGCTGTGTTTGTGCTAAGTATCCTTATAGCTTTACCACAAAAACATTACATACATGAAATGTCTATAAGGCTAACCTTTTTATCACACATATAACTATTGTGTAGAGTAAGCACTTTATTCTAGCAATTTGATAGTCACATAAGAAACATCTGAGGTGTGGAAACAGCCATCACTTCCAATCAAGCAAGTTTTAACTTACTGCCTGTTAGAGAAGATATAGTAGAAGGGAAGATATTCTGATGAATCAATGAACAACTAAGGAAGTGAAAAGAAAGCAATTACCTTATTTCAGGCCATTTTATAACTACCAGACTCATCTCTTGAAAGGCTGTCAAGCAACCTCCATATGCTCAATCTACAATTAAGATATTTTTGTTCTCTTCTATCTAAAAGCATATTAAAAACAAGTTTAAAAACAGTCACTCCCCAGTTTTCTTCGCAAACTTCTGTTATATGTAAGGACATCATTTCTTGGGACCCCAACAGGAGTAACCGTCGCAATATCTCACCTACAGGACACGAGCCCTGCTGAAGTCCTCTGTAAGTGGTTTCTGTAACTTAGATTTTAAAACAGAAGTGACTTCAGGAACAACGAAGTGAACTGGTTTTGGCCAACATGTCCACAGAACTGCCTAAAATCCCACCTGCTCCCTTAGACCCCCCTCCTCACATGCCCTTGCTGAAGCAGCTTGGCCACAGGCAGCATTTCCCAGGGGAATTTCCACTGTGGCAAAACTACACATTAACTGTTGATGAACACATTTTGCTCGAGTTATCTTTATGCACCAAGCCAAGAAGAAAAATGACTTTAACTAAACACTCCCACTCCAGCAAGCTCTTTAGGACAGTTTGCAGCACCTGAGGACACCATGACCAGGCAGCACCACCCCAGAAGGCTCTCAGACATCCCTGAGCCCTACATGCACACCTAGCAAAGGGCAGATGGACAGGCACTGCAGCTGACATCCCCTGGTTGGGTGACACGGAGCCAGCAGGTGGCATCTCGCCTGTGCCTGCAGCTGTGTCTCCAGGAAGTGAGGAAGAGCAGTTCTGGCTATTTTCCTACATAAACAAGCCTGAAGCTTCATTCTGCTCACACAATCTGCTCAGTTCTACACGGAGCAAAGAGCCCTCTCAAGTTCACGCATGTCAGTACAGCCACATGGGGACAGAGGTGAGCAGAGAGCTGCGCTGAATAACTGAAAGCACAATGAGGGATAGACATTTCCAAGGCAAGGGAGATGGGAGACTATCTGCATTCCTGTCCAGTCCTGCTCCATATCAGGGGGCACTCGGGATGCACATAAGACCCGTGGTTATGTTCTGCACTCCTGTCCAGTTCCACAGCTGTGTGGAATTAAGGCAGTAAGCTTGCTAACAGGGGCCTACTCAATGCAGCCTACTTCTGCACACCTTGGGAAAACCTGTCACCTGCTACAGGGCAGCAGATCCATGTCCTTATTGGCCAATGGAATACCAGCAGTGGCAGTGGGCACCAGGGCTGCCTGCCCAGCAGCTGACCACAGAGCAGAGGAGATGCCCTGGCAGCATGCCCACTGCAGGACACCACCAGCCCTGCTCATCCAACTGGCTGCAGGGCAGGCGTTGCAATAAGAACCAAACACGGGGCAGGGACAGGAGAATGAAGGGATGAGCACCTCGGAAGCATTCCAGAGAGGCCTGCTACGTGCCACATACTGGCCAAACCTATCACCTATCATGGACGTTCCTCCAGAAGAAATCTCAGCCCCAGGCAATCCCCGCTCACAGCGCAGCACCACCGCTGCAGGAGCCTCCGACCTCAGCTTTTCAGGCAACCTCTGGACTCTCTTCAGCAGAGGCACTGATACACAACGTTCACTCTCAGAGAAACCTCTACACACCCTTCAATTAAGGGGAAACAAATCAACTATACGAGCTGTCTGAAGGAACATTCATACGTCTGTATCTACTGAAAAAAGGTGACAAGACGTACAAGCCTATAGCTTAACAGCAGAGGGATTCACATGTCCGCGTTACATTGCTTGTTTTTCTGTCGCCTTTCACCTCGAGCATCAGAGGTCGGCTTCCTGCACCCATCTATGGCATTTAACGCTTTAAAGCCCCAGCAGCTCGGTGCTCGCTACCGGAAGACTCTCATGTCAGCACCACGCCGAGCGCCCGTCCGTCAGCCACCGGAAAAGCGTTCCTCCTCACCGCTGCCACTAACGCGCGCTCCGTAAGCTGCAGAAGACACGCAGCGAGTCGACGGACGGAGCCGACCGGACCCGCGCGCAGAGCTCCCGCCGCCGCAGCTCGCGGACCGCAGCGCACCGGGCCGAGCGGCGCACGGCGCGGCGCCCCCAGGGCCCCGAACAGCCGCCCGGCCGAGAGGAGCGGCGGGAGCCGCCCAGCCGGGCCGGGGCGCGAGGAGAGGGAGCGGGAGGGCGCGGCCGGGAGCGGCGCGGGCCGCCGGCGCCGGGGGTGGGACGCGCGGAGCGGCGCTCGGGGCCGCAGAGGGCAGCGGGCCGGACCCGCGCCCCGACCACCCGGCCCCCTCCTTCCGCGGGCGGCGGAGCCGCTGCCGCGCCGGCCGCTCCCGCTCCCGTCCGCGCACGGAGCGCTCCGCTCGCCCCTCTCCCGCCCCGCGTCCCCTTCGCCGGCGCTGCCCGCACGGCCCAACCGACCCCCCGACTCCGTCCCGGTTCCCGGCCGCTCCCCACTCACCCGGGCGGGCGGCGGCCGCTCAGCTCCCACAGCCGCCTCCCAGCCGCGACGCTCAGCGCCGCCCCGCCCCGCGCCTGCGCGCCGCCCCCGGGCGGGACGGGAACTGTAGTGCGGCCGCGGGCCGGGCCTGCGCGGGGCGGCGGCGGCGCCTCGGTCCCCGGAGGCCGGCGCTTCCCCAGCTGGCCGCCCGGTGTGCGAGGGCGGGCAGAACGCGCTCAGAAGGATGAGCGGAAAGCCGGCTTCTTCAGAGGCTGAGGCGAGCTTTCTGTTAGCCAAGGGCGAGGAAAGGAAGTGCGGCCAGTGCAAAACAGCGCCGAGCGGACCCTGACCGCGGCGGAAGCTCCGCAGAGCTGAGGCGACCCGCTGCGCTCCCAGCGCGGCCCTTCCTGCTGCCGGGCAGCGGCTCTGCTGCGCATGGCAGGAGCACCTCGGCTCTAATCCTGAGCTGCTTAAATCGGACCGTGTTCACTGACCGCCTGTGCGGTGCAGATGGGGAGCACGAGCTCAGTGTCTGTGGGCTGACACGGAAATATTTCCCTGCCTGGGAACTGATGCAGGATGTAGAGAGGAAGGATGCTGTCAGCAAACTGCATAATGAACAAACACAGCACCTGGACCCTCAGTCCTGTAACTCTTGGACCCTCGATCCTTTATAATTTGTGATGAGAGTGGCCAAGCGCAGGCTGAAACAAACTGAGGGAGGAAATCACGTTCCCTCCAGGGATTCCTTCCAATGGAAGCAGTGACTCCATTTCAGATGCAGTTCCACAAATCAGTAAGTACAGGGACTTACTATTACCAGTACTGCCACAGCAAGTGCAGTGCCCACATCTCAACACGTATCTTCAGGACTTAGCGTGCTATGGGTACTGAAGGACTGACAGGAATCAAGCTTGGGAGAAACAACTGTTGAGTTTAAGTTAGTGTTACTCAATTAGTTTGGAGGTCTTTTGTAACCTTGGTGATTCTGTGATGCATTGCTGTATGTTGCCTTGTAAAACAAGTCAAGGAAACCCTACTATCTGTCAAACCAATGCAGTTAGAAAACCTCAGCCTGAGTGTGGGCACAGCCTGGCTACTTCACAGAGTTATAGAATGGTTGAGTGGAGGGAAGTCTGAAAGGCCATCTGGTCAGACTCCCATGCACTGTACAGGGACACCTACAGCTCCATCAGGTGCTCAGACCCCTTCAGCCTGACCTTGGGTGTCCCCAGGGATGGGGCACCCACCCCTCTCTGGGCAACCAGTGCCAGTGCCTCACTACTCTTATTGTAGAAAACTTTTTCCTTATATCCAATCTATGTCTCCCCCCTTTTAGTTTGAGACCATTTCCCCTAGTCCTATCAAAACAAACTCTGCCAAAGAGTCTGTCCCCTGTTTTCTTGTAGACCCTCACTTGATGTATTTCTGGCAAGCACTTCATGCCAGCACCACCAGGCTCCTGTCACCAGGGGCTTATGAACCACACCAGCTGGTAATGTCACCATCACTCAGCAATGTTACATGCAGACGAGTACAATGCTGCCTTTGCCCGAGGTGTGAGGCTTGATGATCAGTCCCTGAACCAAGAGCTTCTAAATACAGGTCACTGCATTTGATCAACAGCTGGTCTTAAGGGAAGGGATCAGAACACGCACAGCACAGTAATCAGGAACAGATGTTGTCTAAAAGACATACCCCAGTTCAAGCAGGAATTAATTAAGCAAAGTCTTACAAGCCATGTTATAAGGAAAACAGATGAAAAGATCACAGGAGCCCCTCTGCTTTTTTATTAAAAGAAAAAACAACAAAACACAACAATTTAGAACAACTGACCGCATTTTGGCTACAAATAGTCCAGGGAGATAAGGCTTGCTTTTGGATGCTCCAGTTAGAGATTTACACAGATGCAAACTGCTGGCATGCAGCTTGGTGCTGGAGAAGCATCAAACCTCAGCACTGCACTCACTGGGTGATGGCTTGGCAGGGAGGCAGCAGCCGGGCTGCTTGGGGCCTGGAGGCAAAGTGCTGTGTGAAGATTTCTACCAGGGAAAAAGGAGTTCTTTGGGGCTGTAGCCTCCAACAAACACCCTGAGATCAGTCTGGATGTTCACAGTCATTTGATGCAGATGTATCTTAGCAGATACCATGTATGGGATATAACACCTCTCAGATAAGTGAGCAATATTGTAGTGTTTTATCTTGTTATGGAAAAGAATCATAGAATAGTTTGAGTTGGAGGGAACCTCTAAAGACCATCTGTCCCAACTCCCCTGCACTGAACAGGGACACCTACAGCTCCATCAGGAGCTCAGAGCCCCTCCAGCCTGACCTCAGGTATCTCCAGGGATGGGACATCCACATCTCTGGGCAACCTGTGCCAATGCCTCACTGCCCTAATTGTAAAAAGGGTATTTTCATTTCATGGTTCTGGAAGAAAGAACGATAAGTTGTAACATATCCTCTGTATGTGAGACTGAGATGTGATGTGTTTTACTTTGTGTGCTGTGTTTTAAGGAGAATGTTGTTCCTGTACACGTAGGTGTGCTGCTGCTGTGTACATCCACATCTGATGTATGTATTTGCAACCTATATTTTTGTCTGTACATCTCAGCCATGCAGGGACCTGTAGCTTTTCTTAGACAAACACTGGTCATGTGTCTTATTTTCGCTCACAAGTTCTATGCATGAGATAAAAGGCAGAAAGAGAGAAGAATGCACCGGCAACGAGTGGAACTTTGGGTCCAGCCAAGCACTGCCTACACCATGGAGGTGCTGTGTTGTTACAGGTTATAGAAACCCATGGGAAGTGAATTTGTCAGCAGGTACAGTGCTAAAGGAAAGGGTGGCATGGGAGGGGCTCTTCCCATTCCCTGAAGCCGAATATCAACTCAAATATATTTTAAGGCGTGACAGGAAAATCTGAGTACAAAACTTGCACAAGTTTATCAAAAAAACAAACACCCCAAAGTGAACTTTTGTTCTGTGTTGATATCATACATTTCCCTTTACAGTATTTGTGTAATAACAATTTGAGTAACTCATTCAAGCCCTCGTCCTACAGACTGGAGAAAACCCAAAAGGTGTTTTAATCCATATTAACAACAGAGTCCACATCTCTCTGTTTCATGCCCGGACTGGACCATGTTTGCAGTGGAGCTTCCACCCAAATCAAATGGCTTTTCATAGGAAAATTCAGCTCCTTCACAAGGGAATGTCTCATTTTCTTGCCAACACATCATGAAACTTAAAGGCGTTTTAATCACAGGAACAGTTTTTCTGCTGCTGGTGACTCATTGCTTGGTGCTCAGCACTTAGAGCCTCACTTTGGCAGAAGTGTGTTGTCCTGTGAGGGCGGTGTGGTTAATTTGGTTGTGGACAGACTGATTGCAGGGACTGCATTCAAATTGTGTTACATATTATGAAGGGAACTTGAAGGGAGCTTATCAGCAGGACTGACTTAACATGGTTTAACAGTGATAGGACAAGGGGGAATGGCTTTAAACTGAAAGAGGGGAGATACAGGTTAGATGTTAGGACGGAAATCTTCACTTAGAGGGCGGTGAGGCCCGGGCACTGCTGCCCAGAGCTGTGGGTACCCCATCCCTGGGGGTGCTTGAGGCCAGGCTGGGTGGGCTCTGGGCAGCTGAGCTGGGGGGCACCCAACACACAGCTGGGGGTTGGGGCTCGGTGATCTTTAAGGTCCCCTCCAACCCAAGCCATGCTATGATTGTATGATTACACACAAACTCAACCCTTAGTTAACACTGGCACAGTATCAAAGCCCAGACAAACTAAATTGTCGAAACGAATGAAAAGAAGAGCGGAAAAGCATCCAAATAATCTCTTCTTATTCCCCCGGTGCTCTCATGACAACGAGCCAAAGGTGAGGGGCGAAAAATGTGCTCTGAACGTGGGGTCCGTCGGCCTTCGCCAGACAGGGCGGGCAGTCGGATACCCGGGGGCTGCGGGCGGTGATGCTGCGGGCTGCGGACGGCCGGACTACGAGTCCCAGCGTGCCCGGCAGGGCCGGGGCCTCGCTGCGCAGCCGCCGCGCCGGGCACCCACCTGCCGCCGCCGGGCTCGGGGCGCGGAGGGGCGCAGGCGGCGGCGCGGCGGGGTAAGGCGGCGGCGGGCGGCGGCTCGGCGCGGTGCGGGGTGGGGCGGTGCGGGTGCGGGTGCGGTGCGAGGTGGGGCGGAGCGGGGCGGGCGGCGGAGCATCCCCGGTCGGGGTGCTGCTGCCCCAGTGCGGGGCCCGGGCGGTGCCGGGGGGGGGGGGGGGGGGGGGGGGGGGGGGGGGTTGCGGAGAGCCCGGTGCGGGGCTGAGCCCCGTCCGCTCGGATTGAGTCTGTTTGGAGCCGTGGATGTTGTTTTGCTGAGCGTTTTGTGAGGTGATGCATACGTGTTTATTTCGGTGCGCTCACATCCTTTATGCCGGGCGCTAAATGATGAAGCCGAGATGAAGCAGTGCGATGAAATGAGAAGATAGGAAGGTGTTTTTTGTAAAGGAAGGTGTGCGGGGAGCACAATGTATTTGTATGGCAGGAAAGCAGCGGGAGGAAGGCGGTGCGTTACGCTCCAGTGCGGCAGAGCAGCCCGGAATAAACGTGCCAGCGCCTGGCTGAGGAGCAAGATGCTCATCTGCTAACATTGCCAAGCTCTCGGTGAGCAAAATGTGTCCTCATGGTATCACGAGTACTCTTCTTGATCATCTTCTGATGATAAAATGATCGGTAGCTCCTCTGCTAGTTTAGGGTTTTTTAGTTTGATGGAAGCTTTGAGGGAATCCCTATGGCCAGCAGAAAATCTGTAGTCGACCACTGAGAGATATAAGTGAGGAGTCCAGCAATGAAAAATGAATGAAAATGGTGATTTGTGTGACTGTGCTGTTATTAGGAACAACAAACTTAGTACAACATTGCAACATCATTAGTGATGAAACAAACCCAGAAATGCAACAGTGTAAAACATCAAATAATAATTGGGACGGATCCTATTTTTCCGCCTTGAATAGCAGACTGTAAATCTATGCTTCCAAAAGCATTTGGTAGAGGAAGGCTTCGGTAAGGTATTGTGTTGTGTGTTTGATGTAAATAGATCCGGACTTTCCAATATCTCATCATACGAAAGCTTTTCTTTAGCTGATTACTCTCAGAAGTTGCCCTTGAACCTCTGTTCTGCCCGGAGGTAAGAACGTGTAATGGGAAAGAACACCTGGGACCAACTGGCCTAATATTGCAGATATCTCCCCCTGCAATCATTGTGAGGGAGATGTGAACTCAAATCCAGGGCTGTAGGGAGTTCCTGTGTATGTATTCTAATGCCATTATCATCTTTGTGGCATTATTCTGTGCTCCTTTGCTCGCTAATAGACTCTGCTGTGGTGCTGTATGCAGTATGGCTCCTAGCTGAACTTCCACAAACTACAGAGATATTTAGACTTCTACCATTAGATGAAAGGTGAATGAGGTTCTGTGAGCTATTTGCTGACCCACATTCCATGCCTGTCCTTTCTCCCATTCATCTAGCTTGGTTGGGTTTGTCTGAATTTAGCTAGCAACATCTCTCATCTTCACGATCTAAATCATTTTGTTCAAAATGGTGCACTTTGCTCTCTTGTTGCATAACTCCCCAAATTATTATTGTTTATTTCCTCTGCTTTACTACTTCTGGCAAGCAATGTTTATGCATTCCTGCTGTTACTGATCAGCTCTGGGGTTTTCTGTAGCATTCCTAAGTTACTGAATGTCCTGGCCTGATGTTTTCCATGGTTGGGTATCCTTTTGGCTGAGGCTGTGGCATTTCTGCAGGGTTTTGCATTAAGAGGGATCAGGCAGTGTCCTTTAGCCATGTGTGCTCACACGTCAGGTTATGGAAGGGAACACATCAGTGTAGCCCTGGTTTCTGTTTAACAGCAGAATTTGGTCATCTATATGTAATGCTACATGAACCTGTAAGCTTACTTTTTAAAATCCTTCTTAATTTGGATTTTTTTTCTGGGGATAATTCTTGACCCCAGCACATGCTTTGCAGAATCAAACCTGCAGAGTCTGGTAGCTATCGAACGAGGTTAAAGTCTCATCATAATGATGCCACTTTCCTCCAGGTGCTCTGCAATAGATTCTTACCCACTTGCACAGAACACTGACCAGCATCACCACTGATAGTCTCCATTGGGATCTTGAATCTTAGCCCAGTGGTGCTGGGCAGCAGCCACTCGTACAGCTCAGCAGAGAGGTGCTTCTGTGCACATCACAGCCAAAGCTCACGGAGGACTGTGAGCCTTTGGGTGGGGCTGCTGTTTCATAGTCCATCTGTATGAGAAGACTTTGCTCTGCTGGATTTCAGGCTCATGTTTTACACCACCCTTGGTTTCAGACAGTAAATATTTCATGTTTATAATTGTAGAAAAGCTAACTAATACTGTGATTTTATAAAAGAGTTATGTGAGGACAGTAAGGTGTGAAGTTACAGTGTTTTCCCATGGGTTTGTTCCAGTCAAACAGCTGCAGGGTGCAATGCCTGCTCTGTGCCATCCATTTGGCTGCTGCTGGCTGCAGCCATCGTTCAGTCCAAGCAGTGGTGCAGCCTCAGTTACCACCCTGCATGGATTTCCTAAATAAGTTCTCCAGTTCTAAAGATGCAAGAAACCTACATTCCAGTTCTGCAGGGTCACCAGTCACAGTGAACAGGAATAGAAGATGTTTGCTTTGTTATTTTTTAACCAAAGCTTTACCTCTCTAAGACCATAGCAGAGAATCTTCCTGCGAGAGACATGACAGAGGGACAGGTCTCCGTATTCTTTCCCATTTCTTACACCTGACACATCACAGGCGTGCCTGAACACCATAACAGCAATCCCACTGCTGGCAGGGACAGTTAGGTTTGTTTGGTCATTCTCTTTCTGTGGGCAGGAACTGAGCAATTTGTGGTTCGCTGGTTACGGTTGGTGGGCTATGGACTATCGTATGGTCAACGCCTAATTACTTACTATGTTTTTTGGTATGGAAACAATTCTGGTGGTTATGATCTAAAAATATAATTTCATCCAGAAATAGGTTATAAACTCATCAACCATTGTACAGAAAACTAGTTCCTTCCCAGGACTTGCTTTCCTGTTTTGAACAGTTATGAGTAGTACTGTTAATGTTATTTTGGAAAGAATCAGAAATTATTTATCATGTAACTTTATTCTGTATTTAAGAGGGAGAAGCATTAATGTTTCATCTTCCTTTTATTGCCAATGAAAACACTCTCATGTTGTCTGAATCAAAGGGACTGCTTCTCTTTATCTTCAATAATGATGGTACAGTCATATGGATAATTTTGCAATTTACTTGATGGTTACTTACTTATAAAGGGCACGGTCGAACTCCAATTGAAATGAATTGATGCCTTGCATTTTGTTTGGTTGTCAGGCTCTCAGAAGAGGAGCTAACTGTAACGTAACCTTAAGAGTGATCAGTGGTGAGAAAGGCTCATCCAGTTATGAAATGGAGTGTCTGATCGCTGCCCAATCCTCCTGAAGGTTCAAACCTAGACTAATATTAGGACATCACAATTGTTAATTATTTACTGGTCTCTTTCTGGGACTAGAGCAGTTGCTAGGAACATAATGTGAACTAACTCTAGATTAGCCCGGGGGTTAAAAAGCATTTACATAAAGTGACATTTTCTGCCAAACAGGTTTTAATCATACAAATGGAAATGTAATGAGATAATTTGCCAAACATAAAACCAGAAACCACACATCATTTTTTAGATGAAATATATCCTTGCTAACACACTGCTAGCATTTGGTGGCAATTTGAGTAATCGGATGGGTATCTGATCTGTTGGATTGTTAATATCAGAGTAAATTAGGATGAAAGGAAAATGCTGCTTTATAGACCAGAATGTGCAAATCTAGAAAGCTGTACTTGTAGACAGTAACAGTAACTTATGGAAACAAACAAATCCCTTTTGTAGTCCTTGGTTAGGCATCTAGAACATTTGTAGTGCCTGCTTTGAGTTTGGTGTCTGCAGGTGAAAGGCACAATGCCTCAGCCGGCCAGCTCAGCCATTCACCTCCAAGTATTTCCAGGTGGGGAAAGACAGGTGTGTGAGGATTTTTTCTGCAGCAAATGAAGTTAAGGGAATTTCTAATAAAGTGTAGTCAGAAACAGATCTCAATTACTGTACAACAGCGCAGAGAACCCACTTCATTTGAAAGCTGTTTTAAATAAGAATTTTGGGGATTCTTTGCTGAAGTATGACAAATAATGGCAAACTCATCTGGGGTAGAAGAGATCTGGCAACATAAGCACTGCCCAGCCCAGCCTTGACCTCAGTGCTGCCTGGTGATGCCTCTTACTTACACCAGGATCTCCAGCTGATACCATTTTCATCACACACACAAAAAAGTCAGTCTTATAATGCTTCACTGTGTAGTACCACCGTGCTTCTGTGCTGTGCATCATCCTTTCTACATCTTCAGAGATTCCAGAACCTCCTAGTTCTAAACCAGAAGGAAATATTGTAACACAAAACACGAGCTTCAAGTATGCATCTTCCTTTTGCTCGTGGTTGGAAAGCACACGTTGCTCTTGCTTTTTATGTTTACATACAGAAATTAAAAGAACCTTAGCTATATGTCAAGCAGCAGAATATTTCTTAAAATATATATGTGTTAAAATGTCAGCTTTCAACAGCCTAGCCTTATTTTCCATAGCAGCTTCTGGACAGCAGAGAGGTCATCAGCGTGGAGCTGGATTCAAGGCAGTGTTGCTGGGATGGTACAAAACAATCACCTGAATCTCACAGCATCTGCTTGTGTGGCACAAACACTGCTCTTAATCATAATGGCCCCAATCCTATTTATTTGGTCCAGTATCAGTTTAACTCGGGATTTATTCCACCCGTTCCTCACGTTTGTGCTTAGCTACTTGAGATGAAAGAAAGTGAAGAACTTTCCCGCATTTACAGATCAGTTCCTGGGCTGTTTTTCAGAATGTAAATAGCCATCACTGTCTATGTGAAGAACATTCAAAAGAGATTGTACATCAGGATTTCCTGTATAAATAACAGTTGCTGTGATTTGCAATTCTTGATCACTTTGGAGCAATTTCTTAAATTTGATTTTTAAAAAAAGATTTTTTTTACTCTATAAGATTATTTCCCATTTGGTACATCTCTGTTTAATTAATAAGTGCAGATTGCCATGCGACTTCATTCTTAGCTTGTATGCATTATCACAAACAAGGAGCTCACATCACCTGGATCACAATATTCTCTCTAGTGCTCTGGTGCATGATGGTTTTCTAGGTGTACGGCCTGTGCTACAGGAAGCCTTTGTAGCTGCTGGTCCTGGAGGCCAACTTGTTCCAAGACTTCTGCAGGACAGTGGACCACTGACATCAGACAGTAACTTAGCAGAGGACTGATTCCATCTCAGAATGAAGCAGCAGTATCAGCAGTGGAAAACGTTGGCAATACTGCAGTGTCAGCAGAACCTACAGCCTACCTACTCTACAAAACCTTTCAGTAGCACATAAGGCTTGTAATAAAAAAACTTCTTATGTAGCACAAGAAAATATAGGAGTTACCACAGCATTGACCACATACAGATGTAGTGATTTTATGCAGACAGCAATGACACCTCTTTTGTCTTTGAAAATATGTTTTGAATCCTCACACTGATAGCAAAGGGTGAAAAAGCTACCCCAGATTAATCAGAAATAAGTATTTCTTTCTTTAGAAGAAATCAAAGGCAAAATGACAGCAATGGAGCCTTTGAAGCTCACTGTGAAACATCCGTGCTCCACAAAGCTCTACAGGTAGCACAGTTAGCAGAAGCACTGCTCCATACAGCTCTGCTCTGTCCTGATGGCACAAATGGGCTTCTAGCAGCACGGCACACTTGCAGCTTAGCGATGGGTCTTTGAGCTCATGGTAAACTCTTCCTCAATACTGAAACTAAATGGAAAAACAAATGGAATTTATGCTCTTCTATTCCTTATTCTCAGAGTTCACTCTTCCCTGTAAATTTGAACAGTCTTAGCTACGAACCCCCATTCTTCTTCCCTCAGTGTCCCTGATGCAAGGCCATGCTGAGCAGCACGGTGCCTCTGCAGCTGGATGGAACATCTCCTCCCTTTGACACCTGATCTGCCTTTGCGTGCTCCAGATAAGGGCAGCTAGCAGCTGCTGCTGGTTATGTTTGCTTTTCTTCAGTTTTCAGTATGTTTATTTCCTACAGTAACCATAACAAAGCAACCCAAGTGGATATCATCTGTAAAAAGTAAGCAGTATGTGTACACTCACAAAGTCAAACCGCACTAAGCAGCACAGACAGCATACGGCCCTGTTTACATACACAAAATTAAGAGAATGGAATCCAATTAGGAAGGTGCAGATAGCAGTCATCACATTACAGTGCCATTTCCAGGGCGTGTGAACTCAGGACTTCAGCATTTCCTTTCCAGACTGATCGATGCTGACTTGTTAGATCCATCTCGTTCCCTTGGTTCCTGATAACGTGATTGTGGCAAAAGGTTGATGGTGAGCACAGAGGCTGAACGTGAAGGCTGGCACTTCAGCAGGGCTCCTCATGTGAGTGGCAAGATCCAGGAGAGCTTTACTGCCTGCAAGGACTGTGGGCAAAGAATCCCCCTTAGCAGTTCCTTTGTTTTTTATTCAGTCACTAAAGAGTAAGATGCAGTTGTGAAAGGGAAAATATCAAGGGAATTTCTGTCATAAACACATGCATACAAGAAAAGCATCATTTCAAGCTCTTCCATGCGCTACTAACACTAACATGGGTTATCCAGTAGTGCTTCATGCCATGACAGAAGTGAGTCTGGTATGTTGAAAAGTACCTCCTGGCATGCTGCCCTTTATGACTAAGCCCTTAAATAGTTCACAAGGAAATCAGAAACATCTCCAAAACAAACCTGACTGCAGTAATTACCCATTAGTACCTGGCTTCAACTTTACAACCTTTTTCACGACAGCCCTTACAACATGGTTTTGCTGATAGTGATAAAGCCACTGGAAGATGCTCTCCCTGGGAAGCAGTGCTGGGCCAGGCAGGGCAAGCCGTGCTGTGATCTCACCTGTTGCTTTTCCAACAGTGCCCAGCAAACCTGACCTCAGGATTATGTGTCTGTCTTTCCCAGGGTTGCGATTTAACTGTAATGAAAGAAACATTTAAACCATTAAATAGAGTTTTAAGAAGCTCTAATCCCCTCAAAGAAATGTTTTCAGCCCTGTTAATGAGTGCCGAGCTGAAATGCTGTGAGTTTAATGAGTTTATCCAAAGGAACTTTGAGAAGGCACCTGATCCCTTAGCACTGCTGTACTGCTCCTCAATTTGTTGTCATAGTTTAAAAAATATACTTCTCTTTTTAACAAAAAATGCTTTTTTAAAACATTAGCCGTTGCTTTGTTATTCTTTTTTACCCAAATGTAGTTCCCACATCACATACAATAGAATTTTGATAATACAAGAATTTTTCACAGCTCCTCTATCTTTGTGAAACATCTCTTGCTGTGTAACTTCCAGAAGCAGACTCACAGTTTAACAAGGCTAATAAACAGTAGTAAAAGAATGAGGCTGTATGGGCAAAATAATGCTTTTCCTTGGAATATCGTGTTTGAGCATTTCAAGGGAAGGCTTGTGATTCCAGATTTGTCTAATTTGGAATAGTGCTAATTATTCTCTTCCGTCTCTATAGTCTGCTGTTTTCAGATAAATAGCAAAAGGAGGTGTCTTTTAATATTTAATATTTTAATAGAAAGCCTGTGAGTAGATGCAACATTTGCATGTAGATTTTGAATAAAAGAAAAGTAAAGCCCAAGTTTCCAGCTCATGTGAGGAGCAACACAACCTGCGTGGATTTTGTTGGTGTAGGACAGCTGAGGACCTGGCTGAAGGACGTTCTGGTTGAAAGATCAGCCACGTGCAGTGCCTGCTGGCTGCTTGCCCTATCAACCATAACTTAAATCTGTGCATGCAAAACTCAGCTGCCAAACCCCACCACTGGCTGTAGGTAATCCAGAGAGCTTTGTGTGGAGGTGGGGAGCAGGGCACGCTTGGGAAGGCCTGGATCCCATTTAAACTCTGCAGCTGATGCTGTGTCTGATCGTGCATTAATTCCCTGTCACTCCATCCACTCACAGCAGATTCTAGCTCTCAAATTGCGTCTGAGAAGGAAAAAAAACAGTGAATAAAAAGAGAGTTCTAAGTCATATGACAAAGTATGTGACAATGACTAATTGTTGTGCCCATGTGAATGGCAAATGATCTCTTGAGCTCCAAGTAGCACATCCCCCTGCAAGACTTATTTTGATCAGAAGTGCTACTGTTTGTAGCCAAACAGCTATTTCTGAAATAGCACTGCAAACCAGCGTAGTCTAAAGCGGCTTAGTAATCAAAATGTTGGAAAGCCAGCTGAAATGATATGGGTAAGCCTTTAGCCTTCGGCAAAGTTGAAATAAGATAAAATACCTCAAGGTGTAACATTTTGTTTCTTCTGTGTCAGGGCTGGGCTGCTTTCTTTGGCTTTCCTCTGATGCTTTTCATTCCTCTGGCCAAAAGAACAGCAGATACTGCTGTTTCTGAGCACATGAAAGAAAACAGTTTTATCTCTGCGGAAGGGATAAGTTCCCGATGTTTTTTCTTACATAGGTCTCATAGCTTGTCTCTGCCACTGCACCTGTGAGGCTCCCAAGTGCCATCTGGTCCCTTGCCATCCCTCGGGTAGGGCTGCACAGCCTCAGCACATCCCACTCCTGCAGCTGAGCCAGAGCATCGTGCTGCTTTGTTTTCATTAATAAACTGTAAATGTGGCTCTCAGCATGCGGGCTCTTCAGGGCTGCAGCAGCTAAACCGAGATGCTCATAATGCTTTATTGTTAACAGGGAGTGAAACCACGAGAAGCTCCGTAGTCCTGCATGGTTGGAAACTGGAGGGGAAGCAGCTGAGCAGTGCAGCAGGAGCCATGTCTCTGCCTTTCCGAAAAGAGCTGGAGAAATACAAGAATATCAATGAAGATGAAATACTCAGCAAACTCTCAGAGGATGAACTGAAGCAGCTAGAGCATGTTCTCGATGACCTTGATCCTGAGGTTAGTAGTGGGGCCAGGGGCTCACAGTTGGGAGCTGTTCATTATAAATTCTGCACACTGCAGCATTCTGTGTCTGTAGTCTGTCATGGGAGGGGCAGTGCACTGGGAAGGAGGAGCAGCTCTGCTATGGACATGCTGGTTTCATTCCTGCTGTGATGTGCTCCTTGCTTTTATAGGAGTCACCGTGCTCTTTCTTTATCTGTTAGACACAAGCTTGTCTGCAGCCTAAATCTTTAATCACATTTGCACACTGCAGTGTACTGAGGAGTGCTTTATGGCTGCTATTTCTGAGCACAGAGCAAAAACCAAACAAACAGAATGGGTGTTCGTGAAGATCACATCTTTTGAACTTCAGAAATCTGTTGTCTGTGTCATTCATCACAGATATTTAGCAGAAGAGAGTATATTTGGGCATGATTAAGGAGAGCAAGATTCAGCAACAGAGCTGTCATTTTCTAGAGAATGAGGGTAATTTGGATACTTGAAGGCAGCCTCACAACAAGTTTAAAGATCTCCGGCCTGAGTACCATAAGTCCTACAAACCTACAGTCACAAACCTTCTTTCTGGGAATTCTGGTTATTCCTACCCTTAAACCTTCCAAACTGGTGTAGGAATTTGGAAATTGGCCAGTAAACTGACAGATAAAACCCACTCACTCTGAAGACAAAAATAACTGGAAAGAAAACAACAGATAGCCTGTAGATTTATTACACGAATTTACCTGGAAATTTAAGGTTGGGCTCTACTGTTCTGACCCTCCATACTGCCACTTACCACAAATACATTGCATTTTCTGTTATTTTCAAGAGTATCTAGCATCTCAGATAGAGACAGAAGATCTTAAAAAAAGCCACCATGTATTTGTAGCCAAGCTGTGCGTGTGCAGTAATTTTGCAGCACTCTGGGCACGTCTGTGCAAGCAGAGATGAAATGTCTAGTGTCTGGAGTTCACTGGTTATGCTCTGAATTTGATGGCTGTTTGCCACAGATCAGCTTTGCAGTGCATGTTCTGGCCAGCAGTGAAATGTTCCTGCGCTACTCCAAGGGCATCTTCCACACATTGGCTTTGCTGCATATTCACCACCATGTCCATGTATTGTCCATGTGGGGTTTTCTGGGCAGAGAGCTTTGTGCATCTTCCTATGTTACAGGAGGCAGAGACAATCACATGGTCACGCAGCTACATGTTTAAAGTGGGGCTTTGTGTACTTGCTTCTTGCGTGCTCTGAATAGCTGACATCCACATCATTCACCAATTACTTTCTGTGCATTCCATTAATTTCTGAAGTTCAAGAGAGATTTGCATTAGCTTGAAGAGAGTTTTGGAAAAAATGAAGGGAGAGAAAGAAAAAATTGGGAGGAGAAACAAGTAAATAGAGGGAAGAAAATGCAGAGGAAGCCTATCTACTATGTTTACTCGGGCTGTAAACTCTATGTATGTGTATGTGTAACAGAAAGTGCTCTGATTTTGCTCTGTTCTTCCATATTACGGTTGTAGATGTAGTTAATGAAGATATTAAGAGGTGTAACGAACAGGAAGACACCCTGGTTTTATTGGTTACATTTAGGTAATGTGTGTTATTGCTGTCCTCAAGGAGCACTATATGAAGAAACATGCAAATAATAATTCCACTTAAAAAAAAATAGATTGAGTAACTTGGAAGACTGTATGAACTTGCATCGTCTCCTTTACATGCCACCTTCCCTTCCACATGCCTTCACAGAACGCCTTGCTTCCAGCTGGATTTCGGCAAAAGGACCAGACCACAAAGCCTGCCACGGGGCCCTTCGACAGAGAACGCCTGCTTTCATACTTGGAGAAGCAAGCACTTGAGCACAAGGACAGGGAAGACTTTGTTCCATTTACAGGAGAGAAGAAAGGTACGGCTACCTTTTACGTCAGGGTTGAATCATGACCTACACCTGGGTGCCCAGCCCTTCTGTCAGGCTGGTCAGGACAGGGAGCTGGAGGCCACCTTGCAGGGCAAGGCTGGTGAGTCAGGCTCAGGGCTGCTGCAGGAGGTGACACGGTGGCTTTGCCCATCACACGGTGTCTGCCTCACTGCCCCATGGCTCCAGCTTCAGGGTTAGGCGTGCTGCCGGCTGGGCCTTGGCTGGAGGCGAGTGCAGGCATGGCTGGCCTCACGCTCAGCACACTGCTCCCAGGCCGTGTGAGGGTGTGTGCTGGGGGAGGTGTTCTGCAGGAAAAGAGATGCCTTCCTAAGCCAGTATGCCTGCAGTTGCTGTGTGTGATAACTCAGGGAATATGCTCCCCAAAAATAAGTATTTTTGCACTTGTTTACTAGCACATCTGGTAACGCTATTCATGCAGATAGCTTCATTGTTTCCCCTTGCCCTACAGCTACAGGGAAAAAGAGAAAAAAGGAAAACTTAATTCTAATCACCTAAACATAGGTAGGGTAACCTGAGGGCAGGAACAACTGTGTTTTAAAGCAAGCAGTGCTGTATGGCACCGTTTCCTCGTCTCCATGCAGTGGATACAAAGAGCTGCCTGCAGCCATCCCTGCATTCCAACAGGGACAGTCTGGGTCATTCCTGACCATCAGCCCCTGGTTCCAGTAGGACCTACTTAAAGAAAAGAGGGAATTTCAAGGCAGTCAAGTGCAACACTTTTCACTTTACGTGTCACTACTGAAGATACAAATGTTCCTTGCCAGGCAAGAGTGGCTGCTACTGTCATTACATTGTATTTTTGTTCTGTGGAAGAATGGTTTCAGATGAAGGAGACAGTTTACAGCTAGATCTGATCACTGCATTATTTTATCCTGCAGCATATTCATTTATCTCCTTTATCCTCCATCCGTCCCTTGAGCTCCTTGCTACTCATTGGGCTGATTCTGAGCCCTATGGAAATACAGGAATGCTGCAGGGATCCTGCAGGTAGCAAGGGATCAACCACGTTCTGTGCAGAGAGGAGAATGGTTTATTGGTGTGTAGCTTTACTGCCAAATGTTTCAATTTTCCAGTCTCCTATGCACCACTGTCCCAGAACAGGGTAAGTTACTACTCACAGGCCGCTGCATATTTGTACCAACACCTTCAGTCAGGTCTCACCTTACTGATACCTCGCTGACTTAGGGCTGAGACTTTGTCATTTTGCACTGCAATCACATTTGAAATCTCACACATAAATGCACAAAATGGTGCTGCATGGAGATACATGCACCTGCAGGACTGGCACAGCAGCTGCGTAAAACAAATCCCAGCGCCATCCGTGGCAGTGCGACTCCACACACTGCTTATTCTACTGAGTTTTCATCTGATGAGGCTAAATAAACATTGCTGCCTATCAGAATGTTTCCTATGCATCTGGATATCCAATATATGACATTACAGACTAGATTTAAGTGTTGATAGTGTTCTTCTAAAGCTCAGTGATTAGCTTGGGTTAAATAGCTTGTGTTTTGAAAATACATCCTCACAGGAAACTGAGGAAGATAGCTGGGGAAAAGCTTGTTCTTCATCTTTGCAAGTTGATGGGCTTTAAAGTGTATTTACAGTCTGGTAAATATTTATATAATTATGCTATATATATATGCCTGTTAAATCACTTTTTACACTATAGCAGCACTATAATGTAGCCATATTGTAAATAGCCACAGATATATTTTACAGCAATTGTGGTAGTTAAAAATTAAGTTCTGGAACAGTTCCAGAGTGCCTCTAGTTATGTATAAGAAGTGGGAGGTGTCAATGCCTATGTACCATTTGGCATTATTTACCACCTGAGGATGTTTGCCTGTCAGTAGGATTAGAAGATGTGAAGTATTGCTTAGTTTTTGTTACTCTTTTCTACTTTGATATTTGTCATACACTGGGAAATAATCTATTTTTCCACATTTAGGAGGTAGGATGCTTCTACCAAGTGTTAAGTGATGTTTCTACCAGTTCCTATCTTTATCATGCAAATCTGATACTGACTTGAAAATTTGGTGATGAGCTGGAAGAAGGTGGCATTTAAAATGTCCTCCTTCCAGAACAGTCTGTGATACATGGTTATTTTTTTCTCTGCCTTTTTTCTTCTGTTGTTAATGTTTTATTGGAGTGCTCTTGAACAAAAAGCAATACCAAAATGCTGCTGAAGGACAGAATTCAGTTCTGTATGTTGGTCTCTATATGCTCAACACAACCATAAGGTTTTGATTGTGCTAGAGAACAAGGCCAAACAAATTCCAAAGCTAAGGGGGATATTCAGAGTGGTTGGAGCACAGGAAGTGTTAAATACGAGCTCAAGGTGGGGGGTGGTTGTGCAGGGAATTGCCTTGGTTTTGATTATAATCATGGTTTTGAGGGACTGGAAATGCTTGGCAAAAACAGTCAAACATATGGCATGCATTAGAGCTTTGGCCCTCTGCCAGATTTCAGCCTGTTAGCTTATGACATTAATTGCTGTACAAAAAGTTTTCATGGAACAGCTCTCAAATTTCAGTGAAACCCCAAGTTTTGTGCTGAGCCTGGGACAGAACGTTCTACCAGCCTGGTGGCAGTGCACCCAGGCTACCACTGAGCAGGTTTGTCAGATCACTTTGCCCCACATCTTCTCTAATGCATGTCAGGGGTGGATGCTCTGTCAGAATGTCCCCATCCAAGTGCTTTCTCCCATGGGTGCATGCAGAAGATCGGGCAGCTTTCAGGAACTGGTGTGTAACTGCTGTTAGTCAGCCATCCCCACAAGCAGAGCTCATTTCTAATAAGCAGCAGAGGTGTAGGGAGTTAGTGCTGATTAGTGTAGCCATAGTGATTGGCAGCTTCTAAGTGTTTATCTTATGGACGTTTGGATTAGTTCCTACTTCAGACAGATGCTCTAGAAATCCCTACATGGAAGACAGTGAAGTTGCTCAGTGACCCACTGCCCTCTGTGCATGTAGCTGGGATGGCCGGTGGTCACAGGAAGGTTGCTCTGAAGCCTTTTTATTGTGGAGTAAAAAATAAGATGAAGAGGGTAAGGGCTAGTGCCTCTGATTTCTCAGGCACTAGCAGTGCTATTGCTGTATCATTACAATAAAAGGAAACGGGATTGAGACTCTGTTTAAGGTAGAGAGAAGGCCTGAGAAGTGGGAATGGTGCATTTTGTGTCGTAGGATCTGGACTGGCACTTAAGGCCTGCCCCACTGTTCTCATGGCCTTGTCCCCAGTTTTTCCTATCCATCCATTTCTAGAAAGGAACATAATCCTCTGATCTGCGCTTACCTTCTTTGCTGAGAAAATGCTGCCCGCAGCTTTCTCTCACTGATGTGTGCAGCTGATCTTAGTTAAGCACTACTGTAATGCAAGCGTACGCTGTTAGCAACATTTCTGTTTCTGCTTTGTTGCGGTGGTTCTCTTACTGCATGATAGTAATGAAACATAATTGAAAGAAGTTCTATGGTGAAAGATGATCAGATACAAAAAGCTGGCCGTGCCCTTTTAGATTGCTGTTAAGGATTGCTGTTTCAGTCCTTCATCACTGTCTCTGTTTTCTGCAAGGTCTTCCGCTCTTGGCCAAACCATTTCAGACTGGATGCAATCCAGTTCTCCTCATGGAAAAACTCCAGTGGATCGGGCTATTATTATTTGTGTCTGGAAAGGGAAGGGGAAAATGCTTGTGTGTGATTAAACACCAACATTTTCAGTCGGCTGGTAAAAGGAAATAGGAAGAATAATGGTGATTAACCAGAGAACTTTGGGGCAAACCCCTGTTTTCAGTTGCTCTGGCAGAGACCATCTGTCTTGAGAGTTGTGCTGTGCCATGCAGAGTATCAGTACTCAGCCCGGTGATAATGAGAGTCATTTTCAGAAGGTCAGAGTAATAGAACAGATGCTAATGAGTTCCCAGCCTCTGTACCAGACTCTGCATAGAAATGTAAGGGTTTAGTTTAGGGACATGGTATCTTCTTTGGACTGACAAAAAAGCCCCCCCCAAATCTAACGTTTGTTTCAATTTTTGCCACCTTCTTCCTATTCTCCAAGTCTTAAATTTAAAATTGATGTTTGTGTCTTAAAGCATGAAAAAGGGGCTGTTGCTGACAGTAATTCCTGAAGCCAATGTCTTTCATTGCTTGCTTTTGGAAGACCCTGTTTTAGTTGCTCCTGACTTTGCCAAACTTCCACAGTTTACACTGAAATTTCCCATGCTGAGAGTCTGCCTCAGGCTGGATTTTTGGAAAGTGTCAGCAAAAAAGGACTCAGCTGTTTCCAAGAACAAGGTTAGGAGAAAACACATTGTTTTAGCCATCTCAAGTAAATTTTTCCAGCTGTTTTTTGTGAGCTACAATGCCTCCATGCTTTGAAGATGTGACCAGAAATGCATGCCCTTTGCAATCCCCAGGGAAACACAGTTGCATTTGGAATCTTAGTGATATTTTACTTTTGGCACCTCCAGTTTGTTCTGGTGCTCTCCACACGTGCTCCTGCATGAATACTACTTGTGTCCTCAGAGCCTCTGCCTGCCTGCACAGAGGGCACATGTGCCAGCACAGCAGCAATAAGGTGGCAGGATCACTGCATGCTGATTGAAGCCAAGGATGCTGCTGCAACTTATCTTTGCTCTGTGTATATGCACAATAGATTTAACAGCTTTGGAAAGTTGAACTTTGCAACCTTCCTTTTGCATTGTGCTGATTTAAGGCATAGATGATACAGTCAGTAATCCAAGAGTAGCAGTACAGCAGCAATTATGATACTGTGTTTTAATTACTTCTGGCTTTCAGCTTCACACTTACTTGAACTTGGTTGCTTTCTTCTTCATAATACACATTTATTCTCAGAAAGTATTGATTTAGCCCCATTTTCACGGAGTATCTGGAGTGGGAAACTTAAGTAAGCCTCAAAAGAAAAGAATAGTGCAAAATGGAAAAAGTGAATCAAGTGTCTGTGATTTATGCAAGGCAGATTTCCAAGATCATTGGATTTCACTTCTAAGGTCAGTGCTGTGACCTCAGAATTACAACATTCTGTAATGGAGAATAAACAGACACTCACTGTAGTCAGTGATTCACTGAAAAGTAAGAAGTAATAAGTGTAACCAGATATTTTCTTGGAAGTACAATAATTTGAGTTACAGTTTATAGGAAAAGAAAGTAATTACTTTACAATTATGGCAGAAAATGCCTCTGTATAAAATTAAGTAACTGTCCTTTGTAAAACTGATAGAAAGGACATTTTGGAAAAGGCACTTGAGTAAAAATGAAGTTATTTCTCATTGTTATGCACTTTGTTGAGTCCCTTTGACTTGTGCAAAGTGGGAATAAATATTAAACAGTAGGCAAATAAAAATGGTGGCAACTTACATTTATTCACAAGAGTCTGATGAAGGCTAAGAAGCAAGGCAAAGAGCAGACACACCACAAAGGCTGCTCCAAATGCTGTGAACTTCAAGTGATGATGAAATCTTCAAAATGTTTTATGAATGTGCCTGTTAATACAATCCCATCAGCTGTGCTGTTCAGTTTCTCTGTTTTCCCCTTACATAACAATAAGCAAATAAACTTATTTTACCACAATGCGCTTGGCATAGTCACCTCCTCAGTTTTCCTATAGATGTGCATATATGCTTATGTAGCTAATTGCTATTGCATAAGGAGATGGAGACAGGGATGTGTCTCATTTCCTTGCTTTCCTTTGACGTTGCTTTAAAGGAGGCATCTGAGCAGTGCAGGAAATCTCAGCTTCCTCACACCAAGTGGCAGAACTACATCCATGGGTTTATGACAGTACCTGGAGTATTTCTTTTTTTTTCTTTTTTTTTTCTTTTTTTTTTTCTTTTTTTCTTTTTTTTTCTTTTTTTTTTTTTTTTTTTCCTTTTTTTTTTTTTTTTTTTCTTCAGAGGATTTGTTTTCCTTTCATCTCATTCTGCATTTCTAAGTCTCTCTGTATTTGATTCAGTCCTTTTTACTGAATCCTTCTCTTTGGCTTTCAATAGGCTCTTTTCTTGCCCTGAACCCCTTTTGAGTAAAACGTGAACCATATCCTATTTCAATTTGAATAGAAGTTTAGCAATGCTTAAAAAAGAATAGGGCTGCTGTAATGCTGAGCCAGTACAGATCTTCAGTCACCACACTCACAGTCACAAAGTCCCCTGGGCTATAAGCATCCACCCCAGTTGTCATCCAGGTCACCACAGCCAGTTATCCCGGTTTGACTGAAGGAAGGGGAGAATTCCATTGACTGATGTGTAGAATTTCACTTTGGCTTCCAGACCTTTATATATATATGTGTGTGTGTAAAAGTAAAATGATATTTTAATGCTTTCAAGTTTGTTTTCATCAAAACAGAAATTCATTTTGCAGTTAAACACAAAAAAATACATATAATTGGTACTAAGTGTGTGTTGGCTTAATGCTGACACTGAAGTACGACACATAGAAACATAGCTTTTCTTGCTATGTTTTTGTCACTATTTTCAAAGAAAGATAAGCTATTAATGTTAAGAAATAGCTTGGAACGTGAACATATTCTGGAGGCAAAGGTAACCCAGCCAACGTTAATCATATCTAAATTCCAAATTACAGCATGAATAGAAAAGGCAGCTTTTTTTTCATAAATCTAACTTCAAAATAATAAAACTATTCCTCTGTGGCTTCAAAGTATTTACAAATAATCCATTTTAAATTTAAGCTGGTCCCTTGGGACAAGGAGGCCATAATCCTTATTTTTTTTGTCAGTGGATTCCAAGATAAAATGAGTTGCGCTATAAAATGAATTTACAATGTAGGAATGTGGGACAGGAGGAACCTCCTGGATATTTGAACTCTGTCCTTAAAATAAAGCAGGAAAACGGACCGACTGCAGTCTATAAACACATGCACGCAGTTTTGCTGCTGATGGAAAGGTAATGAATTCTTAATAACATGCTAAATGCATAAGCTCTTCTAAAGGCTGTTATGCTGCAAAATCTCCTCACATTGGGCTAATGCAAAAGAATGTCCTTGTCTAGATAGCAGAAAGAAGAACAATTTTACAAAGCCATTGGATGCCAGAAAGGCTGACATATATTAAAGAGACATATTTTCATCTCTGACATGACTTTGCCCCTTTAAATATTTCATACAGCCAGTAATAGAATATTTTTTCTAAAACATTTGCCAAGAATGCTTTAAATGAAACTCTCATTGAGAGTCATATACACATTTAGAAAGCTTTGGGCTGCCATCCAATAATTACATATGCCTGAAACAAATGCTTTAAAATTACACTCCTATACATGTGAACCATATGAAGAAAGTATGAACCTGTACTAGTTTCTGCTTTCTTTCTGTACAAGATACTTGGCCTACCCACTTCCAAAATTCAGAGAGAAGGACCAATTGAAATATATACCACTCTCATTTACCCAAGACTTGAGGCCCTGTGTCCACTAACAGCATTACTTTGTCCCCACTTGTACCAGTCTGGGATTCTGAAATGGAAGCATCACTCTGCCCCAGACAGCCCCACCACTTGGTGCTGACATGGCAAGAGGCCTTTCCAAAGCTATTTTCACAGCAGCTCTGGGAGTCAAGCTAGGCTCCCTTGAATAGCAGAGCAAGACAATCCAAAGACAGCCTTCTGTCAGTGCTTGCAAGCAGTCAGGCTGGGCTCTGGGCTCCCAGCACAGCGCTGCCTGCCCTCCTGAGATGGCTGGTACCAGCCACAGCTCTGAGCACGGCTGGCTGGGGTAATGCTGTCACTCAGAATAAAGATAAGCAGGATTCCCTCTAGGTCTTTAATGATCTACTGATTACTGAGAACTCGAGGAACCGCCACTGATCTGAAAGGAAAATGTCTCACAGCCAGTGCTCCTCACTGTTGATTGTTTACTCAGATATCCTGGCTCCTTTGGGTCTTGTAGCTTCCAGTGGAGTCATGGAATTTCTCTTGATGCATTATCCTAACCAGTCAAGTTGCTTAACTCCTAGCATCAGCTAACTCCTGGTCTGTGGCATCTGGAAGCTGCCGTCCCTCACTTCAGGTTAAGGGACAGTACAGAGCGAGTCTGAAATCACAGCATCTGCTCTGTTCTGCACTCTGCAGAGTGTGACTAATCTGTCTTCAGCATACGAGCATTCCTCACCCCAAGTTTGCCACTTGTCTTCTCATTGCTGCTGCTGGGACGGCTGTCTGTGATTCAGCACTGAATGCAGGCTGAAAGTGAAAACAATCCCTACCCTTAGCCCACAGAGGACTTTATCTTCTAGAAGCCTCTTGTTAAAAAATGGCTTGCTTAAAATATCACATGAAAAAATGAATCATCATATGATACTACTTTTGCTTTCTGCATAACCTTCTATCCAGTTTTGTGCTCTGAAGTTATTTAGCCTCGGTGCAAATATCTCTAGAATAAATGAGTCAAATTCTGCATCAGTAAGCTTGTCTGCTTCAGAAAATTCCATTTTTATTTTTATTTTTTTCTGAGCCTGTTCAGTGACCTCTTTCATGGAAGTTGACAATACAGAAATTGCAGTAGAAAAGCTTGTATGGAAGAGATAAATGCGTTGGGTATTATCTACACAGAAGTGATGCTTTGGAACATTATGAAAGAGCGGTCAGCTGATGGAACTGGCTGCCCAGGGAGGTGGTGGAGTCACTGTGGAGGTGTTCAAGAAACATTTAGCTGTTGTTCTGAGGGATGTGGTTTAGTGGGGAAATGTTGGTGGTAGGTGGATGGTTGAACCAGATGGTCTTGGAGGTCTTTTCCAACCGTGGTGATTCCGTGATTCTATGATAATGGGAAAAAAAAAACCATGAGGATGCCAGTGTTGAAAAAAACGGGGGCAGAAAGTCTGTAGTTGAACACAAGATAGCAGAACTGCATTTATTAAGAGTAACAAAATAATATCACCAAGATCGTGCCGCACAAATAAGGCAGCTTGAAGTTGACAGCGGGCCAAATCCTCCTACACCCAAAACTCATCCCAGCTTCATTCCACTGGAACTTTAATTTTAGGGATCTTGCTCTGCTCCAGCATCACATTATTGCTATTGGCTACAATAACAGCCTAAGGCTGGAAGTTTGACTTCCTGTGTTGTTTCTGGATTTCTCCTTCAGTCTCTTCATTTCAGCAGAAGGGCTGACGGTCTTCAGGCGATGTCCCATGGAACCACCTGCTAACAGCAACATGCCTGGGCACAAGGAGGGGTGGAGAATGGGAAACAGGCAGGGAACAAACAAGCCTTGGGGAATACGAGGTTTAGTTCAGCCTTTTCAGGTCTGCACAGGTGATCAAGAAAAAGCTGTTTAAGTGAACAATTATCAGGAGATGGAGGGAAAATACTGATGGAAAGGCTGGGAACTAAGCTGAATGTCTGAAAGTGATCGGGTTTGCAGAGCTTTAAGGCTTTTGTACGGCATTTGTAAACCAAAAGTTCCTTCAGTAGGATGGTTTTAATTGCCTCTGGTGCCTCGCTTAATTATGAGGATGAAATTTCTGCAAGCTTTCTGTGTAGACCTGATTCTGCCTAATATAAGCCCACAGAAACTTCAGAAAAATCCCTGCTGTCACTGCTCCTGGGGATTTATTTTAGGAAATTCGCTTCCATAGTAACAATCACCAACACAGAGCAGAAGTCTTCACTGTTTATTTTTAGACTCTTATTAAGATCCTGGTGTTGAGGATAGCATCAAGTAAGAAACAGGAAAACTTGCACTTGAGACTTTTCCAAGCAGCTCCATTATCACAGACCTACTCCCTCCAGCGCCAGGAGGCAGATGAGTTGTTAAAATAATCCATTAGTCACTCTGGCTTTTTTCTTCTCCTAGGAAAAATATTTATCCCTAAAGAAAAACCCATAGAAACTCGTACAGAAGAGAAAGTGACCCTGGATCCGGAGCTTGAAGAAGCCCTGGCCAGCGCTTCAGATACGGAGCTCTATGACCTTGCAGGTTAGATGGTACATGGGCATGGTCCCCTGACACATCCAGCTCTCTGCCTGGAGCTGGCACCGGGGTCAGGATCGTCCCACGCCGTGCCCATGAGCACTTTGAGCATGAGCCGAGAGCTGCTGCAGACCTTTCACCTATCTCTAATTGATGTGGGGCAGGCCAGCAGAGGAGATGAAGCAGCTAATGAGATCTGCGGAAGGGAAGGGTCAACAAGTGGGAGACTGGGGCATGTGCTTTGTTAGAGATCACTGATGTTACTCTGCTGAGATGCATGGCCAATGTTTCATGGCTCTAATCAGTATAAAAACTTTGGTGGGAGAGTTTCAGCTCCATTGACATTTTTCTGTTTTTAATTAAGAAAATCTAAATGAAATATTTCAGTGTTTTCCATTCATCTGAATCTGTGTTGGATCAACATTAAACCCAAACTTTGTATAACTATTCTGTTGTCCCATCAGAGGACACAATCTCACCATTATCTTCTATAATCCTTGGCTACACCACACATATTGGGATGCATTAGACTTGACTCTGCTGACATGTGATGTATCACAGCAATCTAGGGCTGTGGTGCAGCTGGCACTTCTCACGGAGCCTGAAGTTTATGGAATGGAGTTCCAAGTGTTGCTCAGCTCTGGTCAGCATCCAGCCATTTGTGACTGAGTTTGTAGGTATCAAAGTCTAACAAAAAGCAGCAGCACACCTACTGCTGAGAGTTTTGAATGGAGTCTGTAACAGCAAATATCACTGCTTACAGAACAAGGAGTTTCTCTCATAAGGAAAATGTGATGATAAAAGTAAAAAAAAAAAAAAAAAGTAAAAATTGAATGAACAGCATAAAGTCTGAGTAGATAATCTAAGGGAGAAGGAAAAAGCATAGTTTATTCTCTGACACTGTGGAAGTTCATTTGCATAAAACATAACTTTGTATCTTTGATGGAGTTTAGTTCTCTTTTCTCACAGCAGCTTATAGCCTTACTATTTATTTTAAAGTGCTGAATATATTCTGATTCTTCCTAAGCATGTTAGCATCTATGTGCTTCTATAAGAACCCCAAGATGAATACCCATTTATTAATCTAACCACATGTGAAGTCAAAACCATCTCCAATGTGCCAAGCAATACAACAAGGAGCAGTAAGGGGTTTGGGTTGTATGTTAAAGGAAAAAAAATGAAATCATTAAGGAGGGTTGCATTGCAGCAAGCTACCCAAGGAGACTGTGGGATTTCCATCCCTGGATGCTTTCAGGACCCAGCTAGACAAAGCCACGGCTGACCTGGTTAATGCTGGCAGCACTCCTGCAAGGGAGGGATGCTGGACAAGGTGACCCCTGGCAGTGCCTTCCAGCTGGCACTTCCCTGACTGCATGCTGCAAGCTCAACTCAGAGCTAAAATGTTATAAACTCAATTTGGAGAACTAAAGTAGAATTTGTAGCATATGTTTTTCTGCAATCCTTGCTCCTGCTATTAACACTGTATCCTGTTGCTGATGTTTACACGTTTATAGCTGTCCTTGGAGTGCACAACATGGTCAATAACCCAAAATTTGATGAAGGAGGAGCCCGCAGTAAAGATGGAAAAGGAAGCATGAGAAGTAAGCAAACATTTCTTTGTGGGCTATGTCTGTTACGTGGCTCCTTAGGTACATGGGAAGCACAGTCATCCAAGAAACCCAGAAGCATTTATACTAAATAAAGCAGACCTGTGGTATATCAAATCTCAGAGGTGAGGGTTACATTTGAACCCCAGGTTTTTCTCATCACAGGCTCAGGAGCTGCCGTGCCTCCATCCAGTGCTCAGCGAGCTCTGGGACGCCAAGTAAGGTAACTTTGCTGTTTGAGACAAAATTGTGGAATGCCTTTTGCCTTGGAAGCAGCACTCAAAAAGCACTTTCTTCTTGCAAGGCCAGGAGAACCACCGCTGTCCTTACCAAGGACTTTCATTTCCATCCCTTATTACCAAAGAGGAGGTGGGAAAGCAGGCAGAATGCTGTGTCACTTCATTTTTCTCAGGATTAAGGCTCTCTCTCTCCTAAGTGGGGCCCTGTGCAAGTTGCCATCTATCTCCTAGCAGGCAACTGCATACATTAGTAATCCACATAGATTTCAAATTATTTTTGTCGCTTGGAGTCACAATGTCAGCTATGTGAGTCAGCTAAACTATGCTCCAAGTACAGACTTACCAGCCAGAAAATTGCCCTGTCACATCGCTTTATTCTTTGGTCCAAAAGCAATGCCTTTCTTTGGCCAGCTGAAATGGTTCAATACAAGAGGGAGACACAGCTCAGAAGTTGCCTGTCAGTGTGGTGAAACTGCACCATGATTGAAGAAACAAAATAAAACTCATGAGAAACAACAAGAAGGGGAAAAGGGAGAATACTGCTAATTCTAGGCTGAGTAACAGAGTAACCCCAACTGAGGATGGGGGTGAGTCCCTGCCCAGGTTCCAGCTTGGCATGGCATTGCTCTAAGTGCAAACTCACTTTGCTGGCTTTTCTTTGCTTTCCATCCTTGAACCCAAAGCCCAGCAAATTCTCTACCAGCAGTTTTCAACTTCCTGATCTTTAGGAAGGCTGGAGTGTTCTTCAGGCACATGCGTGGTCTCTCAGGGAATTGGTAAACGAGTAAAAATGATCTAAAGGGGAATGGAATGAAAATCAGCTTCAGGTTTGTGAATGAATTCATCTCTGTTAAGTTCTGTAGTGTATTTGGTTTTGTTTTGGCCCATGATGTGGGATGAACTTTGAGCAGAAATGTATTGTGCACAGAGGCTTGAGCACAAGTCTTCTAAATAATTCATTGTGACAAAGTGAAAGGGTTTAAATACACATGTGGTCCAAAACATACTCCTTTGTTTCTTCTAGTGGTTTGGGTGGTCAGGGCTTACAAATTAATCCTCACAACTGTATGTCTTGGAATTAGAAGTACTAATTGTGTTCTAAGCTATGACTTTTATGCATTTCTAAGGATATATAGGGCTTACAGCTGCCAGTAGTCAAAATTGTATCTTTTGGAGCATGAGTACTCACTCAATGACTCCATAAATCTTAGTGCTAGCAGACAGACTCGCTTTTCATGTTTTGATAGTTTTATTACTCAAAAAGTGCAGATGTTGCAATTTTACAAGAGCTAATTAAATTTCTAGCAAGGCAGATAGCATCAGAGCAGCAAAGGAACTGGAAGGGCCTCCTGATCCCAGGCTGTTCTGTTAGCACAGTCTATCTGTAGATGTGGAGGTTTGCTCACTAATGCAGTGGGTATGTTCTGAGCACTCCTTCCTTATGGATGTCAGATGAAGAACAAAGCAGCCCTTGCTGTATATTACATCCTATGCAATAGTCTTAAAAGCTGCTTTGGCTCAAACTAATTGTATATACACAAGGGAGGAAGTTGCCTGTGATGATACCTCCCAGCTGCTATGGCCCCAGTGATGTGCTTCTGGTGCAGGAAGGTGCCAGGGACACGACAATGACATGCAGCTAATGCCCCTGCCTCTGAGCTCTGTGGTTCATGCTAATGTCTTCCTGAGCACAGCTGTCCTAAGCAACAACTGAAGAGTCAGGCTCACCCATCGTGCCTGGTCCTGATGTCAGCATTTGATGTTTTCTTTTGCAGATGTGGTCAAAGGTGAAAAGGTGAAGCCCATTTTTGAGGAGCCACCTAATCCAACCAACGTGGAAGCAAGTTTACAAAGGATAAAAGCAAATGATCCTACTCTCGTAGAAGTTAATCTGAACAACATAAAGGTAGATGCCATGGTTTCGTATAAATCCTCACAGATGGGTTTATTCAAATATTTCCAGTACCCTTTTATCTTTATATTTTTACTCTCTGTAATGTGCAGGGAAAGCAGCACACACAGGAAAGGGCAACAAAGGGGAGGGTTCTAAAAGCCCCCAGGTCATCAATGCCTGATATTGAATTAGAAGCCAATTGAAAGCCCACAGGGTGACTCCCTCTGGCTGCCTTTCTTTAGCAGCTCGTAAAGCAAGACATCTCCTGGGCACTACATAATCATCACTGCCCTAATTCAATTAGCCCACATATAGAAATGGGGAGGAGCTGGGATGCAGAGACTCTGAACTACCAGCAGCAAAATGGGAAAGTAGCTCAGATCAGTCACGTGCTGGTCCTGGCCTGACCCAGATACAGGCAGCGCTGACACAGTGTGCCAGCACAGAGCTCCACATGGCTGCTGAGCACCCCAAGCACAAGTGGTCCTTCCTGAGATGCTCTTATGGGCTCTGGGGATGGTTCAAGCACACAGTGGCTATTAATCCATCAGTTTGATGATAAATAGAACCAGTGTCTACTGATGTGACTGGCTTTCCTAACTACTCGATTTATCTTCTTAATGTAGAATATCCCTATTCCAACACTAAAAGAATTTGCAAAAGCCTTGGAAAGCAACGTACATGTGAAGACATTCAGCCTTGCTGCTACTCGAAGCAATGACCCTGTAGCTATTGTAAGTTATAACACTGTTTGGAAAATAAAATACAGTGTTAAAGTAGGTCTGTATATGCTTTAGGATAGAGCTTTCATTTTACCTAGCAGAATTTCCCTGCTACAATCCGTAATAGAAGCATAGTCTATTCTGATTTACCTCCATTCTCTTTCAAGCCAATTTGTATTTTATTTCTTTGTAGATAATACTAAGCCATGTTTTACACATTTGCTTTTATTTCCTGAAGCTTTCAAGAACTTGATCTGTTCCCTCTTTCTAACCCCTCAGGCATTTGCAGATATGTTGAAAGTGAACAAAACACTGAAGAGTTTGAATGTAGAGTCCAATTTCATAACTGGGACGGGTATTTTGGCACTGATTGATGCACTGAAGGAGAATGAATCCCTGACAGAGATTAAAATTGACAACCAGGTAAAGAGAGAGCATTGCACTCCCCTTCTGTTTCCCTTCTGTGCAGATTCCCAGAGGGCTCTGGCAAAGCCAAGGCAGCCTCTGGAGCTGTTCTGCAGCTCATGTCCCATGCAACCCACCATGGAAAACGTCCAAATAAAACTAGTCAAAGGAAACATAAAACCCAGAGCTGTGTCTCCAGGGTAGGGATTCTCTTTGTAGTTTGAGCACAGTTCTGAAATATAAGCTCTTATTTTCTGTGTTTTGAGAACAAATAGTTTCTTTTCTTTTGGGGACATTTCACCATGTCACCAACAGAGGCAGCAGCTGGGGACAGCTGTAGAGATGGAGATTGCCAAGATGCTGGAGGAGAACTCCAAGATCCTCAAGTTTGGATACCAGTTCACAAAGCAAGGCCCACGAACCAGGGTAGCAGCGGCTATCACTAAAAACAACGACCTGGGTAAGACGCTTCTCCATCCATTCCTCATCTGCCCAGGTGAGCCAAGCCCTGGCCTTTACACTCCTCTAGTCTGTACATAAGATTGAATATTAACTTCACAACATCCAGTCTGTATGTAAGGGGTGATGTGCAACTCCATAGGCTCTAGAGCACAGAACACCTAAGGTCTTATTGTGATTCTCCCGGTTGTGCTGGGAGGGGGAGTAAGCGCACCCTTTTCCAGGCAATGCCCTGGATCTGCAGCTGTCCCATCGGCTCTTCTGGCCAGTGAGTAAAGATAACCAGCCCTACTGCTTGCTCAGGGACCACAGGAGTCCTCACCTTGCCATAGCAGAGCAAACCTGGCCAACTGAGGAAACATGAAAATTTAGTGCTCATGTGGCCAGTGACAGGAAAGGATAAGAGAGCTTTGCAAGTTTTACCTGAGTGTGATGCTCTGCTCTGTGCTTAATAGACAGAGCAGGGAGGAGGTGGCTAGGCAGGAACAGTTTACAGTAAAAGGAAATAAAATAAAAATAAGCTCTACGAGGTAGAACTGATAATAACACAAAGTGTGGTGTCAAATCGTGATGCATTTGGTTGGGTTTCTCTCTTAAAGTGCTAAGATAAAAATTGAGCTAGAACCTACTTCTTTCCTACCTAGTATTATTTTTAGCAGTACTTAACCATCCTCAAAATACACTCTTGTTCCTGAAACTATTTGTTTCCTTAGAAACTTTGCCTGCTATTTAACCAACTGCCATTAGGCATGTATCTTGAAGCTAATCTTCATTTTCCAGGTTTTGCATTGTGTGTCTTTCTTCAAGATTTAGCGGGGCAGAATATTTTCAAAAAATGAAATAACTGCAACAAAATACTAGCAGACAAATGATACACTGACAGCCTTGGAGTAATACAGTGTTTGCCAGGAAAACACTGTGAAATAAACCTCCTGATAGCAAAGTAATGGGATTTTTGCAGTTATATATTATTATTGGCTTTCTGTAGTGAAAGGTGCACATTCATCCAGTTTTACTGCCTTTGTTGTCTACTCCAGCAATTTAATATCAGGAGCAGGACACGACAGTTCAGTGTAACACCACCTTGTATCACACGAACAGAAGAACATCCTTATCTGGGCAAGGCAGAGAATATTCAGTGCATTTTTACTGGGATATGAAGCAGGAGATGGGGCCCCATGAGACCTTCTCTGTACAGCCATAATGCATCTCAAGTGCTGTAAAAATTCACACGTGTCTCCTTGTCAACTGAATCCTGCCCGTAACACCAAGCTCATCACTCTTTGCTCTGCTTACTGGCAATCTCAACCTACTCTGTTCAGAGTTAATTGGTGCTGGTTAACATTAATGGGTGATGTCATCATAGCACATGAAGTTTAAACAGAAACTTTAAACAGAAGCTTTAAGGTCAGCTATGTTTTCCTGGTTGCCTGTACTCACTGATGTCAGCACCTCAGTTTATTTTCTAAAACCTAAAACAGAGACCCCTGCAACTAGAAAAGTTAGTGATGGTATTTATGAACGTAACAGTGCTGAGTATTTGTTAGAAGCTCCCTCCTTCTCACTCACGTCACAGGAAGGGAGCGTGTGAGAAAAGTGCTCTGGTTCTCACTGACTGCTCTTTTCTTGTCCTGCTGTCCCAGTTCGCAAGAAGCGCGTGGAAGGGGAGCGGCAGTAGCCACACACAGCGGATGCACAGCAGAACTGGAGCCCTCCAGCACTGCAATCCCAGAGTGTTCATGGGGAGGGAGGGAAGGCGTTGGAAAACCATTGCAATGGGAGCTGCTCCTTTCTGTTAACGTCTCCTCTTAACCTTGAAAACGCAGCCTGATCATTTTTAACTTCCACAGTTAATTTAATTTTCATGAGGAAGATTCATAGTTGGTTTGAATTTAATGAAAAAATTTCACAATATCTGAAGCCAATATGCAGCATCGTAAGTGTGTTACTGGGCATAATATGTAGTGACATTGACCCTTATTTTAGGCACTTTTGGATATGCTGAAGTATGAACTTGTGTATGGATAAGGGGTTCTCTGCTGAAAATAGAAACCTTGGGACCAAGTCCTGCAATGCCTTACACTGCAAATAATCCTTATTATGTGTATCGTTCTGCTGAGCTGGTCCTGCAACGGGGCACTCCCATGCGTAGAGCTAGAAATGGCAGTGCAGCATTGCAGGATCTCACCCTGCGTCCTGCAGCAGGCCCTGAGGCTGTGCAGGAGCAGCCCTTTAGCAGGGCTCTGCCTGCCTGACTCCAAGTGCAGGGTCATGCCTGAATGTGTAAGCATTGTCAAAGCACACCTGTTTACACGAGCTTGGGTTTGGTGGGACCTGTTGCAGTGTTACACTGGTACTTGTTATCCTCATCCCGGAGAGTACAGTAAGCTTAGTGCTGCCAATCCTATATACTTTGAATGGTAGGTTTATTTCCTATGCCAACAAGTTTTTATTTGCTCATAGAAAACGCAGTTTACAGCTATTAATCTAAACAAGCATTTGTTTTGCCTTGAGCCCTATGTTCTGGTATTTATATATATATATTTGTTAGTATTATAGCAATGTTCTCAGGACCTTTTTGATGAAGGCTAATCAAGTAGTTAATCTTGAGCAGTGGCTATGCTTCCAGGAAAAACAACAAGAGAGTATCTGGACCAACTACAGAACTCACATGCACAGACTTCACTTGTGTTGGCATGAGGCACTTGGGTACTCACCTGAGTGCTTGGCCAAGTAAAGACAGACTGAAGGTAGGCACAAGTGCTCAGCTAAGTCAGGGTCTTCACTCAGATGCCAGACAAACTCATAACCCAGGGGAAAGTGCTTGTGAAGCAGCAGCTAAGCCCAGTGTGCAAAAGCATTACATTAGTCTGATGTTTGTATCGTGCATCCTACAGTCCAGAGCTACCCTGTACCACTGTTTTGTCACAGCTGCCAGTTGGCTCTGGCAAACAGCCGTGTCCACTGTGGCTGTCCATCAGCAGCCTGGGAAGCTCCAGGCAGGTGTGCTGCTGACACCAGTGCTCGTGGAAAGCTGCGGAAGCACACTGGGGTACACCAATTTCTGCTTCAAGTGCTCCCTTGGGACATCAGGGATACAGTGCTGCTTCGATCATGTGGTGACAGCCCCTGAGCTCTGATGGGGCACAGCCCTGCATTGGGTATGGCTGAGCAGAGCAAGAGTGCAGGCTGGCAGGCACAGTGCACTCTGTGCCTTCTTCATGAATGGGAGTAGGCCCACAGCAGCCCCTTCTTTGGATGCCAGTCTTCATAGGGGGGTCTGAACTGAATGACATTTCACTCGAATCCCACTTAAATATGATGCCAAGTTGGGATGCAAAGTACCTGCAGTTGACTTCTCCAGTGAGCTCCCAGTCTGTACCATATCTGCTGAAGTCTTTCTTTAGAAGTGAAAACAACACGGGAGTCTCGCTGAGATCTTCCCTGGATCCATGGAGGATTTACTGTAGAAAAACTTTGATATTCCTTTAAAAAATAGCAAGTTCTGTAACACAGTCATAACTCTGCAGGGTCTTAAATAGACAGTCCTTGAAAACCATCTGGAACAGATGCTGAGCTTTGCAGCATTGAGGAAGAGAGAACCCACACTCCTAAAGGCAGAAGATGACTGCTGACCAACCTCAGTGATCAAAATCATGCTGCCCCTATTTTCTTCTTTTGTTCCAATGAAGAGGATCTCAACTGTCATTTTTTAAACATATTTAATTTTTTTTTTAACACTTTTGTTAGTAAGGATGGTACATGCATGTGCATTCAAGGGAAACAAGTGCAATCCATTTCTCTTCTCATCTGCCATTTCAGTGTCGGTGTGTGCATGCAGCGTTCCATAAGGATGGCTGGCATGGCTGCCCCAGTGCCTGCAGCATGCCGTTCCACATTGCTTTATGCAGAGCTGCACATGTGGCCTCACTGCCCCACAGCTGTGTTCAGCTCACATCAAGGGCCAGGGAACAGTTTGGGAAGGCCCAGGGCCACCTCCTGCCCTTCATATCCCGTGTCTTTTGCACCAGCACATGTTCTCCAGGAGGAGGGGTATCACCCCCAGCCTCAAAAGCTGAGCACTGTGTGGCAGGGATCCAGGCTCTGGCTCCTTTGGCATATGGGGGGAACCCAGCAGCCTGGCCCTTTGCTCTGGGCAGCCTCTGCCAGCCCTGCTTCTGTCTGTGAGGGATCAGGGACATCCGTCCTGCCTCTTCTGGGTGCTCTGCACAACGGCTTTTCATCATCTGGCCCTGAGCATCACATATCAAACACTGCAATAGTGTAAGGATCCGTTCAGTACAGTGACAGCATGGTGGTGATTCTTGAAGGCAGAATTTTGCATTTATAGCTCACTTATAGGGCGATTTATCTGGTGGAAATCTCTGCAGGTAACATGAAGGGGTCAGGATGGGACAAGTCCCTGTTAAAGCCACACTTCCCAACAGCACTGAGCAGGGGACAAGGACAGAAGAGGCCCTTTTTCTTAAGCAAACCTTCAGGAGTATCTTTGTCTACTTTTGCACATTGCTTCTTGAGTTGACAGCTTCAGTTTGGCTTGTGTTTTTTATACAATTTTTTCATGGAAAAGCTCAACTTTGTGTGTGTCCCAACATGTATGTCAGTGGTGGTGTGCGCTAAGGGCAGTGCAGTGTTCATGTTAAGCTCTAGAGGAGATGTTTCTGCGGGACCATAAGTTACTGCATGCGCACAGTGTGGTGCATATTACTCAAGGGAAAGGGAATTGCCACACTATGTAACAGTGACTCCCCACCATCATGGTTTTTCTAAATAAACCCTCATAAAAATTTAGCTTCTGTGATATTTTGTGGTGTTGTCCTTCGAATCTGTCAGGGTTCACCTTCTCTCCCCCTGTTATGTGCTCAGGATTGGGGCTCTTTGCTTTATCAGCGTGACACCGGGAGCACACACTGCTTTCTTTGTACACACAGCTCTCCAAGCTTAAGGGGAACCAACACATTGCCTGCTTGGATCTCCATAGATGCCTAAAGGCTGAGCTAGTGAAATCATCACACTGCTGTACACCGACACACACTACAAATACAAATAATGCTTTCAATACTAACACCAACATGCCACAGCATCTTTCTACTTTTCTTTTCTTGCATGCAAAACAACAACAACAACAAAAGGATAAGACACTTGAGAAAAAGGAGGAAATATCTCAGTGAGAAAGCACAACACATCTGTGCCCAATATGCAGTTCTGGGGGATTTGCAGGGCGTAACATTGGGGGAGTGCTCATGGAAATACATAGCAAAATTCCCAGATCTTCAGTTAGAGCTGAATCAGAGAATACAGCTGCAGAGACACTTCTGAAGTCACACACTCCATTTCCCATCTCCAAGACAGGCTTTTATTTCTACACACTTTCAGCTCCAGCAAGAAGGGAACGGCAATTTGAGTCGGTCCCGCATTGCTGCCATTACACAGCCTGGGTTGAAGTCCCTTTGACCACGAACATAATCTGCACCAGGGAGCAGAGACGCTCTGTATCCCATCTCTGAAAGCAAAAGCGCTTTACGTGCCCACGGAAAGCCCATACGTTGTGTAAATCAGCGGGGAGAGCTTCCAAACGGAGGAGATCCCTCGCACAGACGCCTGCTGGGCCGGGTGGCGGCGTTCCCCGGCAGCACTGCAGCCCATCGCCCCTCTCAGGGGCTGCTCGCCGTACGGCCGCGCTCCCCCCGCCCCGACACCCCCGCGTGCGGGGCCAGAAGGGACGGCCCCGCAGCCCCGCTAGGCGGCAACGGCGCTCCGTCCGTGCCGTAACAACCCGCTGCTTTCGGGCTGCGTGGGGGAGGTGGGTCAAAGGTATTGGAAAATGAAGGATAGCACTTCAATAACAGCCTTCAGATCCCGGTCTGCCCCGACCGCTGCGCGGCTGCGGGTCGAAGCTCCGGTTAAGCTTTTCCCACCGTTACACCGCAAAGGCGCAGCGGCTGAGCTGGGCTAACGACTGTGACATCTTAGCACAGTGCCCGGAGGGGGACGGCAGCGCGATGCCCAGGAATGACGGAGAGGCGCTGGGCAGCCGCCGGGACACGAGCAGCTCGGGCAGCTGGCAGCAGCAGCGCTCACTTTCAGAGATCGCCTCTGAGATGAGAGAGAGCTCAGTTTAAACAAAGAGATGTGATGACATGTTAATAAAATGCATTTACTTCCTTGAGCACACATCTTTCATTACAGCAGAACTGTTGTACTTAATATTTTCTACTCATTTCCTATTCTATTTTGTGCCGACGAGAAAATCCAATTTGAACGTTTGGATTTTCCCTCACTTTCAAAGCTCTCCAACCGAGTCCATAATTAAAAGAGCAGGTCAGAACAAGCTGTCTTCAGCACTGGTGCACTGAAATGCAGCTCCCCAGGAGAAAGGCCATGCTGCTGGACGCCCCAAAGGCAGTGGGGCTCAGACTTAAGGGAGCAGTGCTGGGAGCTGCAGCAGTCCCCAGCAGCAGCTGTAAGGACCTGCAATGTTCAAAGAGCCAGCAGGGTTGTTAGTGCAGCATTGAGATGAGTAAAGAACACCAAGGAAGTGCTCCAAGTGCTGAGGAAAACAAGAGCAGACTTGTAAATTAGCTCAGCTTACTTTTTTCCCACTAATGTCCCATGAGTGCATAGTCACTGTAGCACCCAGCTATGGTATTAGGTGCCCAATGAGTTATTTCAGAGGCCATGTGTGTATTTGGTCACCCTGATGCACAGATCATCAGCTGTGAGTCAGTCAGCTCCCTTTGTTTGCAAGCAGCCTTTTTACTTCATAATACGATAATTTGGGGTCATGTTTTTCCATAACATGGGCTATGGGGCCAGCTTGTCCAGCCTATTGTGCATCTGTTGTCCTTAATTTAGCCTATAACTCAATCAGAACAAATACGTGCATCATTCAGAATAAAACAGAGTAGCTGACAGTGTAAAACTGTTGCAGGGAGTAAGCAATGCAATGGCAAGAATGAATGCTGCAGAATACATGCAGCTATTTCCACACGGTGCCAGCAGAGCCCACCTGCTCCAGCAGAAGTGAAGGGCCTGAGGTCTGTGAGCCTAGCAGGGTGCAGGGATAGCAGAGTTCACCACTGGACACATGAGTGGTTTGGCACACAGGAGCTGTCAGAGATGCTAGGAAAGCTTTGGCACCGATGGGTCATTCTCTGTGTTCACACACAGCTCAGTCATCTGCTCTGCTTGGAGCTTCACAGAGGAGACCTTGGGAAATTTATTTGAAAACCCTTAAGCTGGTGCCAAGCTATCAGCCCTCTGGCTGACCCTTGGAATCTCCTCCCCTGAACAAAGCTGCTTGGAAATTCAAGAGAAATTCATCCCCCAAAGAATACAGATACTGCCAAGGATACGTGCAGGAACGCACATACCCTGACTGCAGGCAATCTGGGTGCCACCAGCAGCCACCCCACAGCAGGCACCTACCTGATGGCACCCAACAGCAGGCAGCATCCTCCTTTTAGGGGCTGAGAATAAACACAGCTGCTGGGCTGAGCTAGAGGATCTCCACATCTATCTGCCGCATAGGACACAGCACTGTCGTGTTCAGAAGCAGAATCTCCCAAGTGCCCACTGTTGTGCCCCCATGAGGTGATTAGAGCTCACTGCTCTCCTCCCAGGGCAAGGACCAGGATCCACCACAGGGGAGGGTCATCCTGCACATACGTGTCGTCTTTACACCACAACAACACTTCACTGAGTATTCTGAACGGTTGCCATGTATTTAGGATTGGCTCCTTTATTTGATTTCTTTATGAAAGTGTTGGAGGCATCCAGCTTAAAGTCATTATGTTTATCACAACTCTGTGCATCCCAAGGGACTCGTTCAGACACAGCACTAAAAGAGGTCTCTGGTGATATTGCAGAGCTCTGATCTCCTCAGCAGCTCTTATGCTTCCTTGCAGTTACTACTGCTGCTCCCAGCCACTTTTACACTGCTAGGGAAGGAGCTGCTGGTCTACTAGCAATGGTAATGGAACTGCATTGAGAACCTGTTTTCTCCTTAAATAAAAGCATTCAAGTTGATCTCTGTTTTACACATATGTAGATCTTATAATTAATGGTACTGCTAATAGAAACCAGGCCTGTAACAGGATACAGGAGAGCAAGAGCAGCATTTTCCCCTAATTGCCGGATGGCAGCGGTGGGAGGGATGCGCAGTGTGCAGGCAGGTGGCCAGCAGCTGCTCAGGGTGAGGGATAAAAGCAATGCATCTGTGCTTGTAAAGCTTTACAATTCAAGGCTTGGGGTCTGAAGTGCTCTTTTCCCCTGAAGGCAGATGACAAAAGACTTTTGCAAATAAAACCAAGCTTTAGCTAAAAGCGCTGACTTTCACAAAGCCACGTGCAGGGAAGGTGGAGGGAGAAATCACTGCAAGGTCATCTGAGCACACAAGGACTAGAAAGCTGACAGAATACAGCCAGTAAGGCCAAGGTGGACGTGCTGAGGTAACAGCCAGAGCCTTAAAATGAAATTTCATGGACTATCAGTGAAACTCCAAGTCAATTCTGCGCACAGACAAAACGTTCACAACAGATGACAGCAGAAATCCTCACAAGCACTTTCATTATGAGAATTACACCTGATCAATCAGTTAGAAATGACTGAATTACCAGTACAGTACAGCACTACCTACTGCAGAGCAATACATTTTAACCATTTCATAAAAATAAATTTGATTGATATCTTGGTCTAATTCTCATAGGCTTCCTTTGCAACAGAAGGTCTGAATCCACACCTTGCTCAGGACTCATAGGCTGGGATTAACAGGGCATGCCTGGAGCCTCTCTGCTTAGGGACAGGTGTGGAGCTACTGGCTCTGGGGGAACAGAGCCCTATGGTGTTCCAATATGGACCCAGGGACAGCTCAAGTGAGGATGAGCAGTGGTACCTGCTTTGGATGTGAGTCAAAACCAACCATCACTGCGAGGCTTGGACTGTTAATCTTAAGATTTGCAATGCTGTTCAGTTCCAATTATTCAAGGACACAGAGTTATGATTCATAAAGAAGCTTTTAAGATGATGAGTCTGAGCCCCACACTGGAACAGCTCAGGTAGCACTCCCACCATAGAGAGATAATCACTTGGGTCATTTAAAGACTACAGAACTTAGCTCTAAATCTCACATGTGCATTTGTGGCAGCAATTACATTTTGCAGAGCCTGGCAGCCTCAGCTGGATGGGAAGCCTCAGTGTGCCATGCAGAGCACAAATGGCAGCAGTACTGAGGTGCTGCAGGACATCCTCTGTATTCACAGTGTGGATTCTAAGCAGAACCCAAAAAAAGTACTTGGAAAGTAGCATTTTCTTTAATTTGATTATTAGGTTTTGGATAGAAGCATTCAATTCTTTAGTGGGTATGTCCACTGCTGAACGTGCTTTCTGGCCGTGTTTTGAAGCACGCACAACAGCTACAAACAACACAGAATTCAAAGGTCACAGCATCATTGGGATTACCAGTGATTATCATTAATTTTCTTTGCAGTTATGGCTATGCTAAAATATTGATCTCAATTCACAGGGCCATTAAACACATCCATTCCTGTTGCTTAGGGCAAACAGCGCAGGCTGAAGAATCGCCGTACCACTTGGTTAGCTGATGCTCACAGCACCTTTTCCCTCAAGTAGGCCAATTTGCCAGCTCAAAACCATGCTTTTGTTTAAACTCGGTCTTTCACTTTTCAGAGCTGTGAAAAAAGATTCCAGTTTTAGCATGTATTTATCACATCACAGCCAGCTCCTCAGAGCCATCTCTCAACACTTCCTTCTGCCT